ACTACACAGAGGACCCCGAAGCAGCAACGGCCAAGTCCCAAGGCCACCCCTCCATCTACCCGGCGCAAGCCTCCATGTCAAGAAGAGGAGGTTCCGACGGAGGAGTTTCCCGTCTTCTCACCAGTGGGTGATGCCGTAGAGGGTCATGAGGACGTTCGGGATGACGAGGAGCCACACGATGTGTTTGACGAGGAGGAACCCCTTCTTGCTCCCCAGGATACTTATGCGCAGTTCCGTTGCCCCCCGGGAGGTGTGAAGTTCTTGGAGAGCTGTTCTCTCACGCGGCATAATATCAGCGCAGTCAACACTTGGTTGGCATCCACCACCTTGGGAAAGGGCAAGAAGCAAGCCCTTGACTTGGCAGTGTCGGAGTTCATGTCTGCGGCCGGTAAGCTAGATGCAGGTTCACGTGTTGCCATTGATACTCTTGCAGTGGAATGGGGGTTGCCTGTACAATTGGCAGCCAAACTGAACGAGGCATGTCTTGTGCGCCTGCTCGCAGGCGCGCATCTGCTGTCTCAGGAGTGACTCTGCTCAGATCGGCAAGCAACGCGTAGTGCACGCGGCAAGTTTGTGCAGACATTTCTCCGATGGTTTTCCATGATTCTTCCTCTTCTTTTCTCACTTTGTTCTCATTCTTTGATCTCCAGATTTCTATGGGTACGAGCGCACATTTTCAGACGAGCATTACTCTTTTCCATTCCTTCATACACCAATCGGTTGAAGCAAGTTCGTGATCTTTTGGCCAAGTTTCAGGTCCCTGAGGACTATACTTGGCAATGGCATCAACAGCAGCAGGTTGTCTACATTCGGGTGACACCTACAGCATCTTGTAAGTATTGCAGGTGCTATATTGGGTCGACAGGCCTGTCCCTCATGGAACGGGAGTCTTCTCGCCGACGGAAGTTCATTCAGTATTCCCGTGGTAGGCTTGCGTATTTTGAGCCTGCTCTCAAGGTGTGGTACAAGGAACGCAGTTTCTACAGTACAATTTCTTTGGTCTTGTTTGCAAACGATGATGATCATGATCGCTTGGCGCGAGAAGCTGCACTGATTCGGACGTTTCGTCCTGAGCTTAATCATCCCTGGGTTACACAGGTTTTGCGCAGATTTCATTTGCACGAGCGTACCTTCACATTGCCTGCCAGCAACACAGGTCAACGTTTCATTAAGAGGACACTACGCTTTATGCAAAACCATCAACGTCTGGATATACAATCTTTCAGGGCGGATTGCGCTATTTTTCTTTCCTTGTATCGTTTGGGAAGCAATTCATTGCACAAGTTTCGAGAGTCGCGCATCCTGCGCAGTCATCTGACGTCGCTGCCTCAGCTCTACTTGCGTCAAAGATTGGTGCAACAATTGGATGAGCCTTGGAGGACACGTGCCTCCCAGCAGTTGCGATTGATACTGCGTTTTCGTGGAGGTGATGTTCCTCCGACCAATATTCCATTGCGCCTTCCACCTTTGGCGCATGATTTGACGTCGGCGGTGCGTAACCAAATTCGAAGAATCATATGTTCGGCTCGCGTCAATTTTCCTCCGCTGCATTTGCCATCGACCAGCTTTATTGAAGTTAAAGCTATGCCATGGGCAAGGACAGTGTTCAATTTTCGTTCTTTTCTGCAAACATGGAAGCCTCGTCGCCCAGCGAAGTGTATTTGTGAGGCTTGGCAGAATGCCCGCGGAGCGGTTAACCCAACAGGTCATGTATTCGGACACGTGCGGTTGTTGTTTCCTCTTTCTTCTTTGGCTTCTCTCAATCTGCATGACACCACCTTTATGTCTGCATCCAGGTGGCGACAACATGCATTGTCTGAGGTCCGACGATGGTGTTCACGTTGGAAGTTGCCATCAGATGTTCTTCTTGATTGGGAGAAGTGGGTCGATGTACAGTTGACTCTTCATGCTGAAGCACTTGAGCGTCCGGCTTTTGACCGGGCCCGAGATGTTCTGAAAGTCGTCAAACGCCTCACGGGCTTTGTCATTACGCCAGCAGATCATTTCCCGTACACAGCACATGTAGCGTGTCCTTTTGCGTTTCATGCTCTGATGGATCGTACGTTCCTGGACCTCGAGGTTTTTCAACAATGCACTGTGGGTATGGGTCATATTCTGAGCAACTTACGCAGTCAGTTTCGAGCGGAGCCCCTTTGGAATAGACGCTATTCTTGGGCGGTGCAGTGGGATAGGGCTCTCCCACGGGCTAGGTTGTTACCCAAGCCGTCGAAAGCCTTTCAGAAGGCCAGACCAGTTATTGCTTGTGATCTCTGCTGGCATTCACGTCTGACCATTTTCTTGGCTAAGGCCCTTTTTCAGTTGATGTCGCATTGTTTTCCGGAAACCAGCACGTACAACGTCACTTCCACATTGACAGCTATGCGGATGATGTGGACGCATATGCAGCAGGACTCTGATTCAGGTGAACTGATCCAACAGGACTTGATTGGGTTCTTTAATTCTGTTCCTCACGTTCGCATTATTGAATCGCTTCGATACCTACTGCATTTGTCACAGTTGTCGACTGGACAGGCTTGGCAGGACCAACAACTCCAGGTGTCTACCCAGAATAAATGGCCGATCTTCCGAGGAAAACGTGCATTCGGCAGACACCCCACCAGGACTTTGTGGTTGGCTGATTTGCCTGCTTTGACACAGTTTCTTCTGGATTCTAGCTACTTCACTTGTGGCAGATACACTTTCCGTCAAATTCAGGGAGCGTCCATGGGTTCCGCAGTTGCTCCGGTCTTGTGTACTTTGGTGGCGAACACAACGGAATTCATTCTTCTGAAGAATTTTCGGGAATGTTTGCTCACTTCTGGCATGCTGACAGGCTTTCGTTATGCAGACAATCGTGCTTTTCTCCTTTCGTCATTCAGCAGGTATAATGACTGGCGTCTGTTATGCCTGAATCTGGGCTTTTACGGGGAGCCCATTCTGCTAGAGCACGTCTCAGGAGAAGAGTTGTTGGGGACGATTTGCTCTGTTCCTCAGAAGACAATCACAGTTCGACAGCCGACCGATGCCACACAATTGCGAACCTTGTCTTCAGCGGGGCGCGGCTCTTACGTCCTTTCTGGTTTTCGTGCCAGAGTGCTGTTGATTATGCGACTTGCTCGACCTTTGGTGATGGTACGCCCGCAAGTGGAGGACTTAATTGAAATCTACTGTGGACGCGGTTTTGCTCGTAAGAATCTTGTACAGATCGCTCGACCTCTTTTACGAGGGATGGGCATAAGACTTTGAGTCGGATGACGTTCCAGGACTCGGCCTGACGAACCGGAAATAGACCGCATGCTTGGCTATCCCCTCTGACGGAGGGGCGTGTGTGTGTGCACCCTGATTCTAAGCTAAGGGTTTTTGGAAAGTCTTTGAGGCTTGGCGGAGAATGTATTTTATGCAGGGGGCGCGAGGTCCTTTGACATAGCTCGCGCCAACGAAGCTCTATGTCATCGGGCAGGAAAACGTACCTGCGCGTGGAGTACCTGGGCAAGTTGTTGCAGCTGGTATCCACTATACTGCTTGTGACATCATGTACCCTCAAAACCCGGAATCCTCGGTCCTCAAATAATTTTGAGTCCGAACGCTCCAGATGGCTTGCACCTTGGGACATCGGCATTAGTACTCCTACTACTTCATTCTCATCAACATGCAGGAGATCTCCGGACAGGGAAGCCAATGAGAGTTTACTCTCTTATCTCCGTGTGTGTGTGTTTGTGTTTGTGTTTGTGTTTGTGTCGTGTGTTTGTGTGTGTGTGTGTCGTGTGTCGTGTGTCTCTGTGTGTGTGTGTGTGTGTGTCTGTGTCTCTGTGTTTGTGTGTGTGCGTGTCTCCGTCTCTGTGTGTCTCGGTCTCTGTGTGTGTGTGTGTGTGTGTGCGTGTGTCTGTGTCTGTTTCTGTGTCTGTGAGTGCGTGTGTGTGTGTGTGTGTGTGTGTGTGTCTCCGTCTCTGTGTGTCTCGGTCTGTGTGTGCGTGTGTCTTTGTGGGTGGGTGCGTGCGTGGGTAGGTTGGTGGGTGCGTGGGTGCTTTCATGCGTGTGCGTGCGTGGGTGCGCGTGCGTCCGTGCGTGCGTGCGTGCGTGCGTGCGTGCGTGGGTGGGTGTGTGTGTGTGTGTGTGTGTGTGTGTTTGACTGTGTGTGTGTGTGTGCGTGTCTGTCTGTCTGTCTGTCAGTTGTCTGTCTGTCTGTCTGCTTTGTGTATGTGTGTGTGTGTGTGTGTGTGTGTGTGTGTGTTTGTGTCTGCGTCTGCGTCTGTGTCTGCGTCTGTGTTTGTGTCTGTGTGTCTCTCTGTCTCTGTGTCTCTGTGTCTGTGTCCGTGTGCGTGCGTCTGTGTCTGTCTGCGCACGCGTGTGTGCGCGTGTGCGCGTGCGTGTGCGTGTGCGCTCACAGGATCCTAAACAGATGAGAATTTCGAGGACACTCGCTGCTTCTGCGTTCGTCCTGCCTTGGCCGGTGCACAAGGCCTTTGTGCCCTTGCTGCGCAGTCCTCAAAAGCAGTTATTTCGTTTCAGGCCATTGTTCCAAGAATACAGACTGCCGTGCGCTTTTGCATCAAGACTGCGCACGAGGAAATGCCATGGATGCCATGGAGAGAGAGCCTGCAGCCTGCAGGAAGCATGCGGCTTCGGAGGGCCTCCTTAGCTAAGGGAAATGTCCCACACTTCGGCCCGGCGCGGAAACGATGGAGGTTGGTCCCGAAGCACTTAAAAACAACTGGAGTGGGTCGTGAGACATACATGCCGCTACCAAAAATCTTCTAAGATCCTGCAGGAGTCAGGTACGAAAACCTTCATCCCCCACGTCGAGGAACGGATCTTGATCCATTGAGAGGATTTTTTTTGCCTCCCCCACTCGGTCCATCTCGGTCCAAAAACTCAGCTGCGAGCAAAGTGGCACAGAACTGAGATGGTGTAAGGTAGCAGAGTGTTGACAGCCATTGTGCCGGGAACACTGCTGTACCGTCACAGATGAGTTCAGTTCACCTTGGACTCTGCTTGCAAAGGCTCAGAGGATGATGGGCGTGTGGCCGCAGGCTTTGGAAACTGCCGCATCCGCATGTCAAGGTTGAATGGTGTACCTCTGTTTGTACGCCATGGGATGTACCATGAAGCAGTAAGCCACGTGCAGAGCCGGACCATGGTCAAACCGGAATACCGATTCAGCACATCATGCTTCTCCGGACCACGTTCCTTTGCCAACTCTCGCGTAATGGATTCGCACATCCGTTGCCCGTGCCCCTGCCAGGCCCGTTGATGTACAACTACAGCTGCAGCGCTGAGGCTATTGAGAGATGCAGAGTCCCTACCCCGGGGGCTGACGGTTCTCGGGCACGCTGGGTTTAGAAGTTTACCCGATTTCTAGGAGCGCTTCGCAACACTATGTGCTTCAGAAGTTTCCTTCCTAGCATCAGAGCTTTCAACAACAACATGAGCCTTTTTTTGGTTGCGTAGAGTGCCAATGGATGCTTCTGCGCTTTCCATCGAGGCCTGCTTGCGAAGCCGAAAAGCGGGAGTCTACGTACTCTCCTTCTTCTCGCTCTCTTTTTCCTGTAGCCATGCCCGTGAAGTGCTTTGCTGTACCGAGGCCATGCTGCCAAATCCAGACCACACTGCCTCCGCACCCACCTCTACGCTGTCCAAGGCCTGTCTGCTCAGACAAAGTTTGCCTTTGTCGGAGCTTCTGCGCAACATGGATGCCATGGAATTCTGCCATGTCTGCTCATTTTTTGGGAAGTTGCATGGGAGGATCGTCCAGGGCCTAGATGCCAATCCGAACCTTGCCAAAATCCAGAACTGCTTATGGACTCCTGCCTAGGAAGCCCCCATAAAGCCATAAACAGGCTTGGGAATTCATCCTCGGGGGCCATGACAGCCCTGGACACAGGTTCGCCGTGCTGGGGGAATCAGGCTATGGGGGGTTGGGGCATGATGTTTGTGCATCGGGCCAGCTTAAATGCGTTAGGCCCCCTTGTTTCTGTCGCAAGTCTGTTTGTCTCCTGTTTTGCGGCGTTTCGCCTGCTTTGCCATAGACGTAGATGCTCTTGGGGTTTAATTCCTTGCTTTTGAATTTGTGTTGCCTCCTATAATGCTTGCCACTTCTGGCTCCACCTCATGCGTTCTTTTTGTTTTGTGTGGTTGATTGTTTGTCTTTTGTTCATGCTTTGTTCATGTGTTTGTGCCTTGCCTTCCTGACGTGCTTGTTGCTTTGATGTGTGTTGCCTTAGTTATGCTACGTTTTGCATTCCGGTGTTGTGCCAAACTTTGTAATGCTTTGTATTTTGTTACTTTCGCTCTCCCTTTTATTCTCTTTCTCTCTCTCTCTCTCTCTCTCTCTCTGTCTGTTCTTTGCCTTCGATTTTGTTCCCCAGACGTCGCGTTAACAAGAAATTCGACAAGAACCCTACTAGCGCCTAAGCCAGCGAGGGTGCGGCCGCGGACGACGTCCTCGAAACCGTCGTCGTCGCTTTGGGACTTGAAGGGCTCACGAAATTTGACTCGAAACTACCGTCGCTTTTTTGGATGTTTTTCCTTTCGAGTTTCGGACTCTCGGAAAGGGAAACTGTCGTGACTTTTGGATGTTTGGGTTCGCGAGTCCTGACTCATCTCGTCCGTCGACTCTAGCCCGGCTGCATCTTACATTCAGTCAAAAGAGTGCCCAGCTGTGAATACTGGGGAGCCACCGTGCTCTTGGATACTACTGCTGCTACTACTACTACTACTACTACTACTACTACTACTACTACTACTACCTACTACCTACTACCTACTTCCTACTTCCTACTTCCTACTTCCTAACTTCCTACTACCTACTACCTACTGCCTACTACCTACTACCTACTGCCTACTGCCTACTGCCTACTACCTACTACCTACTACCTACTACCTACTACCTACTACCTATACTTCTACTACCTATACTTCTACTACCTATACTACTACTACTACTACTACTACTACTACTACTACTACTACTACTACTACTACTACTACTACTACTACTACTACTACTACTACTACTACTACTACTGCTCTGCTACTGCTACTGCTACTACTACTACTACTACTACTACTACTACTACTACTACTACTACTACTACTACTACTACTACTACTACTGCTACTGCTACTGCTACTGCTACTACTACTACTACTACTACTACTACTACTACTACTACTACTACTACTACTATTCCTCTGCTCCTGCCTGACTACTTCTCGTATGAATACGGCTACCTCTCCGACGACTACTACTACTACTACTACACTACTACTACTACTACTACTACTACTACTACTACTACTACTACTACTACTACTACTACTATTAGCACTACTACTACTACTACTACTACTACTACTACTACTACTACTACTACTACTTCTAGTATTTCTGCTACTACTACTACTACTACGACTACTACGACTACTACTACGACTACTACTACTACTACTACTACTACTACTACTACTACTACTACTACTACTACTACTACTACTACTACTACTACTACTACTACTACTACTACTACTACTACTGGTGCTAATACTGCTATATCAAGTACTGCTACTGCTATTGCTACTACTATACTCCCTTGCCGCAGGCTTGTGCATCAAGCGGACTGGCTACCCTGCTGCGCATTCAGAAGTCAGAAAGCTGGGTCTCATGTCCCCGGTAGGTGTGGGTCGAGCCAGCTGGGTGATTTGTTCTTGGTGACGTAGGGTTCAAGCTCGTGCTGCAACAACCAGTCTCTGCGATACCTCTGCAAAGAGTTCTCCAAGACCAGCTCGGCACCGCATTAAACAAGTCTGCAGCAAAGACTCGCCGTCATTGGGCGATCTTAGGTTGGCTGCATTGGCGATTGGACGTGGCTCGTCCATCCCAGGCCAAACCTCGTCTTGATCGCCTGGTATTTGTCGGTGAGTATTGCTTAGATCCCAGCATCGAATTGTGCGTCTGAAGCACTGTAAGGCCAGGATTGAGACATTCATGATGTTCGTTCTGTTGGCAGTGGGGTTTGTTCAACCTTTAACTTTGTGTTGAGGGCGAGATAGCAGGAGGCTCAAGACACAGTCTTTTCCCATGGAGAGAACCCACTGAGCATGGTCAGAAGCGCGAGGCCCAGGCCTCGAGCCAACATGGGGCGCATTGATATCAACATCGCGAGAGCATCTTAAGTCAAGACAAAGTTAAGTCTATACGCTCGAAGGCCCCTTTGAGGCGCCATGGGATGCGGCCTGAGTGCTGCAACAGATCATGCGGTGGCTGCGGCGTCGCGGCGTGTGGAAAAGGAGCAGGTGGTTGAGAAGGCTGTCCAACGAGCCGTGCAAGCAGCCGTTGCGGAGCTTCAAGACGTGGAAATCAGTCTGCATGTGCAGACACCCAACAGGATGCACCCCAGGGAGGATGGGACCCCTATTCGGACGCCTGTCACAGTCAGCCCGCTCAGCCCACGGAGCCCACTGAGCTTGGGAGAGGCAGACCATCTGGCCCGGCGCTTCGCTGCTGCTGGTTTGCGCCGAGGGCGCGCGGCGGACTCTTGCGGCGCCGTGAGCATCGCCGAGGCCAATGTGGTGCTTGTCACGGAGGCCCAGATGTGTGAGCAATAACAGCACCGGAGCCAGTCAGGCCGAAAAGGCGGCGTGCTTATACAGTAGGTGGCTTATGTGTGTATATGTGTGTGTACTGTCGTAGCTCAGGTTCATATTTAAGAATCGGCTCAATTGGCATCGTTTTTCGTGCACGTACTCTAAAAATTATGTTTACGGCCCGCACGCCACGGCATAGCATCACGGTCGCGAGTCTGGTCGCAGGGCCTCCCCACCAACCATCCTCTGTCTTCCTTGCCTCACTGACACTGATGTTCTCCAAGTCAAGAAGCTGATTTGTGATGATTTGCTGTTTCTGAACGATGAAGGGCTTCGCAGACGATTGGCTTATGAACACCGACACCTGAAGTTTCTGAACGATTGATGTTGCCGCGTGCCTGGGAAAACGATTGCTTCCAATAGCATTGTTGGCATGTGGCATGGCCAGGGTTCACTGCCACGCACAAGCCCGTTACGAATGCACGCTAGTTAACCGGAAAAGCAGAGCACGCACGCTCTCTTTTCGACACGTTGGCACAGAATGAATCCTGGCCGGTGAAAGGAGAAGTCAGGGCAGAAGAACGGGCATCGGTCGGAAGAAACCCGAAGGAATGCTGGACGGAACCTCCGGGAAGCAAAGCACATAATGCCGTAGAAAATGGCAAGGCTAGTGGTGAAGTGCGGAAGCAACTGAGGAACTGCGCAGGTACAGTTTTCTCACAACATAAGCCCCCAGGCTCGGCTTTTCACCCAGAGCCTTCCGGAGGCAAGGTGCCATTATTCTGTTACCTTCCAATGTCGATAAGCGTTCGAGCTACGGAGCCCCACGGCTGGGAATGCATGCGACGGCGTAGTGCATGAATTGAATTTTGGAGAAAGCTCTTGTTGAAAAATTGCCTCGGATGAAGATTCATTTCCGAAGCTGGCATCAACAGATCTAGCTTCCGGTCAGTTGTGTGTGTGTGTGTGTGTGCATGCATGTGGGTCCATGGTTGCATTCGCTGTTATTCTCCAGCGGCAGGGCCGGATTGTCTGGATTGTTCCCAGCATCCCAAACCTGTGCTTTGATGTGAACTCCCGCTGAAGGAAGGCTGGGGCCGCGTCTTCTACTACCCATTCGACTCCGTCGAAACGGCAACCGAGGTTCCGGCCAAACACCCACAAAGCAACAGGGTCAGGAACCTCTTGTCGAACCTTAAATTTTGAATTGGTTGGGGTAAGTAAACTTAGGTCCAAATTGACAGGACATTCAGCAGAAGCTCTCAATTTCGCTCTTTCGCATGTTGGGTCTTGCCTTGCCCTGAGGTTTTCCAAGCCTGGCCGCACACAGCACGCATCCTCTATCAATTTGATCCGACGATAGGGCTCCTGCACCTTGGTATGCATGGCACCCGTGTCCGTATGGTGTGTTTGAACGATGGTGAACTGAAGGCACGAAGCCAACAAGAGCCTCTCCCCAAACGCTTAGAAGGAGATCAGGGTTTTTGACAGCGACATTTGCCTTTCATTGACTACCACTACCACTACGAGACCACCATAGCCACCATAACGACTGCACAAATGCCGCTACAACTTGGCGATGGCTACGATCCTTACTGTATACACTGCGAGAAACATAGTCAGTCGGTTGAGTACCAGCTTCATCATTCACACACAACAAATGTCAAGAGCTGGAGACCTCACGTTTCAAGGACAGTAGTCTAGAGTCTAGGCATTCCAACCGAAGAGCTGCACAGACACTTTTAAAATATGTGACCGAGGTTAAAGGAGATCGACATCCATGGAGGGGCGTCCTTGGGGTCCCAACCTCAGTGGGAGGTATGAACCTGATGACGCCATAGACCCGGGATGCCTGCGGAAGCAAATTTTGTGCGTTGTGAGCATGAGTTAGCAGCACATTGTACGTGTTGGAATGCTTGGTTCCGAGGCTGTCGATTCCTACGATCCGTGGCAAGACGGAGACATTATTGCTGGACTAATGTATGACAATGTATGATGAGCTCGAGCTTCATCATATGGTTTGTATATTTCACGTTGTCGCATCGGAAGCCAGAAGCACTCGGTCAACTCCATGGGAGCGATCGGGGACGATGCCTTCTGATGACAGTTGCTGATTGTCCTAGTTTCTCGCTCCACGCACGACTTCCAATCGCTACTTGGGCGCAAGTGCAAGGACATGGAAGCATGTGTTCATGTTTGGGCGCCTTTCATGTGTTTCTCTTGGACGAAGATGCACGTCGAGTGTATGTCATGTGTAGAAAGCAGCTTCGGTATGCTAGCTACCGACGCTTGGATGCTTGGATTGTTGGTTCTGGGCTTAACGCCAAAAACCTCAGGCTGCAACACTGTAGTTGGTGTTAGGGTGCTCGTTTGCATGTGGCTGGTTCCTTTGAAGTGTCCATGAGCCATTTTTTTGTCCCAGATCCTCCAAGCCCGTCGGTATCTTTCCAGTCATCCTAGAGGCTCACAGGGATGCTCTGGGTATATTGGGAAATTCTTTGAAAATTGGTTTTATGCTTCGCCACTCGATGTCCGAACAGTAATTCGTGACTTGCAGCGGCCACTCAACACTGACCGGGCACCGGAAGTGGCCCCCATGCAGTGCAATGAGCGGCAGCTTGCGCTTCTTGCTAATGTCCTACTGTTTCTACGCCCACCCATGTCTAGATTGTGCTAACTTCATGGTGACAGCCCATGAGTGGCAAGCCACTGGAGACTATAGCGCCAGCATCACGCGCGCGCTTTGTGCAGAAGGAGATATCGGTATCCTGTGCAAAACAAAGTTGACAAATGACTGAGGGACTGACATGAAGTAACTCATAGGCTATGCTCGGAGCGGGCGCGCGACAACTCGTCCACTCAGTTTCTTGTGCCGAGAGCTGTCATGAAGGATGCAACGCTCAGCAAGCATGCCCTGATCTCTCAAAGGGAGGGAGGGTCCAGTTCTGAGAACTAAACTGCACGCGGGGAAAAATCAAGTGTGCGAGCCGGAACGCCCACAACGATCGTCACCATCCCATGTCCGATAGGCACAGACTACCACAATGCTTTGAAACTTGGCCGAAGCCTGAGCTTCAGTTCTACTGGTCAGGAAGTGTGTCCAATGGCCTTCTGTGTACGATTTGGGTTGAGGGTGTTGGCGGGCCAACTAGGGCGTGCTGATCGATCCTTCCAAGGCTATGACATTGAAGCACTGTGCTGGCCCGAGTGGCTGCTTGCAGAGCAGCGGGTGGCGTGGGCCCTAAGCCACGGGTGTAAGCAGTTCCGGGCCCTTTGCCCTAGAGTCGTCAAGGGTACGGTGTGGAATAAGTTGATGAAAGGTCTCGGCCACCCTGAGTGCCACCACGATGACTGCTGCCCCAAACCCTACAAAATCCTCAGCCCAAGCCCCAAACCCCAAACGGTCATGAACCCAAGTAAGACCCTGTAAACCCCAAACCCAATATTCAATTTGCTTCGTCTGCATGGTCATTGGCGTCTGAAGAATAGTCATTAGAGCAAAAACCGGCCAAAGTAGGCGTCCACAGCAAATCCAGCAGTTTGCTACGTAGACAAATGGTGTGCTGTGTATTCTCACGACCTGATGTGCGGTAAGCCCGCCACTTGTGAAGCTGAAAGCTCTTTCCCCGCCAAAACAGTTGCTTGAAGCAGCCCTTCTCGAGGCCAAGCTCCTCCCACGCAGAGTAGTGGCTCCAGGGACAACTTTGGGCCACGTGGGTCGGGGCCTCTCTCGTAGCTGTCCTTGGCGGCATGGCAAGTTTCTGGGGCCTCGCAGAGGTTGACGAGTGTCAATCTTTGCCAAGGCGCAGATTCAGCCAAGTGGCACGGACCCAACTGCTATGCCAGTTTGCCAGTTTGCCAGTTTGCTGGGGTTCAGATGGAGTTCGGTGAGCTTGGTGCCTATCGTGTAAGAAGCTTGCCATAGCTTGCTCGATGTGCTCTGAGGTGTGATCTTGTGGGCAGGGCAGAAAGAACCGAGACCAGGATCTCCAGAACATACCTTTTCGTCCTCCTTTGTCCCCAGCACTGGAAAGGCAACGCGAAGCCAACGTTTTCTTGAGCAATCTCAGCGGGTGCTGTTCTTTCCACGTCACATGTCTCTCTCAAAAGCTCAAGGCTTGGACTGCCCGAGTCGTGCCGTGTCCTTGCTGGCACGACGGACCCTCGTGTGCTTGGCAACTGTGCGGGAAGACTTCTTCCCAGCAGTCCAGCTGTTTAGAGATTTCTATGATTTTGTATTGCCTGGGAGGATTCAATTGCAGCCTTCCTCGCTTCGGGCACGACGCAGGATGGGAACATGGGGAGGGAAGCATGAAGGAGGATCAGCCAAGCCCCCTATCCTGAGTCGGTAAGTTTGTTTTTTTTTGTTCTTGAGTGCTGGAGTCCTTATACTGCACGACGTCAGTACTCACGCGGTGTTTTGAATGAGCTCTGTGTTGTCTAGTTCATCGGGCTAAGCCTCATGCATTGCTTGGCACTGCTAGACCTCTGGATGCAACGGGAGAGAGAGAGAGAGAGAGAGAGAGAGAGAGAGCAACTGCTCACAATAGATGGGGGGCAAGCTAGTAAACAAACACCTGCATCACCGCCCAAGTTACTTTTAACGCTACGCGACCCGCCTCGGCCCGGCCCAGCGCATCCACGTGAGCATGGTGATTCCACAGCGCCCAAGTCGCTGGACCCCAAGCAGCAAGGGTTGGGTTTAGGGTTCCGGGTTTATGGTTTATGGTTTGGGGTCTAGGGTTGAGGGTTAGTTGAGGGTTGAGGGCTTAGGGCTCAAGGTTCACGGTTTGGGGTTTAGGGTTTTTGGGTTTAGGGTTCCAGGTTCAAGGTTCAAGGTTGAGGGTTGAGACGGTTCGGCTTGGATTGGGTTCGTAAAAAGTTGAGCCAGGCCCCTCAAGCAAAAGGGGGGCAGGGGCAGGGGGGGGGGGGGGGGGGGGGGGGGGGGGGGAAGGGGGGGTTTCAACCGCCCCTGGTCCTGGCGAACCGTCCCCGCTTTCAGATTGTGGTCGCCCACGAGGGGGGGCCCTTTCCAGGCAAAAAAAGGGGGCCGACGTGTGGCTTTGTTGGGGGGAGGATTTGGAGGGGGGTGCCTGTTCTCACAACCTATACACCTTCGGCCCGAGGCCTCGGCGGATTGTTAGCGTTAAGGGGGTTAGGGGTTACGTTACAACGGATTGTGGGGCGGTGAGAACTCACAGGGCACAGAGTCCAACCGACGGCGGTCCGACGGCACTAGGCGAGGGCTGGGGAGGTTGTTTTTGGAAAGGTTGCGGACAAGGGCTGAGGTTATTCGTGGGGTGTGCGTTGCTTGGTTAGGGGCTGTCGGGGACCGGTGGTAGAAACTCAGCAGGCGCGGGATCGGGGCGCGCATTGGCGCGGGGCTTGCCCCATGCCCAAAAGAAAGAATGAAAGAAAGAGCGACACAGTGAGGAAGTCTCACAACAGAAACGGATCCGGGCGAGCTTGCGCGCATGGGGTTCTTTCGGGGGGCCCTCCGTGCCCAGCAGAAGCAGCAGAAGAAGAAGAAGAAGCAGAAGAAGAAGAAGAGGAAGAGGAAGAGGAAGAGGAAGAGGAAGAGGAAGAGGAAGAGGAAGAGGAAGAGGAAGAGGAAGAGGAAGAGGAAGAGGAAGAGGCAGAAGAATCAGAAGTGAGAGTGCGAGTGAGAGTGAGAGGGAGCGAGAGAAAAGGTGAGTCGCACGAGAAGGGATTTCGCGTTGGTCATTGTCTTTATTTGTCTTTCATTTGAGGCTCAGCCTAGCCATGTTTGTGCACTTTTGGTTTTCCCCGGTGCTGAAGGCAAAGCCCGTAACTCGTAACAAGAAGTATGTCAGCGTTCAGGATGCGGCATTGCAGTCCACATTCTATGAATTTCGGGCTTGCGCTGCGCATGAGCTCGATGAGCTCTCAAGATGTAAGTTTCGTGCAGGTCGGTGAAGCCGTCACATCCCTGGGCTCCACCATGGCCCTGTAGCCCAGACAAAGGCTTACAGTGCTGGGGCGACACAGACCTGGTGAAAGTAGACGCCATAGCATGGGGTAGGGATGCATAGTCAGAAGTGTTTTTGAGCATTTTCTGAGCCAACATGGTCGTGTTCCGGGAAGTTCCGGGACACCGACTCCAACATGGCATGTCAATGCATTGCGGCATGTGCCGAACTTCCCTCATTTGTTCGCCCGCTCATCAGCGAACCCTCAATATAGAACCCAATCTCCCAACAATCTCCCACTCCTCGGCCCCACTACTTCAGAACTCTCCCGGCCCCCCCAGAACTAGGTTGGATCGAGTTGAACTAAGGTCGAGTCTGGGGATTAGGCTTAAGGGTGTCGGGATCAGGCTTTCCCCGGAGGCGTACAAATCATTACCTGAGGACTGGCCCCTAACACTCTGACGGGGCATCCCTGAGCAGTGTGCTCATGAGCCAATTCGCAGCCTGAAGCCTGGCCCATCCCCTGCACCAAAGAAGCAGAGGCCATCAAGATGCGCAGCCTTGTTCGCGTAGAGGATGCAGCCTTCGGGGTCCGGGCCCTTGCGTGGGCACGTTTCGTTGACAATCAGAGGTCTACTCAAGAGCCGGTGCTGCGGCCAGGACACGTGCAAGCAGCTGGCTTTGTAGGGGTCGTCCAAGCGGTACACTTCCAGCTGTCAACGGGCAAGCTTTGTATTCCGGCGCCCTCAAAAGCCAGGTCTACAGCCACCGCCTGGGCGGCGACCCGCTCCAATGGCTTGCGCGAGGGCCCAGATATGCACAGCAATGTACGAATTCTACGTGTATCCCTGCCACTTTTTCCCTTGATCCTGTGATGATGCAAATTTCGGCCAGCTTATGCAAGACTACGCTTCTTGCATCTTTTTGCTTGTTGCTTTCCAGTTCTCTATCCATGTACCTACACATGTGCTGTTTTCAACGCCGCGGCCTTGAACCAGGCTTGCATGGGCAATAACGATCGGACGACCAAGGCTTGAGAACTGGCCCAAATCAGGAAAGCTTGTGAGAGCTTCTTGCCCCTCCGCTACATCGCTGCAGCACATGCCGGGCATCTACAGGCAACTAGAAGACAGGAACTGACTTTTCGGTTGCTGTTGTGGCAGTTGAGCGGCGGCATAGCAAGAACACTCACAGGAACACACACGCATAACAGAATTCCCTTATGCGATGCCCTACTCTTCATGTTCATGTCACAGGCAGACGACATGGTTGCTGACAACTGCTTCGTGAAGACGTGCATATGACACAACAAGGGCATCAAGAAACCAAGCCTTCGAATCCTTCAGCATGATTGTGTTTTGGACTCTAGAGCATGTACTGTTCCTTTGCTGCAGCAGCATGCCGGTGGAACGTCGCAAAGTGTTGATGCTAAGCGGCTGGGGCAGCGGGCCTTTGGAGGAGCGCGGCGGTCATGTGTTGCCAGTGGTATGCGTGGAACGTGTCTTTGCTAGAGAAGGCAAAGTTCAAGGTCCGCTCGCATAGTTCAGACTGGAGAGCAATCGAAAGCATTTATATACTGAAGTGCTAGCTGCTAGTCATAAATGCTTGCGAAACACCGCCTCGGCAACTAGGCTGGAGCGGAGGGACTCGCACGTTGGCAGTCCAAGCGGTGCACGCACAGTCGGGCTGCAGATGCGGAAAGCGACTCTGGGTGGAGCAAACCGGCGCCGGAAAGCCGGAAAGCAGCCGACCCGCAGGGCCTTTTGAACCAGCAGCACAAGTGAGCTTGGGGGACGCATAGGCTTGCTGAGTCTTGTTTGCCTCGATTAGCAGTCAAGGCTTGCAGTGTCAGCAGGCGGTGCGAAATCTTCGGTGCACTTGTTGTTTGGGCTCGTGTGCTTGTTGCCAAGTGATGGTGTATTGGGTGGCAAATAGTTAAGAAGGTCGCAAAAGGAGGGTTCTCTCACCAAACTGGAAGGGTCTTGTGCTGGGCACCGGAGGGGTCGCGCATTTTGCGCTTTACCCCTGGACCCGCACAGCCCTCAGCACTTCTCCCACAAGGGGGGAGGGGATTTCACTCCTTGTCATGGCATGTCGAGATAAAGACGCTGATGAGTCATGGCCGTGTTCGGTCAATGGTCATGGCAAAACACTCTGTTTGTGACACCTTTCCCTTGGTTGGCGGACAAGAGCCACCGCTGGCGGGTTGCAGGTCCTTTGTGCACACTTCTCATCTGTGGATTTCCTGGAGCCTCGAATTCCGATCCTGGTCCGCATCAGTTTAGAGAAACTTCGCTCTGCGCAAGAAAATTCACAGCTGCTGTTGTGGTTGTTTGGCAGTTGGCGATTGGTCGGTGTTGGTGGCTGTCCGCATGTCGGTTGTACGTTGTGGTTGTTGTCAGCTGTCCGTTTTGGCGGTTGTTGTGTTGTTGCTGCTGTTGTTGCTATTGTTGCTGCTGTTGCTGTTTCTGTTGCTACAGTTCTTGCTGCTGTTGCTGTCACTGTTGTGTTTGCCGTTGCTGTTACCGCGGTGGTTGCTGCCCATGACCCGCATCCATCCAAGAAGCCCAGCGCTGCGAAGCTGCAAATATGAATGTCGGGGCATTGCCAGCCTGGCGATTTCCGGACTACTCATAGCTTGTCCAATTTGTCCACAAGCTCCCCTGGAAAGCCTTGCTTATATACATATACTATATACATATATGTAAAAATGTATGTATCTATAGAGAGATTAATTTATTTTTGTATATATGTGTGTATATATCTATATTTATATTTATATTTATATTTATATTTATATTTATATGTATATTACATTTGCATTTATATTTATATTTATATTTATATTTATATTTATATTTATATTTATATTTATATTTATTTCTGTATATTTATATAGGCAAAATGAACCATACCTCAGTGGCCGAGGAAGCCGCCGCTGGGAGTAGAGACGCTTCGGAGCCCGTGCTGTTGGCTGATCGCGGGCACCCAAGTGCTTGTGCACCTGAACCAAGATACTTCCGCAGCGGAAGGTATAAGAAATGATCTTCGTGCGTTAAAGGATGAACTGATTTCGCGCAGAAGTCTCCAAAGGTTTCTGGTCAAGCCTGGCCGAGTCGATGTTTGCAGCAAAATTAGTGACAATGCTTCCAAGGTGGGCATGGTGATCGTTTGCGTGTTGGCAGTAGCCACTTGCAGCTTGGCCGCATGGATCATCATTTCGTTTGCAATCCCGCAGATCTGAAGAGTCTTACAATTGCGGCCTCGGGCATTTGATGCTCACAGCCCTGATCACGGAGAGGGAGAGAGGGAGGGAGGGAGGGAGAGAGAGAGAGAGAGAGCGAGAGAAAAAGTTCACGTCGGGGATGTAGGGGGGTGTAGGCGTTGTCCGCAGGGGCTCTCAATAGGCGATCGGCGCATGAACGATGCATTGGCGGGGGAATTGACCCCACATGGCCCGCAGAATGAAGCAGCATCCTAGTAGGCAGTGCCAGCACTCGTTCGTCGTGGAATACAAAGCGGGGCATATGCAGACTCCTATCCAGGGGGAAGCTGGGCAATCTGCCGGGGGGAATATACGCATCACACAGACAGGACTATCTATGGATTGGGTGCGCCTTGTGCGCGAGGGGTGCGTGCCTGCACCCCCCAAGCCCCGAAGAAGAAGAAGAAGAAGAAAGCTCACGTGGCGGGGCAAAGTGAGGCATGGGCGCGAGTTCGGATGCGCTTACAGACAGAATGGTGTTGAAGTAGGGATAGGGGGGGGGGAAGGGGGAACATCCGAGCTGCCTCAGTGTGTGGGCCTCAGTCGTTGCAGTATCACTTGGACACGAGACACCATCTGGTACGCCTAGCTCGCGGGGAGGGGTCTCCCTCCTCAAGCCCCGCAGAAGAAGAAGAAAAAGAAGAAGAAGAATAAAGATCAAGTGCAGTGGAAGGAAGGAAGGAAGGAAGGAAGGAAGAAATACAGAAAGACAGAAAGAGCGAAAGAAGGAATAATGTAAAAAAACAAAGAAAGAAATAATACCTTAAGACGCTGCTGACATTGAGACATCTGACATCGTGCAGTCACTGGCTTCATGACTTGGTTTTCAGGCAAAATCGGGCGCTGCTTATCAAGCACCTCTGAATCCCGAAGCCGGCCAGTTGGTCCAACAGCCACGGTTCCCCCCCCCCCCCCCCCCCCCCGCGATGCGGTTGAACATGCCGAGCATGTGGGGGAAATCTTGGCTGTTGCCATTTTTACATGTCGCCAACAAACTTTCCATTTTCGAACTGATGACATGACTCGATTTTCTTCTTCGGTCACTCAATCCGGTCGCTCGCAATAGCCAGGAAATTGCCGCAAGGGAAACACCCTGAGAAGGAATCTGCTTTGATTCCAAGCCCCCACCATCACCGTGGATGAGAATGAAGACACCACAAGAAGAACACTCTATAGGCACTACTTATAAACTCTAGTTCAAGGTAAGGAAAAGAAGGTATTGTCAAGGTCCTGAACTAAGGCCAAATCTGGTTTGCCTCAAGCACAGCATGGGGTATTCGCTTTGCGGCGGTCCTCTTCACAGCCGATTGGACACCAAGTAAGGGGTCTCCAAGAGTGGAGAGAGCTATGAGGAGCAGTTTCACGAGGCACTTTAACCTATTCGGAGTTTAAGAGGATAGGCAGGAATTGCGCGGGGGCCGCGGGAAAAGGAAATGTGGGTTTTCACAACTTCAGTCCAAGTTGGGGAAGGCACCATGCTCAGTTCCTTGCTTGGAGATGTCAGTTTCTATGCAAGGCCCTGTCGATTCGACTCTCAGTTGCTGGCCTCGTACGCCGTGCCTTGCAAGATGGGTGCCCCGCTCTGAACTGAAGTGGTCGTGGGTCCGTGTCTGAAGAATACTTGTGGATTCTCCTTGCTTCAGTGATCAGTGGACTGGTGATGGTAGCTGCTTCCGGATGTTCGACCTCCCTCCTGTTATCTTGCAAACTGCCCCATGGCCCCCCACAGCTCTGCAAAGCGTCAAGCTGGCTAAGCCCAGCAGCCCTTAAGAGGCCAAAGCCCAAGAAAACCGAAGACAGGATAGGAGTCGCGGTTGGGTTCTCCGGATCACTCCAATTCTTTATCCTCTCCTTAAGGAAGCGTGTGGTTTGCAAGGCGATCCGGGACTTCGAACCTGATGTGCGACTTGGCTTAAATGGGGGGCCCTTTTTAAAGGCCCCGAAGTATGAGAAGTAAAGCACGAGAAGGATTCAAGGGGCGCAGTGGCAAAAAAGCTTTCACAATTTCGGGGTCATGGAGACTCTGTGGTTTTTTGGTTTCGAGCGGCATCGGGTTCAAGCCTGTGCTCTGCTAGGAGGCAAGGCTTCTGAGATTCCCCTGGCATGTCACATGCTGAGGTTATTGGGATTTTCCTGGGGCGGCGGCTTGATTGTTTGGCTGCTGGCAGAAGGGGAGCCTTGAACCAGCAAGCCAGTAAGAAATGGCTGCACGCAGAAACCCAAGCAAGACAGTGTGCAAAGTGCATCCAAGGAGTGGGGAGGCCCGACAGCATCTTGGCATGAGGTGTTCCATAAGAAGCTGCATCCTTTCGCCTTTTGTGACTTGGAAGGTTCTCTTGGTTCCGACGTACCGTGCACTGGCGCGCGCTTGCTGGACCACCCTGATCTTCTCCAACAACACGTGTTCTTCTGTCCACGTTTTCCATGCCACCTGGCGGCCAGTCTTCCTGCGGCATAGTTCAGCCGCTGCAGCTGCCAGCTCCTTTGTGCCAAGCCCCTAAGGGTCAAAGTTCGGCTTATCAACCTTCAGTTGCCCGAGCCAGAAATTCTTCGACTTTCGCAGCAGCTGTGTCCACGAGATGAACGAAGGCTCTGAATGACCGGTACTGCCCAGCCGTGCAAGTTGAAGAATCTGGGCTGCTGTGGGACAGGGCTTGGGCAATGAACTCTGCTTCAGAGCTCCAACTCCAGACACATGTAAAGTAGAAGCCAAGCCCTTGTACTTCGTTGCCTAATATGGCTCCTCGAATCGATATTAAATGTGGAATCGGAAGGCCATTCGAGCCTAACGCCCTGAAGCAAAGCAGCAAGGAGCTGAGTGCAGCTGGCTGCACTGTACACCTTTGCGCCCCTTGCACGCAGTTTGGTGCCAGTTGATCCAGGACCATGGGATCATGCGAAAAATGGGATCATGACTGAAGGGAGGGAGGCATCGTAGAAGTCAGATCCGGCTCCCCAGCGGCTCTCCTGAAAACAAGGCTCATGAATGCATGGACATCTCAGGAAGACGATCACATCCTTATGAGTCGCCAAAGCGTCCTGGAAATCGCAAGATGCTAGGCTGCAGGAGTCAGATGCGCTAGATTACGACTTCGTGAGATTGTACCTCACATTGTTTTGTTTTTGAGGGTTGTGGTTCTGATGTCTGACCTCGTTGGTCGTGTGAGTGCCTCAATACCGCTTCTGATTCAAGTTTCCAAAAGCTGTCCCTATAGTCTATAGTCTTTTCAAAAGCTTAGTCAAATATCGCGCCGTCGGGTTCTGCCCGTCGAGCTGCGGAGGGGCCGTCTTATGTGGGAAGGGCTTGCACAAGATTCTTGTGAAAATGTAAACGAAGGGCTTGCGAGGATTGCATCGGATGCAAGCAGCTTGTGAGGGCCTGCTTCGTGGAGCCATGTGGGCCATAGCAGGCTTTAGCAACTGCAGAGAGTCTTCTCAGGATGCTTCCGCCAGCTCTTGGGTGACGCAGAAGGCCGAGACCGAGAGGATGTTCTCGGCAAAGCCAACCTTTAAGGCCGGGACAGATGCACCTGCCATGCCTGCGTGAAGATGCCGAACTTCCAGGAAGGTGTGGGGTGTTAGGTTAGGCTTCCAGGCTATTTCCTAAAGCTTGCAGCTCTGTCCGAAGACACTGTTTTGTTTTAACGTCGTGGCCTTTGCTTTCTTGACCATGTAGTATTTCCCTAACCGTTCTCAGCTTTTGCGGAGGAGCTGCGGCTTCAACCCCTCGACCGGCGTGCAACCTTTTCTTCAAGCTTGCCTAACTTCTCCAAGCGTTTGCCACACGTGCAGCCTACAGCAGGCTTCTTCGGCGCTGTTCTATCCATGCTTGTGATGCAAGAACACCGGGAACTTCCAGCTCTCTAAGCTTTGCACCACGCAAAGACCGCATCCACGAATACCTGGAGGAGGCGAACGCGACGCGGATCGGAAGCAGGAAACACACCAGATAAGGCAAATGTGGTGAATGCCGTGTGGCTTCAAACCAGGAGAGCGGGAGAATCGGTCTCAGGATGTGGGTGGCCTTCAAATGGCTCATTCGTAGACTGCCTGCGTCCGTGTTGGCTCGGCCGAAAAGATTCTGATGCCCCACAGCTTCACGCGACTTTGTATGATTGCTTCTCAGCTCCCCAAACCACTTCGAAAGCTTGAGGTTGGAGGAGCTTCCAACACTGGAGGTGTGGTTCTTCGCAGCTTTCCAGCACGTTGTAGGGATGCTGCGGTCATGGTGCCCATTTTGAAGCCCGGTAATCTAGCTTAGGCAAGTTCTTCACGGATAAGGCGGGCTGCCTTGACAGTTTCTTGACGTGTCTTCACTGCTTGAGCCGACACGTCAGAATGACTATGCTCATACGAGTGAGTTGGACGAGACCATCAGTGATCCGACATCGTGGGTTGCAGCACTCCGGCAGGCACTGAAGCAGCTCAGTGAGGAAATCGATCCCAACGCCGATTCAGGCCCCATCCATTCCAGCCAGTTCCATGAACATTTGGCGCTTTCTTTGCCAGCATGTGACCGTCACTGAGCTCGCTAAGACTTTACAGTAAACACCGACAGCCCGAATGGAGATCGTAGCCTGGCACGTTGAACAGCGCAGGCTTGGACTACTATCCACTACCCTCTCCGGGTCAGCGTGTGCCTCAGGAGAATTATGAGTGGAGTTGAGTCGAAGCTGGGCGCTTGGCACGTGCGTGGGAGCTCCGCAGCCTGAAGAAGTCCAACCTTCAACCGATTGCTCCAGGCCCAGTGCAAAGTTGAAGAGGTAACTCCATGACAAGAAAAGCAGGCGCTTCCCCGTGTGCGACAGCACCCTGGAGCCACGCCTCGAGCCGCGCCCTGCCTCAGATGCCCGGACCTTTGAGATGTCGGGATTTGCCGCCTGACACCTGAAGAACTTCTTACCCACATCGTACCCAGTCAGATGTGGCGGTGCTGCCCTTAAGTGCTTAATCCTGCAAAGCACAGACGCACGGCTCTCAGAACGAGAAAGATGCACCATGATGCGCACGCGTCCACATATACACGCACGCTTCGGAAAGTATTACAAGAACACATTGTATTACCAGTCCTACAGCAGCTCTACGTTTCTGTTCGCGAGAAGCCCAATCCAATTCCAAGAGGCCCAATTCCTGCACGGCATCCTTGAGGGAATGGCGAAGATCGAGGCACCGGCTTGCACTGCGGAGGGGACTGAAGTAAAAAATGAGGGTGTCAGGGGTGAGGCGTGAGCCGTCAATCATGCCAGAAATAATTATTCCATATAGTCGAAGGATGAAGATGGGCGGCACTGCAGCGCTGCTCTGCATGCGGAGAGCTCCTCTAAACAGCCGTCCGGGGACTCTTGAATGATCAGATACCCGCAGCCTTGGCCGGGTTGAAACAGGGCTATCTGGCCTAGCTGCCTTCCATTCTGCGTGCGTGCCCATCCAAAGAAAGGTGACTGGAACTGGGCCACTAAACTCCTCATCTTTGCAGCGGCAATTTGTTGGTTTGAATATGTTTCGGTACGTATCAGGCACTCAGACCTCACAGCCCCGTGTTGCTGTGGTTGTGGAGTTCTTGGCGACCTTAGTAGACATTTGTGCTGACTCGCTAATTCGACTGATTGCTTCTGAAAAAGCGTGTTCTGCTCAAAAGCCACGAAGGCCTGGCCAAAATAAAGCGCATAGAACCGCTACCTCAGATTGATGCCCACTTGCCGTACGGTGGACGTTCTTGATACCACCATGGACCATGGTTTTCGAGTTTTCGATGCCTGCGAGCTGGCTGAGTTCCTCAGAATTGCGAAAGTCGGCTGGTTCTGTGTCAGCATGCTCGCGAGCAACAGCAGCGGGTATCCATGCAAATGCAATGGCAATGAACTCTGCAAGAGACAAGGAGGTGTACACAAGACATCCTCAAACCAAATACAGCAGCGGCTGCAAGAAGAGTGCATGGGCATGGCCGAACATGCTCATCGTCCTTCGCATAAAGCGCGCTTCTTCCAGGAGCTTGCGCAGCGGGCGAAATTGCCCCCGCAGACCCAAGCACAAAACTCGAGAAACAAAAGACAAGGCTGGACAACAGATCGACAGCTTCTTTGCATTGCGCCGCCTGTGGGGGGGAACCTTCATTTCAGGCCGCTGGATACGGAAAGCTCGCTGAGCTCGGGGCTGGCGACGTTCGTCGTGTCGGGGGGGCTCAGTATCATTCAGTGTCATGCCAAGTCCTTGCTTGCCCTTGCCAGTGACAGGCATTCAGCCAGAGCATCACGGTTTAAGTTAAACGCAAGCTTGCCTCTGTCGTGATGTGGCGGTTCAACTGGTGCAGAGTTCGGTTCAACTTCTTGGAGCTTGCCCATGAGTTGAGGTCGTGACCGCTGGGGGCGGCGCCAAAAATGCAAAGTGGTGCCTGGCCTTAAACAGAGCGGCAAAGAGCTTCGGCTGCCGGGATATAACTTGGTGGAGTCGCCAGAAGCCATCACATGCTGTCACATCGGTCGGAACATGTCGGAACTATAGATTAAGACATGATTAAGACTCAGAGCCTGGTGCTGACAGGTGCCAAATCCGACAGCGCCTCATCGGAGTGCAGGCATGTTGAAAGCCAGATATAGCTAGGCAGCTAGATATTGCCCGCTGAGAAGATAGGTAGCCGGAGGGAACTCGCGGGTATGGCTCTCATCATTCCGCGTGCCTGACGCATCGATTTCCAACATTCTGCGAACAAACATTATCCCCAACCCATCCAGGGCCCAAAGGGTCGTAACAATGAGATCACATGAAAGAAACGCCGCCCCCCTCCCCCACCTTGTAGATAGCAAACGCTGCATGTGGAATGGGGACGAACACTCACTCGAAAGTCGTTCGCGGTTTGTCTACGCGGGGTTCCGGAGTCGGGAGTTCGGGTTGTTGAGACTTGTGCTGGGGTCCCTTTGGTCCATTCAAGTTCCGTCTTTCGGGGTCCATCGGCCGAGTGGGATGTCAGACGTGTGGGCTTTCGGTTCGAACCAGAGGTTCACCATGAGAATCCCTGACGCTGGGGGAGGAGAGAGAACGCCAATCTGCCCCTCCCCAAGAGTCGAAAGCAGGTCCAGAGCGCCGAGTGGACCGAGGCAGCCTGCGGGAGTGCCTTGCTTGCCCTGCGAGGTGCGGAGCGTAAGAGTGAGAAATGTAGGCAAGGGTCTATGGATCCAATCTAGGAGCGGGGGATTCGATGATTTCCTGGGCATTCGCTGTGGAGGTTCCGTTCTGGAAGGTTTGGGAGGGGTATGGGTGTTGAAGGGCTCTCGGAAAACATGTCGTGTTTTTTCTCTCTCCTCTTTTTGTCTGAAAAAAGAATCGAGTCATATAGGGTGCCAAGGTGGCAGCGAGGCAGCTTGGCTGGGTCCCGAAACATAGCGTTGAAGTGCTTCGCGGCCTCTGAGCTCGAATCCGCTTGAAGTTAAACATCCGCTTGGCTGTTGGAGGACCCAGCCTGCTTGGCTGATGCTGGGCAGAGAAGAGGCAAGCCCGGCAAGTGAGCATCTGCCTTTGCGAGTACCTAGGATCCGGATTCTAGGTCCCCCAAACAGGACACTCATTTTGGGAGCCCCCCCCCCCCCCACATCTTCTCCTTCTTGGCTCTTGCTAAGTGCCTTGGCGCGGCACAGAGTCCTTTTTTGTTTTGCTGGACCTTGGCTGGTTGCAGTCTGTGGCCCCTCTGCCCTCAGAGCTGCAAACCCACTCTGTAGACCAGAGTCTTTAGTTCTAGCTATAGAGCATCTTCGACCGTCCCCATCCTTAGTTCTTGTCAATCTCCCCCCTCTTTTGCGGAGCTCAGTTGCAAAGCTTGGGACTTCGAGATACCTCGAGCCGACGAATTTTCACCCATGAGCACCCAACCTCCGCATTGGTCTCCGCAGCCGTGGCCGCAGCCCCTCCTTAGTTCCCTGCACTCATGGCGGATGAGGAGCAGAGGAAGAAACGGCGGAAGGCAACAGGGTCGAGGTTGAGTGCAGCTTGCGGGTTTCAGTTTGCAGCAGGGTTCTCGGTTCGGCGGGTTCGGTCAGCTCGCCGACTCGCCGACTTTCGTGTTTCTCTCTCTCCCTCTATCTCTATCTCCATCTCCCCAATGTGTCAAATATACTTTTGCTTCTTTGTAGCTCTTTTCAGTAACTCTGTTCGGCCTCAGACATTGTGGTTAGAGTCGAGGGTGTCGTCGCTCCTTGTCGTGCTTATGCAGAGGTGAGGGCTGCGCTTTTCCGAACGGAATGTTTTTTGTGGTTTTGTTGTTCCTCTGACTGATGGTCAAAGCCATTCGCATCTCAAAGCCGAAGAAGCGTTGCAGGGTTTAGGGTGTGACCAGGCAACAGGCGAAGGGTTTTGGGGCCCCCAAGCATCCTGACGCAGACAGGAAGCCCTGACCAGGCTCGATTCGCAGGCCGTGGGCATGGGACAAAGTTTTGCTGGGCTTCTGGAGTGTCTTCAGGTGCAGGAAGAGTCCAAGGTACGGGCTGACTCCAGGGGTTGGAACTGCCAGAGAAAAGAATGGAATGCTGCATATCAGCGCGGGACTCCTGAGGGGTTCACGTGGAGTGGCGAAAAAGGAAGCTGGTTAATTTTCCAAGGAGGAGATAGAAGCTGCGTTCGATCGAGTGTTATCGAGCACATGCAGAAGGTTGAAGTATCCAGTGGGTGGCCGCTCGTCCTTGTCCTTGCAGGCCTTTGTGCCGTCGTCCAAGTCCGTATATGCGGACACAAACGGAGTTCCCAGGAAGAGGGCATTTGCATGCATGTGCTCGCTTACTCTAGCTTCGATAGCCTTCATTGCCCGTGCCTCCAGCAGAACATGGTGCAAAATCTGCATTGTAGTTCCACACCAAGAGGAGTGGGGATCCACCACGCGTTCTCCATCTCGGGCTGACCGACGGAGTGGCTCGGCTGTGATACGAATTTACAGCTTTATTGAAAGTTATACATTGCTTGGCAGTGGGAAGAGGGGCCAGGGCAGAAACTGAGCGTTCACACAGCAAATGTCACGCGTCTTTGTAGGCATCTCCTCTTCTGCCATTGCCTTTCATGCTGCTCTCAGGAGATCGCCAACCGAGTGGTGGTTGTGGGCTGCCTGTTTGCGATCCAGTCTGTGACATGTCAGTGGCTGTCAGCCGGGGTTAGATCAGGACGCTGGTTGCATATTGTGCACGGAGATGGTGTCAACGTCTGTGTCGGAGCGCCGAGTTTTTCCTGACATTTTCAAAGCGAGCTCTCGCGACACGTTTCGTGCAGCATGTTGATGTTGGACTAGCGCTGGCTGGCACCGTGTGTCCAGTTTCGGCTTATCCCACGAATATATGAGCTGCTTGAAAGCGGCTTGGATGTGTTCCGAGATAGGATGCCACGTTCTGGCAAATAATTGAGGTGACCCGTGGCTCGCTGTCCGTGTGTCCTGCTGGTTTGCAGAGTTGCATGTGTGGGCCAGTCGTTTTCCACTGTGTGTCGTATTTGTCGTCGCGTAGATGTGGGAAGACCCGTCGGCTCAACAAGTCGCCTGAGGTCATCACTCGCGCGCAGAGCTGCTTAGTGGCTTTCTGTCACCCGAGGTCGGGGCACCGCTAAATTAATCCCTTTCAGCACCTCAAGCAGCTTCATGAATCTGCGCGGCATCACATCAAATCTTTAGCTTTCCTTCCCTTCCGACATAGACTCCTGGACTCTTCGACACTGTCCAGCCCTTCAGGACAGCACAAACTTCTCCCAACTTCTCCCAACTTCTCTGCTGCTTCAGGGCCCCGAGCTCTTTAAGCTGGCCTCGGACCGTGGGTTCCTGACCTACACGGGACTCTTCAACGGCCAGAGGCAGGGACTGGGAACTCCACCTGAGGGCTACCTGTGCCCGGCCTGTGCCCCTGAAATCTTGGAGGCCCAGCAGAGTTGTGCTTCAGAGTTGAGGCTGAGCATCGTCTCGATCGGCATGGGCTTGCCCATGATGGCGACTTGGGCCTTGCAAGAAGCCGCCAGACTCTCTTTTTTGGGGCAACACGTGTCAGAAAGGGCAGATCGCGATCTTGTTTGGCACGATTCCCGTGTGGCGGTGCACACTGTGGGGGAGTTTAGCTTCTGGATGGGCTCCCGCCTATTGGGCTCACGAGAACCGGAGCCAGGTCATGCCGTTAATTCTGCCCAGGGCATGGACCAAGCTCTCGTCTGGACACCTTCTTGTCTTGATGCCTAGACTTAGACCTGGTGTCTTTTATCCACTCCTGACACTGTTGAGGATTTCTTCGTCCGGGAAGCCCGCGCCATTGTGACGCTTGACGAGCTAGAATCGCTAGAGGGCGTGCAGTCATGACATGCCGCATCGTCTCACTGCATGTTGTGAGAAAACGGGGGTTCCCGCGGCAAACGCCCGCATTTTGAATTGCTGTCAGGAAGGGACCCATGGCTATCGTGCGGCTGGGCACGTGCGGGTGCCTTCAAGACTGGGTGCCCTCCGACCTGATTCAGGGAGTTAGAATCTCGGACTTGTGCTGCTTCATCAATGGTGCTATATGGCCGCGAAGCAAGCTCGCCCATCTACACGCAGTAGCACGATAGTTTTGCCTCGAGGAAGGTGGGGTGCGTGAGCGTGGCCTCCGCGGGATCCGCGCTGGCGCAGCGGAACTACAGCATCTCGGTGTCTTACAAGACGTTAGTTTCCCAGCAGAAAAATACTGACGGCAAGCCAACCCCGAAGTTCTATGAAACATCCTCATTTCGCATTCCTATCACTATACACCTGGCCGGTTTGAGGGAGATTTCGATTTCGGCAGATCTGTTCTGCTGGCATCCATATACAGCATATTTACGAAGTACTTACGACGTGAAGGCCACGCAGGCATCTCAGGTCACTTTGATGCGCCGGAGCTCCATGCTGCTTCTTGGCACTGCGATGGAGATGTGAGTTGCCATTGCGTGGCTTTTAGTGGCCCTGTCGCTCGTGCTTCCAATGTTTCTGTCCTTCTTGAAAAGGGCTGCACCCGGGCAGAAGCTGTGCCCCGCGGCCTCTGAGGGGTCCGAGCCATACTTGATTTCGGACCTCTGTTTGCCAGATGCAGACGCCCGACTGCACGCAAACACCAAGAATATGTGACTTCTTCATGGTGTGTGTGATTAGGCTGGAGTTAGTTGTCGAACATGCCCCGAACTGCTGCGCGTGCCTATGCGCCAGTTCGGCAATTTATCGGGATCTCTGCTTTTGTGTTGAATGCATGATAACTCCCCAGCCCTTGAGCTGGAGCAGAGAGCAAAAGGGATGAAGCCTGGGTTATGGAGTTTGGAGGTTAAGACACCAAGCAGGGTCTTGCCAGGTGGCAGAAAGATCACGGCTGGAACAGTGGTTACGCGATGAAGGGATCAAGGAGGGCTTTAGTTGGGGATAGTGGGTTGAGAAAGCAGGGACGAAGCAAGATTTATAAAGCTTAAGCAAGGTTTGGAATGAAAGCTGACAGGATGAAAGGAAACTGAGGTCAGAAGGGGCAGAAGAGGTAAGTGCCGTATTCTAAATCAAGATGGCAACATGCGAAGTGTCAGTCAGGAAAGCAAACACGGGTTGGCCCACATTAAATGACGCCAGTGCCGATGAACGAAAGCACATTCGCAAAGGACCTCACTTCGCTGGTCAGCAGCTCGCTTCGCGAAGCTCTGGGGGCAGAGAAGGCGCGACAAGAAGAAATGGATCGGAAGAGCTCTTGAGGACGTTGGTGAAAGAGTGAGCAGCATGTGGTGAGAGGATTCTGCTAGATTCTTGCCTTTAGCTGTGCCTCAGGTGGTGGAGGGCATCAACATCACGGCCGATTCCTTTTACTCCTCACAGGGTCGCGCAGACCCTGCTTTCGAAGATGAGAGCCCTGACTGGTTTGGGCACTAAAAAGATGCGCTGCAGCGGCTACCAACTCAAAATATTGGGTTCTTGCGAGCTTCAAGGCCGGCATGTGCTTTGCATCCTGGCTTCGCCCAGGAATAGCGCGCTGATCGAGAAGGTGCTGCAGCGATACCCCAAGGCCATCACTATGGCCTCTCAGCACCCACCAGTATAAGATATATAGATAAATAAATAGACAAATACTAAATAAATAGATATATATATATATATGGAGGTTTTTCTTGTATACATATGTGTGGTTTGTTATCAATTCAGGTTCTAGCCGTCTATAAGTAGAGGAGAAGGTGCCCAGGTTGCGAGTCTGCAGCTTTCAGAGCACAGGTGAGCTATCAGATTTGTTTCTGCTTAGTCGGTCCTCGGATCGGAGGCTGAAGGTTGGAGATTTTCAGGAAGAGTTTTCAGAGCATCTTTGATCCAACACGCAGTCCGATTGAGCACCTCAAAGCGCTTAATCAGCTTCCGGATCGAAGATTGAAGAGAGTCTCTTTTATCTTCAGTCCGATGATGCAGGTTGAGGTGCTTGATCGGACTGCGTGTCCGACAGAAGATGCTCTGGAGACTCTGCCTGGGCTCTTCAATGTTTGATCCGGAGGAATTTTAAGCAAATTAATCATTGAGGTGCTCCATCGGTCTGTTCTTACGTTTGACTCTAAAAATGTCTTAGGAATTGAGTTATCCATCCGTCACTCCTTCATTCTAAGAACATATGCTGTCATGTAGGCCGGGCTCTTCACACAGCGCTACACAACCACTGCTTCCCGCAGCCTCTATCCAGACGATCCCTCTCCTGAGTCATAGTCCGGGTCCCCCTGGCCGCACATAGAAAGTGAAAGTCCATAACTGGCGGTCAGGTATATGGATGAAGCTCCTAAAGCTGCAGTTTACGTGTATTCCCGGAGGCGGTTCACGATTTTTGCAACCAAAGTATTAATACTCAGGGACCAACATACTTCTTGTATTCAGGGGCTATAGATACTAAGTACATGAACGAAAGCTATTTTTAATGAATGCAATTCTTGATACAGTACTTGTTCCTTCCAATGTAGCATGAAAGTTTAGCTCGCGTACTTGGAGGACGGCACTCTTCCTGCAACTAATTTATAGGGCGAATCGAAGTTTAATTCAACCTAACTGAATGTTATCTTTTACCAGGGGCTGCTGATACCAGTTGATAGAGCCAGAATAACAAACACCTTTTGCTTAAGCAATGCAATGCTTTCAGAAACTGAATGAACAGAGCTTCTAGAGTTGTACTCCTCGCTATATGACTTGCCCTGCAAAGTTGGAAATATGTTTAAATCAAGTGGGTTGAGATAGTTGGAAGAGGCCGGGTATATTCCTCAAGTTGCTTATCTTAGTAAGTGACTGCTTGTGCAAATCGCAGTCCATCTTCACCATGTTTAGATCAGAATAATCACCCAGTTAATCTGACCATTGAAACCCCCAAGGGGTTTCAAGAGGGAACTCAACCGCGGCGTTGCGAGGGGTTTTGGCTTTGATCGCGGAATCTCATCGGTTCTCCCAGTCGCTGTTCGGCATGATTTCGGAATACTCCCCAAGTTCCGGCACAGATGAGGCCTCTGGGTCATGGCTCGGTTGATGGTGAGATATTTCGAGCCTATGTATGTATGTAATGTATGTAATGTATGTAATGTATGTAATGTATGTAATGTATGTAATGTATGTAATGTATGTAATGTATGTAATGTATGTAATGTATGTAATGTATGTAATGTATGTAATGTATGTAATGTATGTAATGTATGTAATGTATGCAATGTATGCAATGTATGCAATGTATGCAATGTATGCAATGTATGCAATGTACGTAATGTACGTAATGTACGTAATGTACGTAATGTATGTAATGTAATGTAATGTAATGTAATGTAATGTAATGTAATGTAATGTAATGTAATGTAATGTAATGTAATGTAATGTAATGTAATGTAATGTATGCATGTATGTATGTACAGACACACACACACACACACACACACACACACACACACACACACACACACCCGCGCGCGCGCGCGCGCGGCGCCACGCCACGCCACGCCACGCCACGCCACGCACGCACGCACGTCACGGCACAGCGGCACCGCACGGCACCGCACGGCACCGCACGTGCACCACGCACGGCACCCGCACGGCAACGCACGCACCGGGCACCACGCACACGCACCGGCACCGCACGGCACCGCACGGCACCGCACGGCACCGCACCGACGCACGACGCCGCACGCCGCACCGCGCGGCACCGCGCGGGCAACCGCGCGGCAACCGCGCGGCACCGCACGGCACACACGGCACCGCACGCACGGCACGGCACGGCACGCCCCGCACAGCCCCGCACCGCCACGCAACACGCAGCCCGGCCACGCACGGCCACGCCGGCCACGCACGCCCACGCACGCCACGCACGGCCGCGCACGCCGCGCACGGCCGCTCAAGGCCGCGCCGCGCCACGCACGCACACCCACACGCACGCACACACACACACACACACACACGCACGCACGCACGCACGCACACGCACGCACGCACGCACGCACTCACGCACTCACGCACTCACGCACGCACGCACGCACGCACGCCACCGCACGCCACGCACGCACGCACTCACCACGTCACGCACGCACGCACACACAACACACCACACACACACACACACACACACACACACACACACACACACACACACACACCACACACACACCACACACACATACACACACACACCACACCACAACCACACCCACACACACCCGCACACACACACACACACACACACAACACACAGACACACACACACACACACACACACACACACACACACACACACACACACACACACACACACACACACCCGCACACACACACACACAGACACACACGGACACACACAGACACACACACACACACACACAGACACACACAGACACACACACACACACAGACACACACACACACACACACATATATATATATATATGTATATATATATATGTATACATTTATAGTTCTGCTACTGTCGTCTCAGCAGGCTTCAATTAGGTCAAGTCGGGCAGCAGTGCCTGAATACTGATTCTTGTCGCTGGGGTGTTGAGGCCCTCCCACTACTTGCTACAGCTTCGCAGGAACCTCCAGCAGAATCAACTAGCGTGGGTCCAGCAAGGCTTGAGCCATCCATTTGCATCCAAGGAGATGGAGTCGTTCCAGCTTTTTCATTTGGCCCGCAGCAGCTTGCCGAAGGCCTGGCCCGGGTTGTCGGGATTTGTCGGGCAGCGCGATGGATGTCATGGTACGTGGCCCTGGCAGACTTCATGCCAGCTCACTGCGGCCCCTCCACCCCCGAACTCGCCGCCAGCAACCCCATAGAAGGCTCGAAGTTGCAAACCCAAACCCTTCCCTTGGCCTCCACCCTGTCTTGCAAGTGACAAAGCCACGCCAAGGGCAGCATGAAAGCTGCGGCAGCGGTCGTCAACGTTGCGAACCGCCCGACAGGACTCCATAGCTGCAGATGGCCGTCCCAGCTGCTGAGCCCCGAAGTCTTTTGCAGACGCAGTCGAAGTGTTAAGCTGCGCCTCACTGCGCCAGGAGCTGTCGTAGACGCCGAGGTGCGAGCCTGAAAGTGGTGCCCAGCATGTGGCAACGAGCATGTGTTCGAATATGGCATTTTGATTTTGCTTTCGGCCATGCACACAGAACAGGTGCCTGAACGATCCTGAACGCATGTTGGGCCCATGACCCATCATGACCCTAATTCGAAGCCATGAACGCAGTGCGGTCTGGAGGCTCTTCGCTGTGCCGAGAGTGATGGAGGCCGAGCTCTGCTCCAGGCAAGGCGGAGGAATTCCATTAATTTCCAGATTCAAAGCCAGCTGCAACCAGCTCGTCGTATCGTCGTCATTTAGATTTTGTGCACACCGTCTCTCACAGACCGCCGGAGTAAATTCAAACTCCAGAATCTCAAGGCAAGCAAGCCTGCACCACTGAAGAACCCACATGAGCGCTCACATCAGCAGCCGTCAAAACCATGAACATCCTTCAATTGCTTCTGCACGTGTATATGTCCCATCCGGAGGCCCTGTCGAAGTTGCCGCTGTGACGTGGTAGCACTGCATTGGTGCTGCGGCTTCAGACCACACAAAGCTTCGATTGGAAGGTTTGTGCTGGCACGCGCGCACGCGTCCAAAAAGGGCTGGGGCAATTGTCACATGATACTTGCGCGACGACAGGTGATGCGGGAATCAAGGTACTCCAAGGCAGACAGACATGTTTCAGTTGTTGACTCTGCCCTCCTTAAGTCTTCGCGGCTCAGACTCAGAGATGTAGAAGCAGATTCAATGTGAATGATGCTAGTGCTTGTTCTCGGTTCCAGAGATGAGATGGGATCAGAAGTCCCAACATCAAAAAGATGCAGTTAGCCCCGTTTGAATGTGCACTTGGGAGCCTTGTTCGCGATCTTCGGTCATGTTGCCGGCAGGACACAGGCTACACCCAGCAAGCCGGAGCGCATGCAATGGAGCTGCATCGTACAGACCCAGCCTCCAGAGTCTCCACCCGGTCTTCACCGCGCAGGTGACGTCGTCCCCTAGACATGGCAAAGCTCTGGAAGCTTCCTTTGCTTGGTCCATTGCTGGATCGTTGGGTGCCCTTGGATGCTCATCACGCATCTTTACACGAGCGCAGGGGTCTGGAGGCCATCGGAGGCGAAGTCTGGAGGGGATCCCACTCCTGAGCCAGCTTCGAGACCTTTGGCGTCGGAAGCTTTTCGTTTCCGCCGCACTGGCTCTGCTCATGGGCTTGCTGTGGGTCTGTCAGGGCGTCCAGGGGTGGCAGAATCTCGGGCTTCACATTTAGTCTCTTTCCTCCGCCCTTACTGCCCGAAACAAATCTAGCTCCTTCGTTGTTGCTCCTGCACATGCTGAGTGAAGCCTTACATGAGTGATAGAACATGGCTCCCTCTGCTTCTGGGAGGAACCTCAAGGCCTTCAATGCGACGTTGCCCTGGTACAAGAGGCTGCCCAGCTCTACAGCCTTGGAGAGTTGGATGCTGGGCACGCATGTGGCTGTGAGGGGCCAGAGGGCTCCCATCACTTGGAGCACCCTGCAAGGGGATTTCGGCATGGATGCCGCCTTGGTGGCCAGGGGACAGTTGCACCGGCTCCTCACTGCATGCTTCCTTCATCACAACGTCTTCCACATCTTGTTCAACCTGGGCTTTCTGCGGCTTGAATCAAACATGAGTACACATGTAATATTTAAAAACCCCGACAAGCCAGTATAAAGCACAAACCTCTGTATCAGCCGAGACAGCGGGAGCTTGTGATGTAGAAGCGAGAGGCTATCCAAGACAAGGTATACCCTGGCTCCTTTGGAGGTGGGCTGCCGCGGAGCCTTTTTGACCACCTTCTTGCTCGCGGGCATTGCGGGGAACTGGGCCTTCTTGCAATATGGCACGGCTCGCTATGCTGTTGGGGCCTCTGGTGGACTTTGTGGCCTCATGGGCTTCGAGCTGGTGTCCCTCCTCCGGAACCGAAGAGTGCGTGAGTTCAAGGCGCTGCTGCGGTCACTCTTTGGTATGCTTGTCATGGGCGCCATCCTCCCAGGTGTCGCCAATGAGGCACATCTTGGGGGTCTCCTTGCTGGAGTCCTCGTCTCCTTGGCCGTCTCCCGACGCAGCGGTTACCGCGGTGCCTTGCTGCCGTGGCCAGTGGTCGTAGGGCTCCTCCTTCTACCACCCTTTGGCCGCCGCTTCCTGTCCTCCCTTCTCCAAGGCCTCTGTGTTGGCATCCGGCGCCCAGGCGTTTTGTCAAGGGGTTTGGTCTCGTGAGTCTCGTAGCTTCTTGCCATGAACACATGCTTGCCTACTGTACCAAAGTGTACAACATTCCGTTGTGGAGCAAAGAAGTCCGCAGTTCCACTGGCAAGCTTCGAACTATGATGCAGACGCGAAAGGACCGGAACGGAGATGCGAAATGCTGCTGCTTGATCCAATCCCGCAGAGTATCCCCGGAGGGGATTTTTGAAGTTACACAATTCGTTTTGTTTGTTTTGTTTGGGCTTGGTGTGGTTTGCTTGTTTTGTTTGTATCGTGCCGTGGGCTTTGCTTTTTGGCTTATGGTTTGTTACTTGTTGTCGGCTTTGCTCGCTGTGGCTGTGCCTATGCTGCGTGCTGGCTGGTACGCCTTAGACGCCTAAGAGCCTCATCATACCTCACTGCCACCTTTTCTTTCGTGCCAGGTACGCTGCTGCTGAGAGGCCAATTTCCACCTTGCTAGAAAGCATGAGATGCCCCGATCGTCCGTAGCTTCGGATTTACATTTGTTTGCCAGCGCGCCGTGTCCAAAGTTGACACTGATAGAATGGGCCAGAAGAACGAAAAGGTGGCTGTGCGATGCTGTGCGCTTGGTGGTTCTCTGCACGCCAAGAGTGTGGGATGTGCAGGCCGGCCTAAGTAGGCGCAAGAGCCACTGGGCTGCATCGTAGCATCCTTACGATGTTCACACCATGGAGGCACCCCGATCGTGGCTCAGCAGGTTCGAGAGTGATCGCTGCTGCACAATGCAATTCTTGTTGATGGAGAGCTGTTGGTGCCCTCATAGCCTTATAGCGTCTCTCGTTACGAATCTTTCTGTGTCGGGCGAGCGAAGTCAGAGCTTTGAGTTTCACGGGCGGCATCAGCAATGAAAAGAAGGAGAGGAGATTTCGTCCCACCACGTCAGCAAGTGCAAGATGTGCCAGTGTGGGGGGATTTTGAGGACTTGGCATCAGATTTGCACAACTCTGTGCTCGACCTATCCTATCCGATGGCTGATCTCATCAATGTTTGGTCGCGCATTTTGGCCTTGAGGAGCCATTGGATTCAGCTGGATGCTGAGGGCCGTGTTGAATGGCCGAGCATTAGCCCTCCGACAAAGGGGGGAAAAGGTGTCAATGGTGGACGAGCATGGACGCAACAAAGCGGCTTGCGCCGGGATGCATGGTCACAGCCGGCACAGCCGGCAGGGGCCGGACCTGCATGGTCAGAACACGGCGCGACAGATCAATTCGGCGGCCCACAGCGTGGTGCAGAGGTCCAGGCCAATCCAATAGACAACTGGAAGGGTAAGCTACAGCAGGCTTACAGCAAGCAGCTTGGTGCCAAAGCTATACAGAAGGATGAAATTTCTTACACTATCGAGCGTGTGGGAACACGATTCCAAGCTACCGTGCAAGCACCAGGTCTGAGCGAGCCATTCACAGGAGACGTCTGCAGCAGCAAGAAGTTAGCCGAGCATGCGGCTGCCAGGGCCGCCATTTGTTCGGACTTCCCCCAGTTTGCCGATGCCGGCGTGTCTGCCAAGCCCGCGGAGCCACAACAGAACGCCAGAATGAAGTTGAACGAGATGCTCTCCCTGCTTCTGGGCCGGCAAAGCACCAAGGAGGACACGCACTACGAGATCGTGCCCGAACGAACGGGCAAGGGCCAAACGTTTGTTTGCAACCTCCGCTTGGTGCCTTGCACGCTGCTCTAGCAAGTTTTGTTCATAACTACCAGTTAACTACCACAGGTGCCAGAGAACTTAAACTTCATTGCATCTACTTAGTAGTTACAGCAGCTGGCGGAGTTGGAGTTCCGCTAGCTGTGAAAAGCTGTCTTCTGAATCCTCATCGTGCACAATTCTGCAGGCACGAGGAAGATGCTTAAGCGGCATGCGCCCATCCCGAGCGACTCCAACAGTCAAAGCCTGAGCATAAAAGTCCTTGCTAGAGCTCCCAGGTGTGCTACGAGGAGCCCATGCTGTTCCAGGCCGTGGGGGCACCAACCAAGAAGCTCGCGGAGCAGGAAGCCGCGGAGGCAAATAGTGTGAGACTTGTGACATTCACTGGGGCATTTGGAGAGGTGTTTGTTTTGGTGCATGTCATGGTCTCGTGTCTGGGACGACCCCGCAAAGCTTTGATGCTGAAAGAGCCTGCGACATAAGTCCAACAATCTTGCAATGTTGAACTAGATCAGATCTGTGCACGTCCACCATGCGACTGCTACGTAGACTTTTCACTTAGCTTGCAATTTTGGAACGGTCACGATGGTGCAGGGAAGCAAGCGTGAGTTTGGGCTTTGTTGAGCACCCCGCAGCGCCTGACCCAACCATGGAGTATGCAATCTGATCATCAACCACCTCAGCTGCTTCAACTATTCGACTCACAAGGCAGCGGTTGCTGCTCTACAAGATCAAGTCCAGCCTTTGGAGGAGGAACGCCAAGCCAAGAATTTTGGCTGAAAAGGAATGGAAGGAGCGAGGGAGCATTCACAGCATTCACACCGCACGTGTGGCGGGGAGTGGCGGACCTTTGGGTGGGCGAGGTGCGTCTCACAAAGGCATGATGACAATAGAGACATGCACTGCCAACCTATACCCGTAGCACCCTCTGCTGTTAATGGTGTGACGATGACACATGCAACATGCAAGGGTTAGGCCTGGTGATCCTATCTTGAACAACCCACTTAGCATCGCTACGCAAGCTTTTTATGTGCAATCATGCGCCATGGGTGCTGGGATATTTGGCAATGGCATGTTCTAAACCCCCGCCTCTGAACAGTAGACCCGGAGGGTTCTTTCATATTGTTGGATGTAGATTCGGGCAGGACTCCCCCTAAACCCCTCAACCCTCCTAAGCTGCATGCTTACAGGGATGGGCTATTGGGCAATATTGGGCTGTTCCAAGCGCATTCTGAAAAAGGCCGGAGTGTGTTGAGCTCAGCACGCGTTCAAGAATCAGCCGTTCACGCATCATCGCATATGAATACGACAACTGCTTTGTGGTTTATCCGAGTTGCGCTGCCTGTCCCGAAACCCGCATCCTATCCTCGGCACAGACGGGAGCTGTGGAGCTCTGGTGAGGCCACCCTGTGAGTTGAACCCTGTATACGGGCACAGATCGCTTAAACTGTAAACTTTGCGAGCGATGACCTTTCGCTTCCACTTGCCGTCTGCTACAAGTACGATTCAAACATGTCGCACGGGCGCGTGGAGCTTTTGCAAATGCCCAGCTGTGACGTCCAGTCCCGCGAAGTCGTGTCGCAGAGGGGCTGTTGTCAAGCATTGTCACAAGCTGTCAACAGCTTGCAACGCGCGCTCCAGTATCCCGCCCTGCCGAACTGTCAGGGCACGACAAGCCAGTATCGAGCCGACGCAAGTCCACTTTCGTGCATTTTGCTGTGCCCTTTCGACCCAACTGACCCGAATCCTGCAATCGGAGGCGCAGCAGGCAGAGACCGACAGACGGATAGACATTGAGGGACAGACGGACATATACCCTAAAAGCCCACACCTGAAGTGGTGTTTGTGATTCTGCGTAGTGAATCCAACTGCCGCCCTTGCAGCCCTTGCAGCCCTTGCGGCCCTTGCAGCCCTTGCAGCGCTGAGGAAAAGACAGGTCCTCCAGGAGAGGCGGGCGGCCCACAAAAGAACGGCCTCCTCGCAACTGGGCTTGCAAAAGGCTGCACATTATTCAGAGAGTGTTGAACTGTTGGTCAGGACTCCAGAAGTTTCTTGTTGTCCGTATGAGCTTCGGCCTTCTGGAACCTGAGATCGCCACCTCAGATTGCACAGCATTGGGGGGTCTGTAGAGCCTTCAAATGAGCCTTCTGGGATGCTTAGGGTGGCTTGAAACCAAGGTAGCAATCGTCGAGCGGCTGAGCTTTGCGTCTCACGAGCCACAACTCTGGCCTCTGGCCCTTATAAACTCTTGTTGATGTTGTGAGCACAAGTGTTGCAAATCCAGCGGTCAAAGCCATCGCCCGAAAAATGTTGTTGAAGAGTGTGAACCAACACCCCAACGTGTCGTAGCAGCCAAGAGGCCTGCGACAAAGCGCGCTTCTGACAAGGCTGTCGGAAGTACAGGTATAAGGCAACGAGGCCGAGACGGGCGGTCAGAAAGACAGTGCCTTTTCACGTAGCTTTGTGTTAGCTTCTTGCCACAGGTGAATCTCGGATGCACCACCTTAGCACATGAGAGGAGCCCACTCACTGGCATGCGTGAAGCAGTACAACGGCGTCGATGCTCTGGGCCGCAAAGTGCTGAACACAGGCTTCTTTTCTGTGATTTGCGTTTAGTATTGTGGTTTCTGGAACATGTTATTGCTTGCCGCTGTGTGCCGTATACAATAGCAGGCAGCCAAACACAAGAAAAGGAGAAGATGCAAGCAAACGAACCTGAAAAACAAGACCGGCAGCCTTGAGATGTATCTTCTGATGCTACCCGTTTGGAGCCAGCTTCCAAGATGTACTAGATGAACGGGACAATACCCTCATTAACTTATTGCCCATAGCCTTACGTGCCATGGGCAAACCCTCTTTCACCTACAGCTCCGAGGCCGCCCCAGCCTCAGAGGGCATGAATTGACGTGTCATGTCGTATGTTGCGATGGGCAGCTCGTTGCAATGTCTGTTTGGAGTTTGTAAGGTGCAGCGCTATGGCTACCGCGAAGTCAATGACCAGGAATCGCGGTGCACCCGCTGCAAGTTAGATCTGAAGACCTTGCTTACAACTCACGAGACTTCTTCACCACATCTGCCATGACCCCGACCCAAGTATGTTGCACATTAGCGGCCATCTACCAACTTCTCAAGGTCCGATGCCTTAGAGGAACTCATTGAGCAGGCGATTGCCGAGAAGGCGCGTGCTGGAGCCCTGCCATTTTCTAGCAGCTTGTTGTTCAACAGCAGGCCCTCGCACTGGGCCTTCAGGTGATTCCTCATTCGTGTTTTTTCTGCTCAGTATCGAGAGACCCGACCTGCGCTTCAACAAAACGAGGAAAGCTCTGACCACCCCACGATAACAGCAGAGCCCCTCCCTTAACATTGTGGGAATGGGGCGGGTTCTCCCGCTTATTTTGCTAGGGTGATGCAACGTTCGTACACGCGCTACGCGGTTCGACCCGTCTTTAGAAATTAGTGCCCCACCTATTTCCGAACCCCACCCCCCAACCCTCCTTAAGGGGGGAGCTCTATGACAAGAGAACGGAAGATTTTCTTGGATCTTCGAACATAATCCCTGCAGCCAACCCCACTGCTCCATAACCTCGACAACCTGATCCGACCTTCCCATGGCAACCCGGGTACAGACATCCATGGAAACCCGGGTACAGACATCCTTTCCAGGACAGCCTGGACAGGCCCGCGTGCCTCCTGCAGTGCTTCGTGTGAACAGTTCATATGACTTCGGTGGCGGAAGCAAGACTGTGCACAGAAGAAGTAATTTCCCTTGGCCGCAGGATCTTACAGCTGTGCACTGATGCGTGCCTGGCCTTCCGGGAACCGAGCGGGGATGAAACTCGAAGTCGCTGTTTCGTATGCGTTGGCTCTTGAACGGGCGAGGGCTGCAGAGCCAATCGCCCTTGCATTGATGATACATTGCATCTTCCGCAATCCGCAGCAGCACAATGAAGGGCCTCGCAGAAGCTTCAGAGTTGAGTCAAGGCTGCTGGTTTGAGACTTTCGGAAATGCACATAGCCCGCGAACTTGCAAAGGAGCAAGGCGAGCGATGGAAAGAACCTCACATGCCGGGAGCTTTTCTTTTCCACATTTGCCGCCATGCTCGCATAGCCGGCATGGCCTAGGTGGCACACTGATGGCTGATCATTGGTCCTTTCTGAGCTTGTCAAGAACATGTTACTAGGGTGGGCACTAGGCCCCTATAGGCCCCTATAGGCCTAGGCAGGAGGCCTATGGCCCCCCGGAAACTCAAGTCGCCACCCCCCAGGCTTTGCACCATGGCTGGGGTGTGCTTGAACTGTCAGCAGGTGGAGCAGGCACGGATTTTGCTTGAAAGGGTTGAAAGAAGTCTGTCTTCGTTCTCCGAAGCACAAGGCGCAGGGATAAGCTTCAGATAGTTGCAACAGCCCAAATTTTCTGAGTCTGGGTACTGTATTTGCATGAATTCGGGCCACATGATTTTCGGGCAAATCGAGCGAAAGGAGAACTTCATTCGTGGCAGGCGAAGATCTTAGGGTAGTTTCGCGGTCCCTTAATATGGGCCCTTAAATGGGGACCGCGTATGCAACCCTTATATACCCTGCGAAACCCAAGCGCCCATACAGTACTAAGGGACCATACTCCTAGAGAAGGACGGCAAAGATTCCACAGGGTGCAATTTTCAAAGTTATAATGGGCCAAAGGCCTTAGCAAGCCGCTGCAGTGGAAGCGCAGGCAAGGTAGACATGTTCGAAGGGTCGCTGAGATCGGGGCACGTGCAAGCGGGACAGATTGAAGACCTAAACGTTACATGCGCTTATTGCGCTTGAAGGCCGCAAATAATACACTGTGCTGCACTGCTAACGTGGCCAGGGGCACTTGCAGCATTAGCCCTCGTCGGCTGTTCGAGCGAACGAGTCGAGTCTTCGGGGCATGCATACATGCAAGTGGAACGCACCAAACACCAAGATCATATCGATATTCTATAAATTGGATATATGCAATGGCATCGCACCTTGAAACATCTGAATCGGAAGCACAACTGTAGTCCAAGTAGTGGAGCTTTGTGGCTTCACCTCCGTTTTTGGGGGGTGGCACTCCATGGCTTGGAGTGTTGGGTTTAGGAGTTTAGGGTTTCGGGTGGAGCGCTTCGAGGTTTCTGAGTCTCAGCATCAGCTGTCACAGTCAGGCGGCATTGCCTGGAGTCTTAGGCTTGGAGATCCGAGACGCACACGGCTCCGGGGTTTGATCAAGTGTGGCCCAAGGAACTATCTGTCATTTGGGTAGATCAGGTAAATGGTATGGCGTCTAGGCAGAAGGAAGACCCCACTCCGCTGCATCATAGGCAGAGCACCATGCGCGCAACGCGCTCCGCCTTGCGAACGGCCTTGGCGACAGGACTCTGATGAGTAGGGTGACATTGCAAGTTGCACAGGCAAGTCGAAGATTGACGGGTTTGGGCAGCTGCAGACGTTAGTCAAGAGATGACAACAGTCGCCGGTTGCTTCTGACGAAAGATTGGCAGTTCCCTCAAAAGGAATCCATTGCTCACATGTTCAGGGCCGCCCGCAGTGAAGCTCTGAATATTCTCGCCTCTGCCGAGGGCCTCAGATTGCAGCGATGAAGGAGTTTGGGCAGTTTGGCGGTCGAGGATGAAGAATCCGACCTGTCCATCTTTGACAATCCTGCACGAAGTATAGTGGCTCCTCCTTGGCATGTTGCCTCTGTATCAGGTTCGCAACGGGTGGCGAGCATGTACGCACAGTGCACCAGGTAACAAGCATTGCGATTCGGCGGCCAGAACATTGAGAGTTACTACTTTACTTCAGCACAGCCACATCAGTGCAAGCCTTCTGCTTCAGATACTATGGGGGCAGTTCAATAGCCCAGGTCTTCCTCGCGCAGCAGGACAAGTCAGAAAAGGCAGTTGCTCGCTGGCGTGGGTGCAAAGGGGCTTGCACCTGAAAAGGGCTAATCAGCACCCAGAATGAAAGCATATTCAGTGTCACAGATGCATGCCCCTGAGTTTGAACCTTAAAGAAGCTGTCTAAGTGAGACTACGTGTTGGGTTACCACTCTGATTGGTTTGGGGGCACCGCACCGTAAATACCCTGAACCTGGCATAAGAAAGACTTTGGATGAGCGATGCTTGCCCTACTCTCATAGAAGCCCCTCAAGAGTTCGCCCAATCGATGACTTGCCGAATATCTCTGAAGCTAGGTCAATGCAAGAACGCCTGAAGTTGTAGGATTGCAGGAACTGCGATTGGAGCGGCTGACAATCCCCAACCTTGAGACGCGGGGGGGGAGGGGGGGGGGGCGGGGCGCCAATCAGGCCATCATGATTCTGCAGCAGGACCTGAGTTTCCAGCGTGATGGTTGTATCAAGGCATGACAACCCATCATAAATTGTTGGTCAATGCAGCCGGCAATCTTGGTAATCGAGCAAAGGAGACCGTAAGCCACCTGTTGCATGAGTGGCGCATAGCGATCACCAGGAGCAGGCGGCCTGCATAGACGAGCGCGACGAGCTGGGAGAGGCCATATCCTCTGCCTCTCGGGAAAGCCGCATGCACGTGCACAGTATAGGTATAAAACTATAAACTCCATCGACAGCTGGCACTTGGAATCGACCGCGAATGCTCAACCTTTCGCCACAAACTGGACAACTTCCTCGCACGCGGCTTTAGAAGACCTGTTCTACGGTGCCTCCATATACAAAGGCCGAAAAAATGCAATGTCGGCAGCCATAGCATCGCTCACGTTTGATGCGAGCATGGTTTAACAGCAGACATTGATGTCATCAGATGATTACAGTCGCAGGGCTCGATCCGAGGCCATGTGCATGCTTTCCCTGGCCAATGTCTACATGGAGCAGCGATCTGAGAACTGGTATTGTGCCAGAACAGGGTCACGACATGTCACGACAAATGCCTAGGTGATTCATGATTCGCGCTTAAATCCCTTTGCCTTCTTAAGGCTGGGACGACCGAAGTTGGCTGCCATCCAAGCTGATGGAGGGGTCAGGTTTGCAAGGACTGCGCATTTTCGGATTTCCAGCCTCTCTTCAGGTCATCTCTGCAGCAGAGGATGCCAGAAAGATTTTCAAGTCCTCGAAAGATCTGTGTGGGCGCCAAGTTGTTGATGGCCAGGGGTGCGTTGATGCAGCGGAGGCAATCAAAACCTTCGTGCCAGTGATGCAAGCTGCAAGCATGTGCCTGAGCTGCTGGAAACGAAGGCATGCAACAGTCAACCTCTGCAGCGTTGGGGCTCACATCCCCTGCAACAGCAAATCGGATTTGCTGGGCCAATTTTGTTCTTGTAGCACCTGCCATGGAACTGTCCACCGCGCTAGGGCTGGGGTTCGTGGCCCCTGGAAGCCTACCAGCGCAACCCCGCGTGCCTGTGGCATTTCACCGGCAAGAAGCCGCGCGGAAAAGTTGCTTGTTCAGGAACATCTACGAAAGTTTAAGAGGTTCGGAGTTCTGAAGTCTATGAAGTGTATAATAATAATCATAATGGGCAAGCAGATTTCATATTGTTACTATTTCCAACTGAACTCCATGAGGTTCCAATGCACCCTCTCTTTGCTTAGCTTCATTGGCTGTGGCATCCTGCGTGCGCTCTGCGGTGAGGCGACGAGCCTATGGTGGTTACGGCGGTGGTTACGGCAGAGGCGGAGGAAACAATATGTCTCGCGAGGACCAGCAGCGACATACAGAGATGAAACGTGAGAGGGAGGCGCAGCAGTTCTTTTCCTTCCAGAGGCAACTGATGAGTCGGGGCGAAAGCGAGCCGGATGATGCTTTTTGGGACAGACAGGAGAGGAGGATATTTGGGGAGAACCATGTGAAAGCTGGAATCAATTTCTCGAAGTACGACAACATCGAAGTCACGGCCGAAGGTGGGACTGGCAAAGAACAGCCGATTTCCACGATTCTCTGCCTGAAGGGAGGCCCTTTTCTGTGTCATGTCCATGCTTTCAATTTGGAAACCTGAGGGCCCAAGGGCACCACAAATTAGAATGCTTGTTTTCACGAGCCCTACCATTGAGCTAGAGTCTAGAGCTAAACTCTACATAAGTAGCTATAAGCTACTTCACAACTATTGCGCCTGTCCCTGAGAACCGAGGTTCCAGGAGGCCTGTGATAAGTACGAACTGCCCGATGAACTGACTGCCAACCTTGAACGATGTGGCAGCCTGGTGGATCATGGTAGATATCGATTGTCCTGGGTGTGTATGTAGATTCAATGTAGATGTTACGCTTGAGAATGGTTCAATGCTTGAGTCTTCACCTTTTGCACGTGCCCCGAACCCACAGCCGACCCGTGACAGAAGTCAAGGCTACGGGACTCCCACGCCTGTCCAGAAGTACAGCATCCCAGCAGTGCTCGAAGGACAGGGGCGGTTGGGGGTTCCCATGTTGACGTGGTTTCAGGAGGGGTCGAACAATATGCAGGTTGGCTGCTGGCAGAAAGGTGGTTGTCGTGCCAATGTAACGTGGTGCGCTGATTGCCCCCATCCTGAAGCCACTCTCTCATTAGGACTACCTGATGTCAGAACTCATATTCAACATGACCGAGAGCAGCCTTTGCCTATTCGAGCAATCCCAGCGATTGCATCGGAGCAGAGGGCGACTTATTACCAAGATGTGCTCTGGCATTGGGTATGCAGCCTTGTCACCAAAGTCTGAACAGCAAACCATTGCAAACTTGCGTTCCCACCAGCAAGGCGTGAGCAATGCAACAAGGTAGGTAGGGGGAAGTAGATTCCAGCACGGTTGACTTGCCACGCCAGTGCTGACAAGCTCAATGACAACATTCTGACTCCATCTTGGTCTCTGCGAAACTTTTTGTGGTCTGCTTCTGCAGGCAGCGACGTCATGGCAACTCGGTCTTCCCCAAAAAGTCTGGGCAAAGTTTGCATTCAGGGTTGATCAGCATGATGCGAAGGCTCGTCCTCAAGGGTGCCTGAGATTCTTGGGCTGAGGGTTTCGGAGATTCGGATCTTGGCATATCTTGGTAAGCATGCGTAGCTCAAAGTCTCCCTTCCCAGGTCTCTGCACAGACCGGCAGCGGAAAGACTGCGGCATTCTTGGCTGGGGCCCAAAAAGGATTGTTTGTGTGTGTCTTCACTGGGCCTTGGGGGGCGCAGGGGAATTTGGGCAACTTATGTCAAGGTACTCGTATGTCGGAGTTTTCGGTACATCCATATGCAGAATGTACTATGCGCATGTGCATTTGTATGCTTCTGTGTGCTTATCAAGGCAGAATCCGCTCGTTTATAATCTGCTGCTGCGGTTCGCCCAGCTATGTGGGAGTGCAAAGGTACTGCTGTGGGCCCTCTTCAAAGCTTACTCGGCTTACTCCCGTCCCATCATGTCGCTGTTACGCACACAAGTAGGACTTCTTGAGAGAAGCGTAGTTGATCCTAGGAACAAGCACATGCTAAGTTCGAGGGGTGTGCGTGTGTGTTTAGGAACATGGAAAGTAGAACAACGTTTTGACCAGGTGCCCATCATCACAGCTGCTCTGCAGGCAGGAAAAAAGGACGCGCAGACTCCTGAGACCTTTCGGAGTTCAAGCGTCTTTCTTACTCCACTTGTTGGTACTATAGAGTGCAAGTGCTTGGTCACTTCCTCGGACATGTTGCCGGCAAAGAACCGGAAGGTTTGAAAGATCTTCCAAGACTCGGTGAGAAACCTTCAAACCACGGTCTCCCATCTCCAGCCTCCCGAACACTACAACGAGCCTACATGAATCAACGAAGGCAGCGCCCTATCCTGCCTTGCGAGGAGCTGAAGGAGGGCGCAGTTTGCCCCACCAGCGTGATAGTGGCACCAACCCGCACCCCGACTGTGAGAGAGAGAGCGAGAGAGAGACAAGTGGGTGGCTGGGCGAACGACATGCATGCCACTCCTTTGGACCGCTGAAAGCCGCAAGTATGGACATTTAATTCTTGCGTGAGGACTCTAAGGATGTTTGTTGGCTAGACTTATCTAGCACTTGAGTTTAGCGAACGTGCCCCGAACGTGCCCCACATCAAGATTGATTCCGTGAACCTGCTCGAACGCCAGCCTCCCAGCTCAAGGTGAGCTGTGCGAACAGATCGCGCAAGAGGCCGCTAGGCCGTAAAGCAGAGGCGAGTTATTTTGAGCTACAGATGTCGTGGCGCTACAGCTACGGGGTTGCTTCGGTGGGAGCAGATGCTGCGCTTTCCGCTTCCTTTCTCTAAGGGGGCCCTTGAAGCATGTCGAGTCATCCCATGTGCGAGCGCAGTTAGTGAGAAGCGCTCGGGCCAAATTCTTCTGAATTGAAAATATCCCCACGGCACCTTACGGCAGTCATCCCTGGAACTCCCGGACCCTGAGGCCCGTCGGCTGACGTTTAGGAGCTTTGCTCGGGTGGCCGCAGTCTATGGAGGTCCGCCGTGGATCAGGTGTGTGTGAAGCTCTTGCTTTGTAGTTTCTTGAGGCTTGAAGCTCCCCTGTCCGGGCCACCTTGAGGCGCAGATGCCCTTGGCCAGCTGCGGCAGCTCGCAGCCGGCGTGGCAGCATGACTCAACGTGTCGACTGCGAACGGATATAATGGGTCTTTGAGGGGATGCTGCTTCAGCTTCAAGAGGCGTCAAAGGCTTAAGGATGTAGAGCCCACCAAAGTAGCCCGAAACTCAATGAGGGCATGTTTCATCTCTGCCCGAAGGAGATTGTCGTCTGTTCACCCGGACGTATGGATGATTTCCTTCAGCGCGGAGCAACTCCACTCAAGTTGGAGATGCTGGCTCTTCGGGTCCCGGAAAGTTTCCTTGTTAACAATCACGGGTGTGCAAGTATATGGTATGTCTGGGGTCTGCAACTCTCATCAACGATTGGGATGCAGTTTGAGGCGATTAGGCTGCCTGAGACGGCTGTTGCCGTATAGGTCAGAGAAAAACCTTTACATGCGCTTGAAAAAGCGAGAAGTAGGCCGATACCAGACCATTGGATTCAAATTAGACCTTTGAAAGCTTGGACAAATGCGAAGGTCATCAGCATGGAAGAAGTGAAGTGCCCTGGCATTGCAAGACGTCGCAGGATGGCCTCCTCTCTCATGAAGCCCTTAAAGATGTGGAGGCTCAGGACCTGAAAGTTAAGACTTACGCTGGGGAAGAGGTCTCAGGACGGAACAATGTTCCCCAGCGCTTTCGGGCAACTCAGACCCATCTCCTCAAATCTCCTCCCAACCCAGCTATTTCCTCATCATGAAGGTTCCTGGTGGTGGACGAGGCAGACAGAATGCTGGACATGGGCTTCGAGCCTCAGATTCGCTCCTGGGCGCAATCTCTCAGTCTCTCTTTGTTCTTGTTCTCTCTCTCTCTCGTTCTCTTCCTCTCGCTCTCCACTCTTCCCTCTGCCTCGCTCGCTCTCTCTCTCTCTCTCGCTCTTCGGGTGCACTCGTTCTTCACGGTGACACACCCCAAAACAGGCCACAACAACTCAGGTTTTTTCGGGGGATACAGGAGCGAACAAGTGAGGATGCCATGTTCAGAAGGGAGAGTCTGGTGCCAAGATGGTGTCACTTCACACGGCATTTGGCCAAAGCCAAAGGGGAAGGCTCGAGGAAGATCTGGGATGGGGTGGAGCCTGGGGAGCCCGTGCAATGCCGTGCACTCAGGAAACATCATTGAAAACTATGGCATGCCAGAGCCTGGCGAGGCCACGGTGTTACATAAGACGTTGCCGCACAGCTTTGCAAAAACTCCACGCATCAAGGCCCAACCCTCGTCTGTACCTGCCAGGCATGATCCGTCTGTGAACGATTGTAGACCCTTGTAGAGCTCTGGAGGGCGGGCGGCAGACAATGATGTTCTCGGCCACCTTTCCTCAGGAGAGGGTCATCCAAATGAGCCTGCCTTGTCTGATTTCTGTTGAAGCTCAGCACGCTCCCCCGCCCCCCACCCTTGTCGATGTGAAGGAGATGCAAGACATGGCATTGGACTTTCTCGACCCGGCCTACTATGGCATCCAGGTCGGCCAGGCCGGGCAGCTTCTCAGTAGCTTCTGATAATTCCAATCTCATCAAGTATCGAGAAAAAAGCCTTAGCGGCCTTAGCGACACATGGTGCAGGAATGTTCCACAATGTTCCCCAATAGCGACCAGCCTGGGTCTTTACTGATTCAGAAAGTTTCCGGTTGACGGCTGTGATGCGGCATCCCGGGGTAAGGGAGTGCCGGTTCCTGGATGTCCCCGGTCAGCGTCTCTGTCGGTATCCCAGCTGGAATCTTGATCCGCGTACTCTGTCGGCATGCCGGATCATGCCGGTAAACCCTAAACCCTAAACCCTATATAAACCCTAAACCCTAAACCCTAAACCGGTCGGTGTTCTTTTTTTCATTTGGGTCTAGCCTTGTGAGGAGCGCGTCTCGGAAGTATTGACCCCCCAGCAGAATGAAAAAAAATACAAGAAAAATACAAGAATGAATTCAAGAGAAAATACAAGCAGCGATTCAGGAACAACGGTGAAATACAAAAAAAATGCAAGACAAATACAAAAAAAATGCAAGAAAAATACAAGAAAAAATACAAGAAACATACAAGAAAAATGCAAGAACAATACGAGAAAAATGCAAGCAAAGGAAAAGAAGGGGGGGGGGGGGGGGGGGGGGGGGGGGGGGGGGGGGGGGGGGGGGGGGGGGGGGGGGGGGGGCTTGTGTTTTTGTCGTATTTTTTCCGTGTTTTTCGCGTGTTTTTTTCCGTATTTTTTTCGTATTTTTTCGTATTTTTCCGTATTTTTTCGTATTTTTTTCGTATTTTTCGCGTGTTTTTCGCATATTTTGAAAAAAATGCAAGCAAAGGAAAAGTGGGGGGGGCGGGGGGGGGGCGTCGTTTTTTTCCGTATTTTTCCGTATTTTTCCGTATTTTTTCGTATTTTTTCCGTATTTTTTCCGCATTTTTTTCGTATTTTTTTCGTATTTTTTCCGTATTTTTTTCGTGTTTTTCGCGTATTTTTCGCATATTTCAAAATCCCCCCCCCGCCCCCCCCCCCCTCCGCCCCCCCCCCCCCCCCCCCTCCTCCCCCCCGCCCCCCCCCCCCGCCCCCCGCCCCCCGCCCCCCCCCCCCCCCCCCCCCCCTCCCCCCCCCCCCCCCCCTCCCCTCCGCCCCCCCCCCCCCCCCCCCCCCCCCTCCCCCCCCCCCCCCCCGCCCCCCCCCCCCGCCCCCCCGGCAAAAACGCGAAAAAAACACGAAAAAAACACGGAAAAAACACGGACAATACGGAAAACACCACTCGAAAAATACGAAAAAAAATACGACAAAAACACAAGCCCCCCCCCCCCCGCGCCTCCGCGCCTCTTGTGTTTTTCTTGTATTTGCTCTTGTGTTTTTCTTGTACTTTTCTTGCATTGTTCTTGTAATTTTCTTGTATTTTTCTTGTATATTTCTTGTATTTTTCTTGTATTTTTTTTTGTATTTTTCTTGTATTGTCTTGTAAGTTGCTTGTGTTTTTTTTTTTGTAATTTTCTTGCATTTTTCTTGCACTTTGTTCGGCTGGCTTTTCTGCGCTCGTATTTTTCTTGCATTCCCCGTTTGTATTTGTTTTGTATTTCTTCTTGTATTTATTTAGTTTTACTAGAACCCAATACTTCTGGCACCACGCCCGTCACAAGTCTAGCCGATACTTGTGGATCGGAGTGTCAACCCGATTCTCAAACATCGGTGTGTCCGACGGATTTCCTGCCATGAGAAGCTTCCTTTGTAAAACCGATTTGCAAGAAAGGGTATACGTTTCGAGATAAGTTATGTAGTGTTAAGTTCTGTGCTAAGCCGACATGTCGCGCAATGTTCCCGAAACAGAATTAACAATGACAAGTAGTTCGAAAATAAGTAACTTGAACTGCCGAATGGAACCGCCCCCCGCCCCCCGGCCCCCCTTCTTTTTTTCAGGTTGAGGAAACTCAATAGTCGAAACCCTCAGATTCCAAGCAGGCCTTTGAGACTCATGTTTGGGAAAGGAAATCGAGGACTCCTCTTCGACGAAGTTTTCAAAGGGTCGTCCACGAAAGCTCTAAGCCCTGAAAAGTGGTGCGGAATGGTGCAGAGCTCCGGCCCGGATTCCAACTAAAGCCTCCAGCCCTTCAACGCCGTTTGCGATTCCAAGCTTCAGGCACTTGAGCTTCGGAAGGGTTTTGGGTAAGGTTCAGACCCTACATAGCCTGAAACACTCTAGCTAAAGCCTCCAGCCTTCAAGGCTGCGGCCCAGAAGCAAGGCCCGGCCCCCCAAACAACCACTTTTCTCGAACTTGATTTTGGGGGTTCAGCCGGGTTCAGCTATTCCCGATTTACTTGTGGCGGCATTGCCCATGCCACGACGGCGCTGGGTTTCGCACGCAGATCTCGGCATTCTGTGCTGACAACGGGGCCTTGACCGCGAAGCCAGAACCGTCTGGGCCTCCCTTCCAGTTGTATCAATCGCGACCAACAACAAGAGTCCAGGCTTGTGATGTTTCATGCATGTATAGAATCAATGCATCAAAGTGTTCCCGCATGACCATATCCCCATGAAAGAAAATACAGCTATCTAGACAGCGGTCTCGCTTTGCTATTGTGGTCCACAGCTGACTTTATTCTGCCACATGGGGGGGGGTCCCCACATGGGGGGGGGGGGGGGGGCCGTTAGGCCCCGAATGTCCTGCGGTCCCTTGGCTACTTTTCAAGCGCGGCTCTCGTACCACGCTGGGCGGTCACAATTTCACAGGACAGCTCCCAAGAGACCACACTACCCCACTTGTCGCAAGCACCTTTGCAGACAAGCTGCCTAAGTCAGTCTGCACGACTGACATGACTGGACCTGGCAAAGGAGATACTGAGTGCTTGAAATCTGTCAGGTGGGCCATGCCGCAACAGACGTGGAACAGTTCTTCGAGCAGGCGTAGCAATGCGTAGCGCACGACTGCATGGACCGCATTTTAACTCTCTCTCTCTCTCTCTCTCTTTCCCGCTCCCGAGGCACGGATGTGTCATGACAGTCGCACGCGGCCACATTGTTGTTCGACTCATGCGTTCAACAAGTCTTCATCGTTTGCAGGTCAATCCCCGGGAAAAGAGTGACAGGCTGCTCGACGTGCTGCAGCAGGCGTTGGCCCTGACGAAGCGCGCGTGGTCTTGCGCATGCATTGAAATGGCTGACAGCGGGTTTGTTCTCATTTGCCTCGTTTGTCTAGTTCTTGGCGCTGTCGGTCGCGGCCACATATGCAGAAGATGTACAGATATGAGAGTTTGAGCTTGAGAGCAATGCATTTTACTTTATGGCATGGGCTTTGTTCAAATCTACGCTCAGAATGATGGGATACTGTACCATACATGCTGTACCACGGCCTGCGATCCTCAACTGAAGAGAGTTCACGAATTCCCGCCGACAATTGAAGCCAACGTGCCTGGCTGCCCGTACAGACGAAGAATGCGGACGGCGACGTCGGCAGAACCATTGTGTTCGCAAACACGAAGGCTGGGGAATTGCCTGTGCATGACTTGAGATGTCACCTTTACGCCTCTCACTGCGTTCCCTGTACTTGCCATAGAGGGCACTGTGGACGACATCGCCTGGCAATTGCAGCAAGAGGGAATCGAAGCGCAGCCACTGCACGGAGGCAGGTTGACCATGCTAAGTGCGCAGATGGCGAAGCGGTTTCTTACATGCAGTCAACAGCATGTAGCTATATGTAGCTCATCAGCTTGAGCATGCTGCAATTGCAGATACAAACTCCTGCGCTGCAGGATTAACTCAAGCTCAAAGAGACCGAAACTTGACCTTGCTCAAGAGAGGCAAGTACAACGTGCTCGTCGCAACTCGGCAGATTTGTACTGATGCCCCTATGGTAGCACTGTAGCATCGCAGAGCGATTGTTAATCCCTGCCCTCGTACCCCCCTCCCCCCAAAACGGCCGTGGACGATGTCTAAACCCTAAAAGGTGTATGAGATGCCTGAAGTAAAGAGGCCTGCAGTCTCGGCTTTAAAAGGGAGAAAGAAAGCGACGGCACAAAAGCGCTCGCATATTCAGTACGCGTCGCAGATGCAGTTTGTCAACAGCCACATCCCACCACTTAACTTCTATAGGGGAATCTGACAGCCCAAGTGCCCCCCCTGAGGCCACCGATGTTGCGGCGCGAGGACTGGATGTTCCGGGCATCGACCACATAATCAACTATGACCTGCCCATGGACGGTGGGGGCATTGAAGTTTAGAGGGGAGAGCGGCTTTTCGCGATTTGTAGACCATCTGATACCATTTGGACCAGAGGATGCCGTTGACCAGAGGATGCCTTGGTGAGCACCAGCTAGTCCTGAGTCCTAAACGATGTCATGAGCCCACGTGAGATTGTCGCAGGTGATACCTACGTCCATCGCATCGGGCGGACTGCAATGGCGATGCTACCATTTGCTACTTAAACTTGGCTGGTAACGTGTGCTTGTAGGGGGTCGTTGCTGAGTTACACTGTGACTCGTACAACGCTCCTGCAATTGCGCCCAGTACCCAGATGCATGAAGTATAGTTTGTCCACAAGTGGCAGGACAGGACGCATTGGCAACAAGGGCCGCGCCACATCCTTCGTGTCGAATTGTGCCATGGCGCAGAACCGAATGATTGGCAACGAGATACTTGAAACATTCCACTTCGCAGAGTCAATTCGTCGTTGTCTGGAATCCTTTGCCATGCGACCAGCCCAAAGTGCGACGGCACGTAGACATGATGTGGCATGCTGTCTGTACATCCTTTTGTTCGCTAGACGACAACGCCTCGAATCTGCAAGTCATCGTCCGCTCGATGAAGGATGCAAAGAAGGCCGGGCTGCTCTTTGCCTGCCTTGAATGTGCCGAGACTTTCGTGGCGCTTTGCTCCACGTTGAGGATGACCCAGATGCTACGGATGTGCCAGAGTGGCTGGAGGAGACAAAAGGGGTTTCTCAGGAGAAGGTGCGAAAGTATAATGCCTAAACCCAGGCTCGCCCCACGTTGCCCTGGCCCAAGGAAAAGCCCGAAAACCGAAGCCAGGAGTTGGCAACGAGCCGCCCAGGCAGCCCCCGTGGGGGGGGCCGAGGAAGACGCTTTTAGAGAGCCACTAAAAAAGGAACTCAAGTCAAATCTTATTTCGGAGTGACGGCCACTCTTTGGACATGATCCTCAGAGTCTCGGTTCAATCATGTTCAATGTTTAACAATCAAATGCTTCTACGGCAGCTATGGGTGTGGCCTTCACTCTCAAGTTTTGCTCCGCTCGAATGGCGGAGGATGCGGGCCAACTGTTTCGAGGTGAAGGCACCACGAAAGGGACCAGCAATCTACGCGGCTGACTTGACAGTAGCTCCATTTGTGGACATAGCATGACATAGCCATGAGATGTTAACGAAGTGTTCATGAGAGTCGTCAGAATGTAGACTACTCGAAGGAGCATCTGGGTAAAGGGCCGCCATCTCCAAACGGCGAATCATGCGAATGCTTGGAGCTGGTGATGCTGCCGTTGGCAGCCTATCATGTCAATACATGAGTACTACTGAAAACAATCTCAACAATGCGAATAAGCCAATACAACAAGAACCACCGTCATCAGAAACAATATTATTCATCATAAAGAGGCCAAAGTCGCTACATCCTTATGTTGTTTCCAGTGACGGTTGCAGCTTTCCAAGCGTTTTCCACACGACTTTGTCGACAGTGTCTTGGACAAGCGGAGACTCGCAACAAAGAGGAACGATTGATGCCGGATGCATCCTAGCCACTTCTCGTTCTGAGTTTCTAAGACTAAGAACCTAGTCACTGAGATGTCCTTCTTCAAGCCCGTTTGGATGTTGTCTTGGAATGCGTGCTCCATGAACCGGCAAGTGGGTGCACAACGAGGTGTGCGCGTCCAGGCGGTTGCCCCTTGCATGGGCATAAAGCACACTCTAGGAAACTGCATGCAGTTCGTAGTTCTGGAGGAGTACCCGGGTTTGACGTCGGCAGCCATAGGTTGCATTCCCTTATTTCTAGCGATGCCTTCGAGTAGGTGCACTGCGGCAACCTCAGAGACTTTACCGCTTTTACTTAGCTGGCCCCGAGAGAGCCCATGCTGATTGGCCATGGCGCCGGCCGGCGACCACGTTTCCTAGCTCCTTCATTGGTAGCCGCTCCTAGCCGTCCGAGGTTGGGAGCTGCAAAACCTCTGAATCATGCGAGCTCCCTTGCCTTGACAGTCACAACGATGCACAGATCTCTCCATTTCGTGAGCGATGGGCGAAAGGCATATAGATGAGCTACCGACAGACCCCCAAGAACCAACATCCTTTCCCTGAAAATGGTTCTAAATAGCTGGCCATAGCCCCCCTCCCCAAAGTAGCGCTGCTGGGCCTTGCTATGCAATGTTGCTACTGACGCGGTCGCGGCCTTGGGCGCTCTGTTCGTGGGCAACTGCGCTGCTTTCCACTGTGGTTCTTCAGAAGCTCATGGAAAACTGCTGACCACTTTCATGTCCAGTGTTTAGTTTTGTCCTGTTTCTTTGTGTGCAGGCCGGCTGTGGGGCTTCAGCTCACAAGGCTCTCCGGGATGGCCCTTGGCCACATCGGCCTTGGTGGCATGCTGGCTCGGCCCTTGCACTGTCAGAGCGATTTAGACAAATTTCAAGGGATGGGCGAGGGGGAGAGCTCCGCTTCGGATTCTGGAAGGGAACCAACGCAGCTGCTTCTGTACCCCACGAGTCCCTCTACTCTGGGGTGACTTTCGCAGAGTGGATGCTAAGCGCTTTGACAGCGAAGGCTGGGATGAACTTGCCGTTCCCTGTCGTGCCTACGCCGGGAGTTCCCTTCCAGGAGATCCCATGGTGACCGAGGCCGGACCCAAAGAAGTTCGGGACAAGATGCCCTTGATCCACTTGTCAAGTTACTAAGCTTACTATGGACATGGGCTTCTTGCAGTGTGACCACCTTTGAAGGTCATCCAGGTCCCCGGCAGCCAGGGCTCACTGCTGGCCTGGCTCTGTCGACCCCGTGAAGCAGATCCCCGGTGCTGCTTCTTGCGGCTCGCAGTGGAACAGCGCACAGCCCTCCTTACTGTAGTAGTGGATACGTTCTCATGGTCGTAACATCGAATACGTTGCGCAATGTTAGCGAAGGTCTATATATGGGACTTCAGCACGAGTGTCACACCGGCACAAACAGGGAAGCTGCCACTTGATAGTGTTGAATATGGGCTTCACTGACTCCAGTAGGTAAGCAGAACGGAGATGCGGATCACAAACCGCAAGTGCACTGAGTCTCTGAGGTATCTCCATGGATTCCCAGACCAAAGCCTTGACCACCGGAAGGCGAGCGAAGAAACCACAGGTCAGCTCATTTTCCAAGCCGCCCACAGTTGCACTATTTTTAGTGCTCGGCAGCTCCGAGCTCAGCCAAACCAAAGTGGGCTCTGCAAATTCTGCAGGAGCTGCCCAGCTACGGCCAACTGCGACCCACACTGCCTCGCCGTTTGGCAGCTCAGCTCCTGGCTGCGCATCCGGAGGCCCCGGCAGCCTAAGCAGCCTAAGTGTCTGTGATGATTTAGCTCCCGATGCTCCGGCAAACTTTTGCAACTTGGGGCTCGGCCTTTCAGCCGGGCTTGGCCGAGAATGCCTTTCTCAGAGAAGCGTCGTAAATCAGCGGTGCGAAGACCTGCTGCACAAACCCATGAAGCGCTGCAAAGACCATGGAGTCCACGATGAGGCATCCAGCCCAAACTCATGAAACTCATTGCGCACATCTGAAGCAGAGTTATTGCCTCCAGAGGCAGCGTTTGCAGCCTTCAATTTTGCTGGCACTCCCGGCTCCGATGCCAGCTTCGCCTTTTCTCAGAAGACCGTGGCCCTGGCGGCGTTCAGATTGGGGTGCTGAGGTTTGCGGCATGTTGCAGGGGATGACAGGAGCAATCCGGTAGGGCCTGCGCAGTTGCACAGTCCATGTGCTGAATTCAAGGGTGTCCCTTCCTGGTGAGGTAAGCCAAGAACTCTCGGACACACTGGCCGTGATGGCACACTTGCGCAAGACTTGGCCTGGGCTTCCCGTTCACGTGGCTCAGCTGCCTCACAGGTTGCAGTTGTGTGTTGATGTTTGGGTTGTTTAGTTTATTTGGACCGGACTGCATGAAGAGCATTTTTTCTGTCATTGGCTGCTGTACTGATCCTGGTGGTCCTTGCAGTAGTTTTGCGATGTTTCACATGGAAGTGTTCTGGACCGAGGTCATTGGCATCTCAACGGGCGCCATCGTTGCTAGCTGCGTGTCCCTGAATGGGTGCAAGGTTAAGTTTGATCCTCGGTGTTTCAGTTGTAGGGCTTCAAAAGCCAAAATCCAGTGTGCCAGGTTTGCTCAGAGGCGCTGGCATTACTGACATCACAATCACCGCGATCGCTGGACTTCTCAATGTGCAGAAGGGCCTTCACTTCGACTTCGACGATGTGCAGCTGAAGGCCTAGAGTCCAAGGGAGCAGCAGAGGGCTTCAACTTTTTGTTCATGTTTTTCTTTTTATGAGTCTTTCCTGAGACATGGTGAGGCTGCATTTCATTTCTTACGGGTCTGCTCTCACAGACTTGTACTGAACACTCGTTGGCAAACAGGCATTCGACAACGATGGCAGATGCTGGAAAGAATTCTGGCTTCCCCGTGGCTCTCCGTCAAATCCGCCTGATGCCCGATTTGACGCTGCTGGGCCTCGAATGTAGGCATGAAGTAAGAACCCTCAAAGCGCTCTCCCAGTTCACATTCGTCGCGAGCTGAGGTAAGCTCCACTTCCGAAGGTGAGGACCACTGGGAGAAGGCCTGCTTGCCGCTGTCGTCGGCATACCGGGAGGACAGCTTGGGATTTGCAGTGCGGGGTGCGAGGGGTGCCATGGTGCCACTGCCTTTGTTTGATTTTAGGCCATGAGCACCGGTGTTTGCATCGCTGCTTAAAGGGGTCGCGGTGCACTCCGAGGCCATGTACCAGATGCGCTGCATGCCTGCCACACCTTCCACTGCAGGACTTCCTGGCTTTGAATTTGTCAGGGGCGGTGAGCAGCGGCTCCTCAGCGGAAGGAGGGGGCTCAGTGCCGAAACAAATTCTCGGCTTCAGAGTCACATTGACCATGGCACCAGAGGAATCCTGTGGATGCATGTTGCCCGCACCCCATGCATGCCTGGTAACGGCCGGCAGATTGATTGCTCAGGCACCGCACCACTCTTGGTGCTTCATGGGGATCGGGACCGCAGCGTGCCACTGGAGAATGGCCAGGTGAGATGAGCCAAGTGTGTAACATGTTGACCTTGATTCCGGAAGATAAAGACACCGGCATGAGCCATCGATATCTTCGGCATTGGTGCAAGGAAAGAGTGGCAGAGTGGCTGTAGCTGCAAGTGCTGCCAACACATTGAGCCATATTGAGCCCCAAAGTCTTGAGACTGTGCCCTGAGGCAGTAATCAAACAAAGGCCGGGAAGCTTCAAGAACATTCCTACTACCCACCCAAGAACATGCACACAGTCAATCTCGCATAGGATCCCTAAAGCGTACATGGCTTCTAAACTCTTGCATTCTAGACCCTGACACTTGACGACCTCGCGAGCCAGGAGCTGTTTGAAGCGGCCGCTCCTCCAAAAGAGCTGGTCGTGCTGAAAGGCGTGATATGGCACGATATGGTTAGTGGGTGGGCTTAACTAAGCTCACAGATGCCTGGAATCAGAGGGAGCCTGATTTGGGGCCATGGCCATCAGACTTTAGTTGATCTGGACACGCGGAGCCCATCGGGCTTTTCACGATGAACAACCTGAGCAAAGCATCTGCTGCACAGATCTGCACAGGTGGCGACCACCTGTTGCGATTTCCGGCAGCACTGTGTGGGTGTAGAGGGCGACCAGCTTCGTCAGTTTATGTCAGAGGGCTGATATGGCACATGAGCTGGAATGAAAGTTTGAGGAAGTTCTAGATCAACTCTAACACACGAGCCACATGTTGATAGAGGCAGAGTGCACATATATGCAAATATGTGGTTTAGACTGAACGAGGCGTGGAGTGAGAGGCTAAGGTGGGAGATTCGTGGGAGCATGATCAGGCTCTTTGTTGTCATGCTGTTGGGCAGGACATGCTTCTTCCTTACAGCCTTACAGCTGGGTTTGCGGCTGGGGATAAGTAGTACAGGCTGAAGACTCTTTTCGACAGCAGCGACCGCGACCGCGACCATCACCACAAGAGCAACATCAACAGCAACAACAATACAGGACCACAACTGGAAGAAGCACAACCACCGCAACGAGAATGAGAAGGACGAGAACATCACCCAACCGCCACGACGGCGGCGGCGACGGCCACGACGACCATGAGGACCACGACGACAGCGAAGACGCCGACGACGACAAGACCACCACCCCACCACCCCCCACCCCCCAACTCAATCGCCCCATCCCTCCCTCACCACCGCCACAACCCCCACCACCGACACCCGCGACACCCCCGACACCACCGAGACACCACCGACGCCACCGACACCACACCACCACAGCAACCGCAACAATAACCGCATAGCATAGCAGCTACAGTTGCCATAGCCAAGCAACCACACCAGGCAAAAGAACCAGAACCACTAAAGCCAAAGCAGTAATCGCAACAGCTGGCAGCAGCTTTGCCTTTCTTGAGCGCCATGCCACAATACTTTGCTTGTTCTATAGCAGTCTCTGGCCAGGAAGTTCCAAGACAGCCAGCAGAGCAGGCCGCGCCATTCTTGACTTTACCTCGGCAGTCGGACAGTGGACAAAACGTTAGACAACTGCGCGGTCGGCTTGCGGGACAGAAGCTTTGCCGTGGCGGCCGTGGGATAGCAACGTACATCGACGCTTCGAATAGTGCCTCGACAAGAGATTCCAGCAGACTGTTCTTTCAACAGGTCAACATGACAGACCCCATGCAGGGAGTAGGCGTAGGGCGTAGGGTCATCACAGCCGATGTTTGCTGAGGAAAGTCAGCTCCGAGTTGTCATCGGGTTCAATGCTCTTTGAAGACTGCGATGCCCAAGTCCATGTGAGAACTGGCAGGGCCAGTACTGGAACTTGCAAGAATGGAGCTTTGCCTGGTAACGCGGTTGAGTCGCTGAGTGTACCTCCTGATGGTGGTCGCAAGCATCGGGCGTGCAAGACCAGGGCATGAACTCGTGAACGCTCGCCAGATGTTTCAGCCGGGCGAGTCTCTGTAAACCAACATACGCCCGTTGTACATTGCAGCCTGGCACCTAGGAACCAAAGGAAGAAAGGGGCTGCAAGCCGCCAAAAAGCTGCAATCATGGTGCATCCTTCCATATCCTTGCAGTCCTCGCTTGACGGTCTCAGCGGAGCTCCAAGGATGGGTGAGCTGACAGCGCTCCAAATCTTGGCAGATGCTTTGGACTGAGAGTCGTCACATCCCACACTCTTTTCAGACAGCTCTGGGATACTCTGCGCATATAACTTGTATATACACATTACCCAAATTTTCATGCATGCAGCTTGTAAGCTTGTACGCAATTGGGGCAAGTGCTACTGCCTTCTTTGGCCCAAGGTCCACGCACGTGGGATGCGCTACGCAGAAGTCGTTAGTGCCGTAGAGAAGGCCTGGGGCGCCGTGTCAGACCTTCCGAGCTTCTCGAATCTGAAACTTGAAGTTCAAGCTTTAAATTAGCTGCAATTATCCCCAAGGCCTTGATGAATCATGCTGCATAAGGTGCTGATAGAGACCTCGTTCAGGACTTCATGTGGCATGGATGTCGGCGACACCGCGGTGATGTTAAACACAAGTGAGTTTTTGCAGGGAAATGGCCAAGAGAAACCTCAGCCTACACCCCTGTAGCCTTAACTAGCCAAAAAGAAACCAAGAACCCAGTCGCAGGCACTTCCCATCGCTGAGTCCTTGCGCGACCAGTTGACCACCGCCAGCCTTACCCCGAGAGATTCCCGGAGGGTTGTGCTGACTCTTGCGCCTTTTCTGGCTTTCAGTCGCTGTTTGGGATGTAAAGACTTCTTTTCCTCTCCTGCCTAATTACCAGCCTTGAGGCATCCGGAAGAGGCACCTCGATGATCAAAGCTTAGGGAAACCCGTTGTGACTTCTCGCTCTCCTGACGTCAAGTTTGGTTCCGGTACGACCGAACTTTCTGAGGCTCTAATTGGGGTCGCTCTTGAGATACGCAGCTTTCTCCAGTGAGGGCACAGCTAGCGGCTGCCTCCTGTGCAGTTATCGATGGTGGTTGGCCCGCGGCACTTCAGCTCAAGGCCGGTTGGCCTGAGACTCATGGAATCCATGGCCGATGATGTCAAAGCTCGGCTTAAGTTCCCGAGAGCCCGAGACACAGCCACCTAGAATTCTTATCCTGGCTAAGCGAAGGCACTCGACGGGCTCTCACCTCACTCCAGGCATCTATACACGGTTACCACAGCACAGAAATGGGCTACACTTAGGCTAGCACGGAACTGGGCCACATCCCCCCCCTGCTGGGGCACACCTGGCTGCTGGTTGGACTTTTTGCAAGCTTAAAAAACAGCCGCAGCCCATGGACCATGGATGATGGCAGCCTTGACGATGATGTGGCTGTCAAGGCTGCGGAAGCCTTGGGCTGCTTGGCATATCAGGCACTCGCGTGTCATCATCTTGTAATTGCTTCGTCTGCATAAGTCTGACAACAGCTTTACAAGTGCTATGTACACTGTCTTCGAATACAACCAGTCCTGTCACAGTCACTGTTTTCATGGAATTTGTGGACAGCAGTGCTGGCCACATGAGAAGTGCCCTTTTGGCCAGTGTAGGCAGGGTTGAAGTAGCTGTGCTACGCGTTGCTCAACTTAAGGCTCCCTTGCCTCTTTCATGGAAGTTGCTGTGGATCCTCGCCGACCCGATGCTAGCGCAGCGGACCCCCTGGAGCCAGGGGAGAAGGCTTGGGCTTGGGGAGCTCACGTTCGATTTGCCCTTTTGCAGCAGCTGCTCGCCGTCAGGCCAAGCAGTCTGGCGAGACCCGGGCGGTCTCCAAAGCTTCTGTCAGGGACGGATGGGGTTCAAGACGTGGCTTCGTTTCTTGGGGTTTAGGCAGACGTAGGTGATCTTGAGGTCAGTTTGAGGTCGTAACAGATTTCATGACACCACGAAAGGGCGGTCTAGGCCTAGGCTTCGGCTGAAGTTGGATGTACTTGCACGGGAGGCCATGCCAGGGTTGCGCTTTGCACGTAGGACCTGCGAACCAAGCTCGAGCAGAAGCGATCTGCCTCCTCCGAGCCGGCTCCTTCCCTGTGCCCTGTCGCCAGTTTCGCTATAACACAAAGCTTCAAAGAAGGTGTAGAGTAAGCCAGTAAGATTTCTGCCTAAGCTGTGTTGTTACGGCATGTTACGGCTTGGATTGGCGGGTGTCGGCTCAACTTGGGAAGCATGCTTGCCACAGTCGTGTCACCCGAATGTCCAAAAGTATGTGTTGTCAGATGTTGTCAGAATGCAGTCGCGCGGATTGCCAATAGTCCAGGAGGTCGGAGAGACCTCGCTTGCATGGCTGCGACAAAACGCAAGATGCCAACTTTCATAAGTCGCATCCCTTTAATAAACTTTAATATGGGCCTCGCGGACGATCTTGATAACCAGGGGGTCAATTGGCGAGGTGGGTAGGTTGTCTGCTACCCATGAAAGCCACATTTCTGCAAACTCCCGCTTGTGCACCTGCGCCGCATGCTGAGTGCCACCAGGCACCAGGCAAAAACTTACACACGGATAACTGCAGCCTGCCCCAGGCCCGAAGCCCTCCATTCTCCGAGGTCAGCCTCTGAGGAGCTGAAGGCCAAGCTGCAGGCAGCAAAGGAGAGGATGGCCCGGGAGACACTTGGAGAGCACTTGAAATCTTGATCTGGGAAGTGGGGCCTGACAGGTCTAACAGCGTTGGGTTCCTGTCCATGTCCTTACAGCCATGAAAAGAACCTGCCTTGCAATCCCCCCCACACATCTTATTGCAGGTGGGAGCAAAAACCTCTTACTCTTAGGGGTAGCTACCGCGAAAGTTCAGATCCCCATTACAAGAAACACGGTCCTTACTGCCCCAAGCCACCGCAACGACACATCCCAGGAAAGAGGCTGGCAAACGCCCGCTTCTGTCCCAGATCCTGTCCCCCGAGCCAAAAGCACCACCGGCTCCAAGCTCACCGACAGAGAAGAAGAGCAAAAAGGCTCCATCCAGCGTTCCTGTTTCATCGTGTTCTCGGGTCAGTGGCAGGGGATGGGGGGGGGGGGGGGGGGGCGTGCCAGTGCAGGTTCGGGTGTCTTCTTATGCCACACGCGTTCGTGCTTTGAATGTACTGTACTGTTCTAACCTGCTCGCACTACAAGTATTGAAGCAATCTGCCGCGCTCGGGCCAGGACAAAAAGAAGGACAAAGACAAAGACAAAGACCGGAAGAAAGACAAACGAGAAGAAGCAGTACCCATCCGACAGACCAAGGGCAGACCGATGCCGAAACAGCAGGTTGCTTGGCTTCGATTCCAGAATCGCTTTCAGCCTGAGACTCTGAGACTCTGAGACTCTGAGACCGCAAGAGTTTGAGCTGCCCTTGGTGTTAGCATTTCGCGGCCTTTGCAGCCAGAGAGTATCACTTGCTTCCAGGCACTGCCTTTGGTCTGCAAAGAAAAGGAGCCAGAGCAGAAGCCGGAAGAAGCCATGAGCGTGGCTTGGTCATGTCCATATCTCTACAATTTTTCTCAACCAAAAACACGACGTCAGACTGCTCAGGCAGTCACTCAAAATAAAATAGACTGCCTGCCGCGCATCTCTGCCATGAGTGGGTCTTTGGTAGTGGTGTCAAGGCCAGCGAGCTTGAGCGAAAGATTGCGCTCGAGAAGGCAAGCAGCGAGCATGATTTCCCCCAGCGAACTTATTTGGAATTGAATCTACTGACAGTGGTACACATGAGATCAGCCGGGGTGGCCGTTCGGTGATTTTGCCACGCTTTTGAGGCCAAGGCCCGGCGCTTGGAGGAGCTTCGGGAGCGCGAGGCGCAGAAGGTCCAGCAGGTGCATTCGCACCTCGAACGAGAGGGGTTTAAGAAAAGAGCAACTCGGGCAAAGGATGCACAGAGGGCCAAGGATTATTGTGTGTATGATATGTGGGTTTTTCTGCCTCAGAATATGTGACGACTTTTTGTAAGATCTTCTTGAGCTTACGCAGAAGATCACATTCTGCTTTTCCAAGAAGGGCGCGAGACATCGTGTAAACTTGAGTGCGTACCTTCTCATGCTGTCCTGAGCCTAGGAAAGCCGCCGCGCGAAAGAAGAAGGAGGCTGGACTTGGAGCCCCGATGCCGAACCCTCCTACTTGTACGCTCCGCCTGGTATACAGGTCGAGGATTCCGTGCGCGATTTGGCCAGGAAGCTCTCGCAGGACCGGCTTCGTGTGACAGATCCTTCGTGATTTGCGATGGCACATGGGGGCCTTTAGACTACTTGGGTTCCGAGTTGCCGGCTATAGCTGCCTAAAAGTTTCTTCAGCGATGACAGGTTTGTGGATGTGTTTGCTAGCCTTCTGACTGGGCTCAGGAACAGGACACAAACATGCCATTAAATATGCTCTCCAAAGAACCCTTGTTCAGTCGGCGCTCTGCCCCGACCAAGTTCGGGCATGTAGGACATCCTGGAGATTTCCGAGACCATCAACGTGTCTTGGGTATAATGAGGAAGCCCAGTCGTGAGTTTGCCGAGTTGCTTACGCTACAGCTATTTCCAAACATATGATCTTTGGTCCCGTATGCGTTTTGACGTTGGAGGTTTTGTGCTTCCCCTCTTGTTTCAGATGCGAGCAACTGTTTTGTTGGTTTGGGCGAGTTGGTGCCCTGATGTATCTTTCAGTTTCGTTGAGTCTATGCATTCTTTGTCAAGTAGGATAGCACTCTGGCACTGTTGCTTCGAGCTTCGCTGTGTTTGTTCACATGTCTCATGCTGATGCCAAGGTCGAGAACATCAAGCAGGAGGTGAAGCGTGAGGGCCGGGGTCCAGGCCACTTCGGCAACCCACTTGCGCTCGCGCAGATGAAGGCAGAGGTAAAGCAAGAGACGAAGCAGGAGACTTGGAAGCCTGGAAGCCGTTGTAGGTTGGATGATTCGCAGCTTCGCACCCCCCCCCCTTGCCCAAGGTAAGGGAGGAACAGTTCACTCGGCTTCTGCCATGATACGAATGCTAAGGAATGCTCATTAGTTTCTTCGCAGGTCAGCATCTGCCCCAACAGACAGTTTGATGCACATCCGACCTTAGCTACCCGAAAGTTGCATTCGACCACACCTGATGCCATCCTCATGCAACATGTGCCCATGATATTTACAGCATTCGCCCATATTTAATCGAGTCTACTTGTGCGTACTTCTGTTCTGGTGGTTGGTAGCTTTGCCTGTCAAAAGGAGTCTGGTGGGCTCGGCGTCAAGGGCGAGACGAAGTCAGAGCCGGGTGCAGACTTGTTCTCACTCTAAAGCTACCGTGTGTTGCAATTCTGTGCTGTAGCCCCAACTGGCGCACTCCGGCGGTCTTCCGTAGGATGGGTTATTGTTGCACCAGTCGGGACGATTTCTTTGAGCAGCGAAGTTGTCGCTTCATGAGAACTAGCCACGGTTGCAGTGATGAAAGGTGTGTATCTGTATCTGCCTTTTGCTACTTTCTGAGATGCTACTGAGGGCATTGCATGAGTAACTGCATGTGCAGGTGCCATCAACCAGGATGGGGGCCAGAATTCGAACCCCATGTCGCACGAGCAGTTCTTGACCATCATGTCCCATCTCAAGCAGATGCCCACGCCAGTTCCCTGGCCATGCTAACAGCACTGCGGAAAAGCTATACGAGGTATGGTGTTCATTATGGCTATGCTTTTGGTGCATGTGAAATCTTACCGGTATAAACCGAAAGATATGTACAGATATACACATATAGATATCTGTATGTCTCTATATATATGTATATATATGTATATATATATATACATAGGATGTTAGGGGATACTGTCGACCAACAAAAACCGCATAGTATTTCTTGTGCTTGCGGTATGTGGCTGCCGCTGCCGGGTGTACAAGCCCGCTTCAAACCAACCAAGCAACCAAGCCTCTTCCAAGGAGTCCATGGCCCTCAGCTCCGGGCAGCCCTCCCGTGAGGACCACGGGACTGCAGCTGAGGAGGCGGGGCGGGGGGGGGGGGGGGGGGGGGGCAGTCGTGAAAGCTGACACCATCCAATCATCCGCCCACTGGCGCATGATACACCATATTTACACCATATACGTTTTGCAACTGAGCATATATATATATATATATAGATTTATTTAATTTTATATTTATATATACATACATGTATATATAATTTGCATACATGCGTTTGTGTGTAGTGTAAAGATAGTTTCTCAACGATGTGGCCCATTCTGGGTCGCTGCCCCGCTTGTTCCCGTTTGCAATGAAAGACTAAGCAGACCATGAGCCTGAGTTTTCTTGGGGAGGAAGCTCAAAACAACCAGCCCAGCGTGTGCACCATTGGCCGCTTGGCAGTGGTTTTGCACTGAGGAGCTTCAGGTACAAGCTCAGTTGCGTCAAAATTCGGCTTTTCAGATGAGGGACCATGACGTGTGGGGATGGCGCTCCGAAGTTCAGGCTGCAGCTTTCGCCTTGCCCTGTTGCAGAGTGATAGCAGAGGCTATATCCAAGCCAAGGTTGGGAGCCCAACGTGGAGCCCTACGTGATGATCAAGATGCTGGAGAAGTATCGAATCTCGTCTATTACACATTATCTGATATTATCTGCAGGATGGGCATTCTGTGTCTTGAGCACCTGCTCCGGGCCTTAGCCAGTCCACGGAATGCAGGTGTTGGATCCATCGTAGATGCCCGACCAGCCGAGTACAACACAGACGGCTTTGCGCAGGACTCTCCTTCATGTCTGGAGTGCCAGTGTATACTATACGGCTGCACAAAGCCAACACACAAGTTCTATTAGTGTTATTTGTAGTGTGCCCTTGCCACGATATGGAAAGGCCTGTGCAGCTCACGGCTGGACGTACGACCGCCAGCCAGCCCCTGTCTTAGAAGGAGTTGAGTGGGGTACAGGGAGAGGACGACCCCACCATTGGAGACTCCTGTAACATTGCTTGCTGCACAAAGGTGCTTTCCATCCATCCCTATGACCTTGGGCCCATGCAGATGTTTGCACCTTCGGTTTGCAAACATAAAACATACCTCCTTCAGTTCACCACGGATTTCTGCACATCCTGCTCGCAATGCAGATGCCAATTAGACTGCAACCAAGGCTTACAATGCGATTGGCCGCATTGTCAGTCAAGCACGCGCATCTGTGATGTCCGATCACGACGGGAGCTGCAAGCGTCAGTGCATCCTCTTTGCGGGCGACCAGCAGTGGATCTCCGAGTGCAACTGGCACATACTCCAAAGGCTGCAGGGATGTTCCATAGAAGTTGTCCAGATCAACTTGGACAAGTACTGGGAAGAGGCCAGAGCCAGTCCAACCTCTCTGACTTCAAGCTGAAACATCCCGGAAACCCCTGGCTTGTGGAACCCTGGCTGTGTCCGGTTTGCAGGCTGCCGTTCTCGAGGAAGAAACCGAGAAAGGCAACCCGTATCGCCGCGGCATAAGCTCAGTCTGTTTTTGCCTCTGCCGGCTTTGCTGCATCAAGTAGCTTGAAGAAGCCCAAGTTCATTGATACTTGTATGATTCGATTGGGATCAGTTCACTCCTGCATTGCAAGAGGCGGCGTGACAGTCGCCGGGCCAGCTCTCACGCAGGCGAGGGCCAATCCAGGAGGTTCCAGCAAAGGAGTCGTCGAGACACATACTATACTGAGATATGAAGAGTTCATAGCAGAAGAAACAGGAAACCGGTAGTAAAAGAGCCCCATTCCACCCAAAGGCCTGAAGCTTTCCTGCAGTTTTCTGCTGCAGCCCAGGAAACTGTTGATTATAGGTGACCCAAGCAGCATTAGGAAACTGAATATGCCCGGGAAACCTTAGATTCACTAGATTCAGTGTAGATTGCAGCAGGCAGTAAAACAAAACTGGGCGCAACATCAGTTTCGAAGATACGGAAGGAAGAGCTTGTCAGGTGGTGGACGAGCTGCGCAGTCAAGTGGGCCTTCCAAAGATCGGAGACGAGCGCGACAGGCAATTCCTGTGTGCCTATTGAGATCCTATTGAGTACCGGTCTAAAGTGGTCCCTTGCCATGCTCTCGCAAGCTCCGCATCTCGTGACAGCTTCGGTTGCTCATACAACTGATTCAACTGATCCCTGTATCTAAAACCCATGAAGAGCTGATGCATGTTGCCGCAGGCAGCTCATGGTCACTGCGCGAGCCGGCCTAGAGACCTGGGTGCAGAAAAAGTTTAAGCACCTGGGCGTGGAATGGGTTGTTTGTTGTATGTAAAGTTTCAGGCTTTGCACTTCACAAGTTATCTTCTGTGGCACCAGCCTCGTGCCCCTCGAGTCATTGGTGCGACATAGAGTTGTTTCCGTAGTCATGTGTTTGCAGCACATGCCACTAACTCTGAGCAATGCATGCGCTCAATGGCATTCGCAATTGAGCATCTTCTCATAGGAAAGCTTCCCGTAAGAATCTGAATGCGCAGTTCTTGCATGGGCCTTCAAACCAGTAAACATGACGGGCCGACACAGCAAGTGGGCCTCGCTCAATGACACAGATGGATACGGATGGCAGTCACGTCAATTTCGACTGTCGCGGTTCAAAGGTCCCAAGGCTTTAACGCTTCAGGACAGCGATGGCGATCAAAATTGAAAGTGTGTTTCTCGGGCACCATAGGCGCATGTAGTGGGAGGGAACGGAATGGCCCTCCAGCTCTTGCGTGCACTTAGGCAAGACTTGCGGCTCAGAGAGAAATTCCTCCCTCCGGAAGCCACGCTCAAGGATCGGGGAAGCTTGCTCTTCTGCTGTAGGAGCTCTTCTGCTGCGGTTTGGTTAGTGATGAATGCATTGTCATTGGTCGGTGGCATTCGGGTTGGAGGTGTCACGTGCACCTCGTGAATGTTTGGAGCACTGTTCTGATTTTGGCACGGCCACAACTCCATGACCTTCGACAGGAGAAAATCGATTGCCTTCGCGATGCATGCCCTGAGCTTTCCCGTGTTGTGAGCATGGCTCACTTCCTTCGCATGATCGGCAACAATAGTGCCCACACAGGCAGGGCTTGCCATGCTAGATTTCACGGCTTATGTAGAATGAGTTAATCCATGCACAGGTGGTGCAGCTATCCCGCCGCGCTACCAGCTCGTGCAGCTTGTGCAAAAGCTCACCCACGAGATCAAGGAGTCGGACGCTCAGACCAAAGCGCACGACGAGGCCGACAAGAAGTGGGAAGCCGCTGAGCCTTTCGCGGCAGTCCTCGCGAAGATCGCCGGCGAGCCTGCACCTGCCCGTGCACCAGCCAGTGCTCGACTACAGCTTCCTCAGTCGATGATCTTGCCCAAAGATGGCCAACACAAGGCTACGTTAGTGTACTTGCATCCTTTCGGCGCTGGTAATGTCCGTTACCTACAGGCCAAAAGCGTCTTTGCGGCGCAGGGTATACGGCTTGTATTGCCGCTGGCGCCCAACACCCAAATCACGGCGTACAATAAGCGGCCGTGCATTAGCTGGTTTGACTACTACAAGGGCAGCAAGGAGCTCGAGGCCGACCCGCTGAGCTTGGAGGACATCCGTGTCCGCCTGTCCCTGACATTGGAGCGAGAAGCTACCTTGCTTGGGGAAGACGGTCACAAGCGGCTCATCGTGGGAGGCTTGGCGCAGGGCGCCGAGACAGCACTACACGCCGTGCTGATGCATCATCAGGTCTTAGCTGGTTTTGTTGGGATTTGTGGCAACCTCCTGCCATGCACACTGCCAGAAGGTCCAGGTAAGGTGAAGCTCCACTTTTTCGACTACGGGGAAAGGGATCCGAAGGTTTGGGTGCATCAGACAAGAGACCCTTTGCTCAAGCACCATGACCTCACAGAGCACGGCGCCATTTTTGACAATGGCGTGGAAGGGCTGCCGAAGGACTTTCGCAAGGGCCACTTGCAAGGGGTTGACCTGTCCAAGATCGACCACCGGTTGGAGGCGCAATGTCTCCAAGTTGCCTGCGAGGCCCTTCTGCAGCCCGAGGAGGAAGAGCAGGCAGAGGACCAGCAACTTGCAGCCGAAGTCGAAGCTCCCGACGACACGGCAGACAAGGAAGAGGAGGCGGCAGAACCAGAGATGGAGCTCACAGACGCAGATTTGGGAATCGAGCCAGAGCCAGAGGGCGACGAGAAGGACCCCTTGCTCGTCGAGTTGGGGGAGGTCATCGATGAGAATGCACCCGACCCGGCCCCGGCTGAAGAAGGTGAGGGAGAGGCTGGAGAGGGTGCAGAAGGTGTAGATGGCACTGGGGGTGAAAAAGGTGATGGAACAGAAGGAGGCGAAGGAGGAGAGGTTGTGGAAGAGGTGGAGATGGAGCTAACAGACGCAGACCTTGGGATTGAAGCACCCTTAGATGAAGAAGATGAAGATTACGATCCCTTGAAGGAGTTGCCAGCTGCCGAAACCCTGGAAGGCGGAGACATGGTGCTTACTGATGCGGACCTCGGCATCGAAGCTCCCATCGAGGAAGGCGAAGAAATGGTGCTCACCCCAGCAGACCTTGGCATTGAAGCGCCTCTGCCAGATGAGGAAGATGTGGTTGTCTTGATGAAAGCCACGGCAAAGGTCATGCCCTCTCGAAAGCGACCGCGCGAGGAAGAGGACTTCACGGCAGAGGTGAAGCAGGAGCTCGAAGACGAAGAGGAAGCAGAAGTAGAAGTGGAATCCACGCCGGACGAGGAGATGCCGCCTGCGGAGATGGCAGCAGCAGTGTCGACAGGTGAGGTGCGGAGTGAAGCAAGCGAAGAGGTGCCAGCGGAGCTTGCACACACTGATGCGCCGGTGGCGGAGGCGCCTGGCGAGGAGGTGCCTGCCGAGCAGGCGCCTGCCAAGGCAGCTGACGCCGTGCCTGCCGAGGCCATGCCAGCCGAGGCCACGCCTGCCGCCGAGGCACCTGCCCAGGCGCCAGAAGCCAAAGAAGCCAAAGAAGCCAAGCCAGAAGTGGAGGGGGAAGCGCAAGACGCGCAAGAGCCCGACAAGGCGCCAGAGGCGCCGGATCGAAGGGAGTCAGACTGCGCCGAGCGCTGAAAATAAGCGCGGCCCACTCCCTAATCGAGTTGAAGGCCCCCTCCCGACCCATCATACCCCCACCCAAAGCCGAAAGCACCCGACGCCCCAAGTCTTCGAAGGCCTGCTGGTGAGTGCTGCGCAGGCCCAGAAGTTAGGAGCCGACTCCTGATGGGAGGTTGTATAATCAGTGAGAGTCTCTGTCGGTTCTTCAGCAAGTTGCGGCCGGCATCCCGAACAAACCCAAAGAGCACAGATGGTGTGATGAAAGGAGAGCCTAAATGCAACTGTTACAGATCTAAATGTCCTTTCGTGGAGGCCACCCTGGGCCTCTTGGAGACAGGGTCGATGGCTCCCAAATCCTCAGAGTTTGCCTCAACCGCGGAGAAAGCTGAGAAGGCTGGTTTCAGGGCAAGTAGACATGATGACTTAGGACATGGGACACGTGCTTGCGGAGACACGTCTATGTCCAGACAGCACTATATACTATATGCTAGTGGCTGCTAGTAGCTGTGCTAGTAGCTGCTGGTACATGCACAGAGACAGGGAGCTGGACATGGCTTGCCGATTGAAAGTCAAGCGATACCTCGCCCAGTTCGCCAAAAGAGCCGTCATGCTCGCGCGTGACCAGAAGAGGCACCGGGTGCACCAGAAAGGGTGTTTGCAGAATTGCGCTTCAGATAAGTCAGTTCGCGGCGCGTTGCTGACGTGCTCCCGGTTTCCGAGTGTCTCTTGAAGAGTACTGAGTACTGGGCACAGCTTTTGTTGAAAGACTGCTGTGTGGCAGTTCTTGGCTTTCGTTGCAGTGCCTCGTTCCCGGTGCTGAGCGACAGATCTTCTCGTTCTTCCTTGCTCCTCATTTCCCCGGAAAGCTGCCTGAGCAGATTTTTTGCAGGCACCTGCGCCTCAAAGCACGTGAGCTTCACAACCAAACTCAGTTGAATTAAACTAATTAAACTAAACGCATCACAAGCATCCAGGACGGACCTGATGATCTCAGCTCTCTGCACCGTCTCCCAGTCGCAGCTCCTTTCTGGTGAGAAGCATGCCAGCTCCCTCAGTTGACCCGCAGTTGCCTCTTTGGCCCCGCACCTCCGTCGTGGCTTCCAAGAGGAGGAGAAAGCAGCCCTCTATGCTTAAGCAGATCCGGAGTAGTGCGACATGTTGCCCTTGCCCGCAAAAGAATCACTTAAAGTGCACCGGGATATCTCCCTGTCCCGGCCCCCGCTTGGAGACTCATTCTGAACTTACAACTTACAGCCTACAGCTTTCAAGGCCCCTTATGATTCTAAGTCTTGAAAGCAAGGGGTAGCCCACCCCCTCCAGACAGTTCTTCCCAAGATTGATTCAGGCTTTTAAGGATTTAAGTTGTTCTGGGGTGGGTGGGGCGTGACCCATCCGAAGGCAACGTTAGATGTTGATGTTAAATTCATGATGCTGCCGCTGAAATCAAAAACCGCTTATCTCTCGAGAGAGAGAAGCGTGGCACAGTTCCGCACAGCGCAGCATCGTTAAAGGGTTTTTGGGCGTGTTTGTTAACCTGTATTTGCAGTACCTGTTGGACAAACTTGCTGAACTTCAGGTAAACCATAAATGTATTGAAAACGCAGCTCAAGTCGCCACCGGCCTGAGGCAGCTCGCCAGGCGGCCGTGAGCGCCGGCAGCCTCGCGCGGCGAAGCGGCGACCGCCTCGGTGAGGCAAAAGGACAAAGTCAGCACCTCTAGATGACTAGGTTGCTTTTCCAGTCTCTTGCTAAGTAAACACACCGCTAAAGCTGATAAAGCCCCCGGGCCGAATGACTGCTCATCGTTGCGGCAGCCCTGGTGCAGGCAACGGCCTCGCTGCTCCTTAGCCATGCGTGCACCGTCTGGACAGGGGCTAGCTTATACATTTCTGCACCATTCTTCTTGCCCCAGTGCGATGATACCAGCACATCACGGTGCAGGTACGTCTCTCTGGGGAAAATGGAAGCTGCAAAAGACGCGGCAAGTGCAAAGCTCAGCTGCCAAGCTTCCAGCTAGCGCTTGCTACAAGTTGCCAGTCCTCTGGAAAGACTATATGGCCCTTTTTGCCCGTTAAAACGCGCTCCCCCGGTCTCGTTGTCTGGGTGAGAAAAACTCATCAGTCTTCCTTTCAAGCATCTCCCAGATTTACTTACAACCAGGGCTACGCTGGAACTCATTCCAGAGCAGCTACCAATGCTTGGTCCTTGCTTGCCTTTGAGAGCCTTGCAATAACAGGACTTTCCCAGGTCTTCTGAAAGCCAGTTCACTCCATTGTGCCCTCCTCCCCATTGCGGTCTTCGCCCCGAGGTAAGGGCCTCTATGTCTTCGAGGCCCCAGCAAAGCCAAAGGTATGGCACTGGAAAAAAAGTTGAATTTTGGTTCTTCCGTGGATGACGCCTGCCTTGTCTTCATTCTGCAGTCAGGAAAATCATGCATTTCAGTCAGGCGGATGAAGCCCTGTCTGACAGGGTTTTCTTAGAGTTGGCGAAAGTAGCGCTATTTGTGAGACTCAAATCAGCCAGAGAGAGAAGGACAAGGAGAAGAAGAAGAAGAAGAAGAAAACTAAGGCAACCTCCCTTATTATTTGAACATCGCATCATAGAATGAAGACATCCTCCTTGATTTGCAAGCCTTAATTTAAGGCTTCTTCTGTCAATTCAAAGGCTATTACCCTTGATCAGCAAAACATCCTCGAATTAAGGGGGTGCAGTTCTCTTGACATAGAGGGAAGGTATGTTTATGATAAGGGGACAACCCTTACTTAAAGACTTTTGGAAGGTCTGGGTGCACAGTGGTGCTGATGAGACTCGAGACAACCTATAGACGCGCAGACCTGCTGCAAATCACAAGCAAATTCGCAGGAGCTTCATGACTTTATCGGTCAGGACTTGGCGAAGGCGGCACGTGGACATGTTGGGGTTAAAGCTATGTGGGAGTGTTTTTGTTTGCACCTTAAGTGGTTCATGACCGGGATCATCACAGGCTTTGCAGCTTGTCGGTTCCACGGGATGACATGGTTTCTGCACAGAAGTTGCACCTCAGAGGCGCATGTTACCGTAGTGCCTGCTCGACTACGGCCCAGGGAGGTCCATGTAGCGCAAATGCATGAAACCCTGTCTTGGCAAGCCCCAAAACCTCCAGCGCCTTGGAGACAGGTGAGCAGCGGTTTTTTTTTACGGCTCTTGAGAGATACTTATATGCGGAAATAACTCCGGGAACCGGGGCGTGAAAGTGCACGGAACTGTGGCCGCGGAAGCACGCGGAAGGGTTGCGGAAGCACATCTCCGCGGAAGCGACGATAGAAACAATTTTGGTTTGAGTGCTTGTTAGATTCCAGGAGGCTAGTGGGCGTGTTGTTTGGTGTGGGTTTCGGAAGTCTGGTTCCGAGTGGGTTATGCAGATTGGTGTTTTCTGGGAGTTTTGCGGTTACAACCCTTCGTACGAAAGCATGGACGCAGTTCGGAATAAGGCTTCTTTTGAGACCCTAAGCTTCCTACACAAAGTTTTTAAAAAAGCCCTAAACCCGTGTAAACTCTCAACCCCAAAGCAAGCAAGTCAGATTTTCAGGCTTGAGCGCCCCCAAACCTGGCTTCGAGGCCTTCTATCCGTGAAGTTTGATGCGAACTCGGCGGAAGCTCCGCGGAAGCTCCGCGGAAGCTCCGCGGAAGCTCCGCGGAAGCTCCGCGGAAGCTCCGCGGAAGCCCGCGTGCCCATCTGAAGGCCCAGGCCCTTCCTACTGAGTCCATGTTCTTGAAAGTAGATGGTACCGCTGCGCAGCTGCTGCCAGCTCAAGCTGCAGCATTCTCATGGAACGCGTGTCTCATCGTGTAGTCTCAAAGTTCCAGACGCGTGTTCGAGTTTATATCTTACGGACCTACTCGCGGAAGCAAGTTTCTCAAAAATGCGCGAAATTAGTCCGCGGAAGCGTCCGCGGAAGCAAAGGAAGCGGACGAGCAGAAACAATACTCGCGGAAGGACCGCGGAAGGGTTCCGCGGAAGGGTTCGTTATTTCATAGAAAATCTTCTAGGAATAAAAACCACGGCTCAGGTGACCATTGATTCCGTCAGCAATCCTGTTAGCGCACTGGTGGCTACCGGCACTGTCTGGGCCTCCAGTCAACGCTGTCATGCGTCCATTGTGTCTTCAGCCAGAGACTCTTCGACAAAGTGTGTAGGCCTTTGTGGTTTACTTCTCTTTGACTCTTTGCTAGAGTTATGAGATGTTATGAGCATGACTTGAGCATGACTGGCTCTTGGGTCTAATGTCTGTCCTGCTACGGCAACTTGGGCTCAGGAAGTGCAATTCGCTGACAAAGACATCCCACAGAGGGCCTCATGAGTTTCCGTCAGCCGTCAACAAAGTACGCAACATGTAGAGTATGCAGAGAAATGTTTCTTCGGGTTGACTTGGTTTCGGACATTCTGCCCACCATGCTTCCAAACTCGACAGCTGAAGAGATTCGCGCTGCGATTGAGACAAAAAAACATGAAATAGAGGCGCAGCGTGCAAGGCTGCGTAGGGCGCAAGAGGAGGTGTCTCAGGCCCAGGAGCGTCAGAGGTTGCGGAGAGAGCTCGATGACCATGTACGTCAACTGGAAGAACATTCCGACTGCCTTCAGGAGGAATGGTTTCTCCGCTGGGAGATTGACAGGGACGAAGACGGACCACATCTTCCCAATATTCGGACTGAATCCAGGGCGGCCAGCACCAACACGATGGAGACTGAACATTTTGCGCACTGTGTCACCAAAGGTGAGTTCGTGTGGGAGATGGCGGGCTTCTCCTGGTTGGAGAGCATGCTACAGCAAAGAGACCTCCCTTGCTGGTCTTCAGGCAGCTTTGCCGTGGGCGAGGAGGAGTTCCATCTTAGGTATCATCCCCAAGGTGGAGTATTGTGGAAGTCTACTGGCGATCGGCAGCAAGGGTCCCTGGCGCTCATTTGCACTAGTGGAAGCAGAGTCGCTCTTCGGCTCCGGCTCCTTTTGAAGACGAGTGGAGCATTCGTGCAGTGGGGTGACACTATCCAGGCCTGCCACACAGGAGGACTTCCAAGAGCATATGGGCCTGATGTGCACGAGGAACGTTCCTGGCATTCGGGGCTACCACCTGTAGGTATCTTCGGGCTCTCGCACAAGCAACTACTGCAGTCAGAATGGGTGCAAAACGATTGCCTGACTGTGAAGTGCATCTTGGAAGTCCGCCCCGACAATCGAGGTGTATCTTCGACATTCACCCCGAGACCGACAGTGGAAGTTCCAGCGCCTACAATGGGATGCGACTTGCAAGCGCTGTGGGAGACTGGTACATGCAGTGATGTGCAGTTCGTTGTTCAAGGCGAAGTGGTCAACGCGCACTCGCAAGTCCTGTGTGCAAGATCCCCGGTTTTTGCAGCACAGCTGACAAGCGGCATGAAGGAATCTGTGTCGAAAGTGATTGAGGTTGACGATTGCGAGCCTGCAGCATTCAAATCATTCCTACACTTCCTTTATACCGACAATCTTGAGGAGCTGTCATCTGTGAAGTCCAAGGAGAAGGACAGCTCGAGGCTGTCACAAGTCCAAGCACTCTTAGCAGTCAGCCACAAATACCACGTACTGCGGCTCCAGCGCTGGTGTGAACTGCAGCTGTGCAAAGAGATCACGGCTTCGGGAGTGTGCAGCATATTATGTCAAGCGCACTTGCACCAAGCCACCGAGTTGGAGAAGGCCTGTCATACCTTCATCAAAGACAACATGTCCGAGGTAGTCAAGCTGCCGGCCTATGCTAACATGGTGAGGGCATGGCCGGAGGTGTCGCTGAAGGTAAATCTGTTTCTGGCGGGAGTGCGAGAGCCAGCTGTGGATGCCTCTCAGGACAGCAATGTGCTTGGTCAGACAGGAAAGCGCAAGCGTGAAGAGGCGGAGTGAATAACATTCCTACGAAGTCGCTTCTCATTGTTCTTGGTGGAGACAAAAGCAGCGTCAAGGTGTGCGGTTGCTGCATCAACCCCATTGGAGATCTAACTGCGAGCAAATCATGCTGCCTGCAAGCTGTCAGCAACGAGGTTCGCATGGTGCGAAGGCGCAAGGCAAGTCGCCTCCTTGGGCACCCACACAATCAAGATTAAAACTGCAGAGCTATTGTTTTGGGTACGTAACTCCTGAGACTTGAAACTTTGGCATCGGACAGTCCTTCGAGCTCATTCTGCTGAGGTGTGAACGTGGATGCCTTGAAGGACAAGGCTGATCCCTGCTTGACCGTGACTTACCACCACTTCACTGCGAGTCGGCATTGCCCATGAGATCATCTCAATGAACAATACATCCCACGCAGGTGCGCAATGTCGTTTCTGAGATCGTGGGCATGGACAATCTAGTGGACGCCACAATCTTAGAGAGGATGCTCATAGCCAGCTCTCTAAATGCGTTTTGTCTCTGCCTGCAGCCTTGCGTCCCCGCAGAGTCTCATTCATGAGATCCAGACATCTCCCGCCCAGACATCTCTCCAGGACACTCCCCTGATGCAAGCAGGGCTCACGAGCCAGTCTGCAGCCCCGGGCTTACATTGGCTTACATTGCATGATTTGTAAGACACTCCCCAGTCAAGAAAAACATGCACCTCCCCATTTTTTGCCTCAGGTGCTTTTGCGCAACGCGCTGAGCAAAGAGATTCCTGGTCCCAGCAGGGGCCTTGGTGTTCGAGTGGTTTGGGTCAATTGAGAGCCACCCCTCTCCCCCCCCCCCCGTCCGAGTCTTTTTGAAGCCAGTGCTTGGGAGTTACGGGATAAGGCAGGGTCAAAGGTGTAGCAGGTGGCGTTTCACGGCGCGTTTCAAGTGCAGATCCAGAGGGTGCTGCAAGCTTGGGGCAGACTGGGGATCTCGATATCCGATATGGTGCCAGAGAAACCGACAGGCAGTCGGCTGGCTGCGGTGGCAAAGGGGTCACCGGGGTATCACTGCCTGCAGTCGGCAACGGCTTGCTCGTTCCTAAGCAGGGGCACGCACCGCGCAGGGGGTTTTCCCCCCTGTACCGAAAACTGGGGGCATGCTGCTGCCCTCTATGGGACCCCAAGTCCCTCGAAAGAAAGTCCGGCCAAGATTAGCAAGAACCTATAGTGCTTTTGTTCACGACAAACTTCCTGCTGATCTTGGCCAGAGTATTTGTTGTTTGACATTGGCTTTGCGAGCTTGAGCCCGGCATTGGGGCGACATACACCATTTCTTGATGCTGCAAAGACCTTCCATTTCAGCCTGTTGTTTTCCCCCTTGGGGTTGAGTGTTGTGCTCAGCAGGCTTTTCCCTTTGCATGGGATCTTAATTTTAACGCTACGCGACCCGCCTCGGCCCGGCCCAGCGCATCCGCGTGAGCATGGTGATTCCACAGCGCCCAAGTCGCTGGACCCCAAGCAATAAGGGTTGGGTTTAGGGTTTAGGGTTCCGGGTTTATTGTTTTATGGTTTGGGGTTTAGGGTTGAGGGTTAGTTTAGGATTGAGGGCTTAGGGCTCAAGCTTTGGGGTTTTTTTGGGGTAGGGTTGAGCCAGGCCCCTCAAAGGGGGGGGGGGTCGTCCTGCTGGGAGGGGCTTCAACTGCCTCTGGTCCTGGCGAACCGTCCGCTTGCGGACCCCGGTTTCCAGGGGGGTACCATTTTGAGGCAAAAAAAGGGGTCCGAAAAAGGGTTTGGGTGTGGGGGAGGATTTGGAGGGGGGTGCCTGTTCTGACAACCTATACACCTCCGGCCCGAGGCCTCGGCGGATATTCTAGAGCCCATGGCAAAGACAAACAGCTCCCAAGGATTTCAGCTGAACATCCGATCTAGGGATTGAGCCGAACGGCCTTGATTAGGCCTGCCCTTTACGCTGATGTTCGACTACCCTTCGTGCCTTGGTATCAGCTGCAGCTGCGCCGCGTTTGTTTGAGAACTAGTGCCTACTAGCATGACACCGGATTTGAATTCCGCATGCTCTACGGCTACGGATTTGCAAAGTCTTGAGTCAAGCCTTGTTGAAACTGCTCATGCGATTTCCACCCTCCAAGCCCGCTCACGCAAAAGCCTTTCCTCCCATTATGCCACACTCTTCGAGGATTTCAGACTTGTCGCAGTTCCTTGCGGGCACGGCTGGCGCAGAGGAAGAGGAGGCTAGAGAATCCAACCTTGTCTTTCTGATTTTGTATGCCGGCAGGGAAAAGGCCCCCGAGGGCCGCATCAAAGCCCGCCCTCCCAAAGATTCCATAAAGGTCCCAAGAGCTACATGCAGCCACATTCGTAGCAGCACATTCCTCGATGGTAGATTGCTGAGAAGCTTTGCACAAGCTTCACAGTCACTTTGGCCCAGGTGGAGGAGTGGGTCGAAGTTGCAGACGGCATGGGTCAGGCCTCAAAGCCCAGAGCGTAGTCAACCGGCCAAGTCTTTCAAATTTGCGCCCCTCTTGATGCAGCGCTTGCCTGCGCTATCCTGAGACCCCCCCAGGCCCAATGCTTGAGAACATAATGGCCACCAGCAACATCTTGCAACCCCGGCCTATGACGACGGAGCTATTGGTCGTTGCTCGGGTTTCTTGAATCTGTCTCAGCAACCTTCCTCCGACCGACAGGCTCGATCGGGCGCCGTTGCCACAGGCGGGCGCCGGCACATTGACAAAGGGCTGGCGGAGCACATCCAAAACCGTAGTTTGTCTGGCAAAGCACCCCACGCGTCACGCTCCATCCAGAAAACCTCCTGCCCCTGAAGCGCTTGAGCACCAAGCCACATCGCTGCTCGTTTTGGCTGCAGCCAGCGACCTCCATCCATAGCCCGTCCCCCTACCGTGCTTCTTGACTCATACGCCATGCCTGACGCGGCTGCAGCAGTCACTTGACCCTGCAGAGACCGCTGGAGTACAGTATATGCAGCTGCAGCTCATAAACCCGCTACATGAGGCTAACATGTATGCAGATGCTATCATGGTGTGCTACAGAGTGTCAAGTTAAGACCATCACATCCCGTCGTCATCTTGATTGCAGAGTGAATGTGCTTGAAAGGATGTGACATACCCGGCAAGGCTGAATAAGAGGGCAGTGAGTCTTGTTTCAGGTCATTGGTCGCATGAACGCCCAGCTCTTCCGGCAGCTTGCCGACGGCGCCGGAGCACGCCTGGCTGGGCGCTGTGACAAGGCTAGGGCACTCCAAAATTCAGTGAGTTTTGGAAGGGCATAAGAATATAACCCACGCTCCGCGTAGCCTAGCCCTCCGCTGTTGAGCAACTGTGCCCGAGGACCAGACCTCGCAGCAGTGGGTGCTGACGACCCCGGATGGATGCTTGGCCGAGCAGATGAGTATCCGTTCGTGCTGCCACGTTGGAGTGGGGCTGGGCTGAAAAGGCGGATTCGGATTTTTCCCTCGAATTTGACATCCTTTTGTCTGTGACACTGTGATACCAATGCTGGTCGTGTTCTTGACAGTTGGAGCCATCGTCGCGGGAGCAGATAGCACTAGAGGCCGCAGTACTGGAAGTCGTATAGTAGTCGTTCGTCGTAGTAGAAGTAGCCAAGCATTCTCCTGCGGGGAGGGGGGGGGGGAAGGGGCGGGTGGGGGCGTTCATAATCGTGCAATGTCCAAAACAAGTACATTCAACGTGCCGACACAATTTAGTTAGCTGAGAGACCTTGCTTCGGTAAGTCATGTATCACATCTATGTATGTATAGATATATATGATTGTATATGTGTGCACTCACACACGGACAGTTATATGTCCACATATCACGACAACCAAAGGCCTAAACCCAAAAACCTAGGATGCCGGTTCCACGGTATTTCGCACTATTACCGCTGATTGCCTTGGGCAGAGACGTGAACCCAAAAGCTCCAAGAAACTAGAGCGCGGACTGGCGTCGCAGGCCAGCAGGATATCCGAAAAGAACGTAGGAAAAACGCTACAGATTTGTTCGATTGTAAGTAGAACTTCATACGCAAAGCACCAGTGGTCGCCAATGTACGGCGGCGGAGGTGGCCAAAAACGACCAGTCGTGGTCGTGGTCGTGGTCGTGGTAGTAGTTGTAGTTGTAGTAATTAGCAGTTGTATCAGTAGTTGTAGTTGTAGTTGTAGTAGTTGTTGTTGTAGGTGTAGTTGTACTGGTCGTGGTCGTCCTCGTCGTCGCCGTCGTCGTGGTAGCAGTCGTCGTCGTAGTCGTAGTCGTAGTGGTAGGAGCAGGAGTAGGAGCAGCAGCAGCAGCAGCAGCAGCCGCCGCCAGTGTTTGAACAGCAAATCCAGGGCAAACTCGCAATCTAGCACCCGTGCTCCTAGCTCAGGAAATAACGTTCCTTTGACCGCTGCAGACGGCGTGGAGCTGCAGTCGCAGGCGCTGAAATTTTAAAAAAGGGAAGATCCGGTGAAGTAGCTCAACTAAGCTCACAGATTTCGGAAGACTTGAGCAGGCCTTTGTGGAAGTCGTCGGCCGCAAGACCACGGAGGGTCAGCTTTGTGCCACAAGCTTCTGTCGGTTCCCAAGCGAGCCCTGCCTGTTTGGGGCGCTTGGGGGGGTTTCATGAGGTCTCGTAGCTCATGGCACAGATGTTTCGAGACTCAGTCTCGTTAGGGCGGCCTCAAAAGGCTCAGTTGTGCGTTCACTGAATCTTCGGCTCCCGCAAAGAACAAAAAAGCCAAACCCAAAGTTTCGAAACGCAGCAATTGAGAAAGCTCTGAAAGTCTCTCGGCCAGGTGATGACGTGGACGGGGATCTTTGGGAGAAAGCGGTGTCACTGGCACATCAACCTCAGGCGCGGGTGGAATCAGACAATCGTATCTCATAATGGTTAAGAAAAGGTGCAGCAGAACGCTTGGAGGTGCGCCACCTATTCCAGCCGGCCTGAGCGCCTTCGAACATTCCAGGGCCCCAGTGTCGGGGCCAAGAAGGATAGGTTTCGGTGGAGGTCCTTTTGACCGTTTGCTGAGTGCTGTGGTCCTGTACTTTTGCCTTGCACCGTCATAGTGTCAGAGTCAAGCCATTTGCTAGTAAGGAGGCTTGGTGCTTGTTTTGGAGAGTTGGACGCAGCAGCTATGAGCAATGAACGCCGAACGCCACCAGAAAGCAACATCGGTGAATCAGAGGAGGGGTGCCAGGATGGGCCATAGAGCTGGGCTTCGGCAAATTGACATGGCAGCAAGATTCTGGGGACCCCATGCCCACAATGTGCCCACAATGTGCCCATCCTAGCAGACGCAGGCAGCTGTCCTGATATGCGCGTGCGGTAGCTCTGATTGCCAGATGCAGCTTGAAGCTGGCAGTGACCAAAAGTGCGCGAAAAGTCTCGACAAGATGTGAAAAGCCAGCGGTTGGTTCGAAGTAGCTTGCCTGCCCCTGCCCCCATTCAAGTGTGAGCCTATCTTGGCGGAACCGCAGACCTTCCGCTGAAAACTACCCAAAGGCCAAAGTGAGAGCAAACGAAAGCGCGTCAGGACCTAGTCCCGAGAAGGTGCGCGGGCAGGCCTGACAAGGGCACGGGGGTTCAAGGCACTGCCACGCACCAGAATTCCAAAGGCTCAGGGTCGAAAGATGTGATCTTCGAAGGTTTTGAAAGCTAAGGCTAAGGCGGCTTCGAGAGATTTTGAGATGTATTGGGTGCGGCGGGGATCCGGCGGTTTTGGTGCAGGATCATGGTTAGTATAGGAAGGTGGGGAGCTCCAGGTGATGTTGGATGCCACTCGTAAACTGCACGATTGAATGGCTCTGCTAGATTTTTGCTTGCACTTCCTACAGTCTCGGTAGCACATACTTGTACCACAGGTACTGCCCGTGGGGTCCATCCCGCACCGGCTAGCGATGAGACGCACAGATACTGTAGCATGAACCTCGCGACCAGAGACGCCAGAAGCTAGGACTTGGAATACTCCTGGAATCTATGAGACCAGGTGCGATCTGTGGTTGCCGAGATTGTGGGCATGGAAGACTTGGTAGATGCCAGATCCTCAGGTCGTGGCCAATCGTTGCTTTAAGTACATTCCTCCACGATCCCCATCACCGCAAAATATGCGCATTTTATATACTTCAACCGATTCCCCAAGCTTGGGTCTAGAGGGGGAAACTAGATCTCCAGGTTCAAGCCAGAAGCGTGGGAATGGCCGTAATCAGCAGTTAGCCAGGATGTTGAAGCTGCATCGTGCCCATGAGAGGACCAAGTCGATCCTTGCATCTGAAACTCTGAAGTTCCGTCTGTCAGGATACCCCGCTCATGCAAGCCGGCCTCACAAGCCAATCTGCTGCCGGGGGCTACAGGGAATGCTGCATTGCTTCCATCGGCGACTCTCACAAGGTTTCACATCGATCTCCAGGACTCTAGGATCTATGCTTAGGCAGCCTAGGCAAAGGTTCTTCGTCATGTTGCCTGTTGGCCCGTGCATGTCGCCGGGGTTTATCATGTTTTGTTCCAAGCATACGTAAGGAGAGCTAAGCTGGTAGTGATGGAGTGGCCACGCTCTGATGCGACATGCTTGTGCTCGGAGAGTTTCATCTCCTCCCAGACGGCAACTGAGGTCTTATTGCGCAATGCACTGAGCAAGGAGATCCCAGGAGCCAGTCGGGCACCCGAAAACCAAGTTTGAGGGCACGGAACGGGTTGAAAGTCCTGACATGCCCTGACTCCCCTCTCCAGAACCTTATTGCGGGAAACTGCAGGATGCCGCCTCAGTCAGCAAAAAGTCTGTGCAATCTCCGATCTCCGAGAAGTCGCAGGGTTTTGGTTCAGAACGGGAGGCTCTCTCGCCCCTCCCACGTTACGAGCGGCTCCGGAGGTCCCCTGCCCCTCCAGGGCCTTTAGCAACCATGGCGCGCAATGAGGAAAAGGCCATGGCGGCCCTGAACCGATGGACAGCCCAGAAACGAGATATAGAGATGCAGAAGAACCTGGGTGCCTTGGCAGGGTTGGGCATCCACTGTTCTGCCGTTTTGTTGTGTCAGCAGAAGTTGTTGTATGGTGGACTGCTCGGAAGGGCCCTCAACGCTGCTCAGCACATCGTTTTTTTGTCGCTTCACGCTTCATTGGCTCTAGGATGCTCTAGGATTTTGGGCTCTCCACGGTGCCAGAATATCTCGGCACAAGGCAAGGCCACCTACATGGGCGGCGCCTTGCCCGACACAGCGGCGTATGGGCCCTACAAGCAGAACAAACGACCAAAGATTGCCTCGGAGGCCTCAGGGATCCCCATGATGCAATGCAATGAACGTTGCGGGCGACTGTCGCGTTTTCTCTTCCACGTCTGTCCCAATGCCCTTGAAGGTGAAGACCGTCAAGGAGTGCGAGCACTGGCGGCAGGACATTCTTCGCGGCGTGGCGCTTCCCAGCTGCACAGGGCCCTAGGTTCTAGGAAGACCAGCAGCGGATGCCGGCAGGATGTTCAAAACTGTTTTCAACGCTCCTACAGGGTATACACACAGAGAGTAGAGGGAGGGTGAGACAGAGGGGATTAGAATTGAGCTACGCCGAGGAAGAAGATCGCCGAGATCCAGAATGCGGCGTTGGGAGAGCACCGCATCCGCGACCTGAACGACGAGATCAATAAGGTCAGGCTGTCTTAGGAGTCGTAGAACTATGTAGAACTACTGGAGTTAGGGCCCTCAGGTCGACAGTTACCCATTATGAAGTTGTTTTTGGACCACGGGGGAGCAGCGACGTGTAGCAACTGCGACTAAATCTGCAGTGCTGTTGCCAGGACTTGCGCGAGAAGGGTTATTGGGAAGACCAGATCAAGGCGCTTGGAGGCTGCAGCCTCAGAGTGCCTCAGATGGCGGGGCTTGGTGCAGGGCTTGCAGACAGCCTGCCATGACCCTGCTAGTAGAAAACATGCCATAAAACATAAGTGCATGATGCAGATGCATTGGTTGGCCTAGACGAGAGAATTTCATGTCAGGTGCAGACTACAAATCCCAGCCCAAGCGGGATGTGGAGACTTACGGTGCAGAGTTGGCCTCTCACAGCGGCTACAAGTGCCCCCCCATGCAATTTGTGGAAAACAGTCGGGGGTCCGGAGGCGGTGGCCGTGTTCATGAGCTTCCCAGCAATAAAAAAATGTTGCTGAGCGAAATGTGCTGTTGAACTACTCAGTCCAGATGTTGCTCTGTGTAACGCGAACCTCTCTTGTGCCAGCCGCCCTATACAAAAACTCCGGAAACGACGCCCTGCAAAGCTGGGCGATCTTGTGCCTTGCTGTTGGCCATCCTAATCTTCACGACATCATTCAAGAAACCCCCTTTTTCTTTGCCAGGTACTTCGGTGCTGCAAAGGACTTGCCTGGTGTGAGGGAGCTCTTTGAAACCGAGATCATCCCGGACGCCCCTCGCAAAACAAGGCCGCTGTTGGCAGATCGAACTCGTATCTGAGGCCTTTCGATTCCCTCGGGTTTGGGCGATCTGGGGTTTGAGTGGAAGTTCGCTACGCCCAGTACAGTGGAACCAGGCGCTCACTGAATCCCCACAGAGGCTGCAAAATGTCCCCGAGAGAACCATCGGCAGGAAGCAGCTGTTCCTCCACATCCAGCCAGATTATTACGGCTGGCGGGATGAAGAGGATGGCATGCTGCTCTTAGAGGACGGTGGGGGTGGCCGATAGGAACTGCAAACACAAGAGTTGCTGGGAGGCTGAAGTAGAGGTACGTTTGCTTGTGGCCAAGTGATCAGTCGCCAGTCAGCTCAAGGTCCCACAGAGGCTTCTGATAGGTTGCATCGCTTCGGGGTTTTGAGTCGTTCCTGAAGAAGCTGCACAAGAGCAGCCCCTGCTGTCATTTTCCTCCTATCACATGTTTCTTCTGATGTGGGTCTGGAAATTGGAAGCAACAATTTCGGGCGTGACAAGGGTTCCGTCAAGCTTCCGAGATCCCTCAATCTCGCTGCAAGGAAAAGATGGCCGAAGAAGAGGCTGACACCTGGCTTAAACTATATCGGTGGGGAGAAGCCAACCTCGAACTTGGCAGTACAGGTTGGCCGCGGTCTGACGGGCAGATTCGGGCACTTGTCAAGCTTCCCGATCCAACTGAATCCAACTCCACAGCCTCATATGAGTCGCAGAGTGCCTTGTCTGACAGTGAGCCTTCAAGAGAGCCTTTGCAAGGTCAAGAAGCTACAGGCTGAATGGAAAGTTGAGCAAGCGGAGCAGGCTGCCAAGGCTTCCAAGAAGCGAAAGGCCCCCAAGGAGGAAGTGCCAAAGGAGGACACCTGTCTGTAACCCTCCAAGCACTCCTCTCTGTCTTTTTAACAGAAGTCGCTGGCTCCAAAATCGGATTTTGCATTAAAGCGCAGCATCTGGAGGAGGCCAAGGCCCCAGAGCCTGAAGTGGAGAAGCCTAAAACCCAGGATTTCGCGGACTTCAAGGCCGGACCATTCAGCTGAAATCTCTTCTACCTCCCTCTTTCCCTCCCTCCCTGCCTCCCTCTCTCCATCTCCATCTCGCTCTCTCCGTCTCTCTCTCCGTCTCTCTCTCCGTCTCTCTCTCCCTCTCTCTCTCTCTCTCCCTCTCTCTTTCTCTCTCTCTGTGAACCTTTCGGGGGAACTGCACCTGGGGTTTGTGCTGGCAGCTTTGGAACCTTAGGGGTTTCAGGACAACAGAACCTTAGGCCGAACAAACAAGCAGAATCAAAGACCCTTTCTTTCCCTTGCGAGCAGGCCTACGTGGATGTTCCAACCATGCAAGACATCGAGCGGCTCATCGTGCAGAAGAAGAAGGAGACGCTCCTGAAAAAATATGCGCCAGGCGAGTCCCAGACAAAGGACTGACAAGGTAAAGTCACCGAGCTTCATTATTCAATGATCTACTTCAAACTGCGAACTGCCTAGGTTGAAACCGTTAGCATCTCATGCTACTTGCACCATGTCACACACGGGATTTTTAGGCACTTCGTGTTGGTTAGAGATGTTCCAAAGATGTTTCACAAGTGCAACTCGGCGAGAGTGCATCAGGCAGGGAAAAACTGGGCAGTGCTGCCGGACCAACAAGATTCTAAGGGCTTTGAGGTGACGAGCCCTTTCATGAAGTGTGTGTATGTGTGTGGATGTTTGTGGGGGAGTTGGGATTGTGCTCTTCGTTCACCCGTTCGTTCACCCGTGGGGTCACCTAAGCAAACACCCCCAAAGTACACGCAGGGGCTGCACGCAAGCATGCAGATCGACATCCATGGAGGATGTTCATCTGCACTGCCTGTCTCGACCTTACCGAACTGTGCCGCTATGCGAAGGTCTGCCTTTCACCATGATGTTCGACTACCCATCGCCGGGTACTCAGTGCGAGCCATCATGCGGGGCACAAATAAGGTGTCCGTGGGCAGGCAGTAAGTAGTGTAATCCTATACAGTCCCATGCACTGCAAGCACCCTTCTGTGTTTCCTGTGTTTCCTGTCGGCAGGATGCCGTCCCGAGGTTTGCCGGTCAATGCTTTGTCTGCTCGATCGTTGTAGGTTTGAAGCCAGACCCACTGCTGAGCATCTCACAACGGAAGTTCTTGTAGCGACGACCTGTGTCCTTGCGATTCTACCATTCATGCGAACTGAGCATTACAAGATGTACACGAATATACAATATATCCATCACGAACATACGCCAACATGTTGCGCGTTTGGCTGGCTTCAGGGCAGCAGCTGGCGGCAGTGCCTGTGGAAAAAGTGCAGAATGTGCTGAGCTTGAAGCAACATCTTCAAGGCATCTGCGGCCTGCCGAGATTCAGACAAAGGCTCCTGGGGGATGGAATAAGCTTGGCCGATGATGTGGAGTTGGAGTCGCCTATGGACCTACAGCTGGTGCTTCTGCATTTTTCCTGTGCATCCCTGGAGCAGGCGGATGAGCTCCAAAGTGCTGCAAAGCATAACTTTGTTTCCAAGGTTGAAGAGGTGCTGTACCGACCCCAGGATCCTGATTTACGGGGGATTGCAGGAGAATCTGCTCTTTACATCGCCTCAGAAAGGGGTCACTTGGAGGTTGTCCGGCTCCTGCTGGAAGCTGGCGCGAGCAAGGATGTGATCTGTGGACGCTGGACACGCTTGACACCTCTGGGAGTCGCATCTCGTGAAGGCCACAGGGAGGTGGTGATGTTGTTACTGGCCGGTGGATCTGGTGGCGTGGACAGAGAACGCCGTGACCGAGGGGACCGAGAAGCGTCGCCTCTGTACTTGGCATCCCTGCGTGGGCACGCTGACGTCGTGAGGTTGCTCCTGCAGGCTGGTGCTGACAAAGATGAGGCCTTCGTCTTCACATACTTTCAGTGTGACCCTGATCAACTCGTTTGCAGTGAGGTGACATCTACCCAAACACCCCTAGGTGTGGCTTCAAGAGAGGGCCACACGGAGATCGCGCACCTTCTGCTAGCAGCCGGTGCAGATCGCAACACAGGTGCCGGAAGGCATGATGAAACTCCCCTCTACCTGGCATCAGAGCAGGGTCACATCGAAATCGTGCGCTTGCTCGTTATGGCCGGTGCTGCCAAAGACAAATGCAGTGGCCCGTGGGGGAAAACTCCTATACGCATTGCATGCAGCAGAGGCCATGTGGAGATCGTGCGCCTGTTGTTACGGGCCGGCGCCAACATTGATGACTGTTCACTTGAAGATGTTTTCACCAGTGATAAGGAGGAGGACATCAGGCGTTTGCTGATTGATGCGAAGAAGGCAACCGTCAGTTCTGGGAAGAATGTGGCCACAAATTTCTGACCTGTTCTGCCCCCCGACTTGGCATGCCTGTGCATCGGTACAGCCTAGCCAGGCCTTCCCAGACACGCATCCGAAAAGGAACGAAACCAAGTCCAGCTGTGATGAACTCGAAGGATACAGTAGCTAGAAGCATTTGGCGGCTGAAGCCCAGGATTAGCGCCCTCACAGACTTCTTCGTGGCCCGGGCCGTTCCTGAGGCCGCGTGTCTGCAAGCACAGTTCCTCAAGTTACTATTAAAAGCTTCCGAGCAAAGTAAGTTCGCCGCGAAACTCGCTTGATAGTCACCCAATATGTCGGGGTGAGCATATAGGCCAGCTCCCAATTTTGGCGGTCAGCAGCTGTAGCCCACCAAATTACATCCGTCTAAGCGACGGCACACGGTACACGTCGGATCATCTGCACAGGCTCCAGAGATACTGGATGTCGCGGCTGGTGAGGAGGCCCACTGCTGCAAAAGCGAGAATATACTCGCATTGCCGCATTGGCCAACACATTCAGCACCGCTGGCTTCGGTGACCTATGACTGTTTTTTGCTCATAGGTGCTCATAGGCCACCGGTGGCATTTGAAGCGTAGAGCCACAGACCATTGCCACATGACGCAGGCAGCGACAGCCCGCCCCGATCTTAGAAGACTTCGAAGTGGGCGGACTGCGTTTGGGAACTATCGTGCACACGGCTCTTCTTGACAGGTTGCACCGGATGCGACCGAAGCAAACGGTAAGCTACGGTCAGCTGCAAAGGTCTTCCTCGACTGGATGGCGAGAAGACCAGGGGCCAGGCGATAGCCTCACAGTGGCCTCACAGCTTCAGCATTCTTCTCAGATCTTGCGAGAGAGCGCAGCCCTTGCGAGTGCTCAACTAGGTCAGGAAGATCGTGGAGGACATTGTTGGTATGGACGACTTCGATGATGTGCTGCCCTCTCCATGGCCTTTTGGAAACTCCAGATGTATCTTCTCTAATTATGTTCATGTCCCCTTATTGGTAAAGGTACCCTGAAAAAGAAAGCACACTCAGAGATCTTGAGTTTTGTGGTATTGGTAAGGGGGGAGGCTATCTTTCGGGGAGAGGGCTTGCAAGCTACTGCGCAGTAACATGGGTCCCCAGGTGACACTGCTCTTGTTCTCAAAGCCGGGCTTGAGGTGAATCAAAGACAGAGGCCAACTGCTTTAAATCCAAACAGGCAGAACAAGTTCACTTGCTGCGTGGCTCAGATCGGTCCAGCCGCTAAGCGGCCGGGACTGTTAGGAGCTTGGCAGAGTCCCTGCAGACAATAGGGAGTGGAGAAAATAATTTACAGGCAGGCTATGGAATAAGGATTCGAAGACAGTGCAGAAACTCATTGAGAACCCTCGCAGGCTAGGCACGCGCTAAGCCGCTAGGCCATGCTAGCAAGTACCGAGAGAGCTTGCGCTTCACCACAAGCAGTCAATGTTGCTTTTGCAGCGATGGCCGCGCACGAAACCACGAGCACAAACTTACCAGAGATCTGGACGCCCGGAGCCCAGCTGTGGCATCTCAGGTGCTGAGACAGCAAGAAATCAAGGGCGCAGCCTTCTCATGCGACCCTGAGAACTTGCCGGATGAACATGGAAAATCGAGCTCACCGCATGTTTTTTGCGTGTTACCTACCAGCGCTCGAAGCTTAAGAGGTCTTTGGAGAGCTTTGGCAGTCTGCAAAGCCTCGCCTTGGATGCTCAGCTGCAACAGGATCTAAAGGCTTTTTCTGTGCTTCGTGCACGTCCACTTCCTCCCAATCACTCCCAACAGCTTGCGTGCCAGGAACATGTAAATTGAAGATGTGTAATTAAAGCCTCCACAACTTGGGCGCCCCTGCTTGGCACCAACTTTAAGTTGGCCCCTGTTAAGAACTATTGGAGCCAGGGTTGTGCTCAGGACCTTCTCACCCTTTGGAAGGCTCGGGGGTGAGGGCGGGGGGGGGGTACTTGTGCTTTACAAGATCGCGGCTGATATGATTCTGATATCACCTTTGAGGATCTTGCAGATAGGCTTGGCACATGAGAGCTTTTGTACTGCGGCAAAAGCTTGCAAACCTCCAGCGAGTCTCAGATTGCGGAGGTTGGTGCCGAAGCATGGGCTCCAATGGCAAGACACAGTGGTCAAAGACCGTTTCAAAGTAAAGACCTAGGATCGAAACTTGATCTGCAAAGCCTTGTAAATGCCGCTAAGCTTTTTGTCGCGCTGCACCCCAAGAACACTGTCTACACCTGGTTACACCTAGTTACACTCCTACTTGCGCGCAGGAGGTGGGTGCCAGTAAGAAGGAGACGTGCGCGGATGCCGAGGCAGCGATTCTGAAATCGCTGCTTACTGTAACAGACTGTAACTCAGTAACGGACAAAACTCCTGGTCCGCAGCCCGATCCCAAAAAACCGCGAAGTCTGGTCACGGCGCTTGGTAAGGCCATCGTGGAGTCTGCTCTGCAAGCCACACAGAAGTGCATCAAGCAGTTGGGCCCCCAGACTTCAGCAGCTTCTCGCAGGGACGCCTCTGAAAGTCTAGAAAGCAGCACTGCCAAAGATGAGGTGGCAGCAGCGCTGCCGCTCTCTGGCAGCGAAGTGCCAGGACGAATGCGCAGCTCTCGAACATTCTAGTCAGTACTCATAGATTCCTAGTATGGCATAGCCATAGCGCAGTACTAGCATGCATCCTTGTGGCCTGGCACATCCATGACTTTGCCGATTCTGAGAGAAAAGTCTAGGAGCTCATGGGGCTCATCGAGGGCAAGCTGGCCACCCTTCCCAAGGGAAGCTTCGCTGAGGAGCCAACAACTGACGTTTCTGAGGGAGGTTGCCATTGCTTTGCTTCTCACAGCAAAAGCAAGTGGAACTGGAACTTGTTTCACTTCGGAAGTTGAGACGAGAGAGTGCATAAGAAGAAACCTTGGCATGGACTAGAACCAGGAGCTTGCTGCTGCACTGGCAGAGCCCTGGCAGCCGCGTGTGGCCGCACTTCGCCGGTGTCCTGCATGCATCACTGCGGATTGTGCGCACCAGTTTACTTTCACAGGATCCCCACTGCTAGTACGCAACGACGGCAGCACGTATCATGCGGAAAGGATGGTTGCATCCCTTGCAAGGGTGGCTGCTCGGTGTTCTGACGTGGGGCTGCTTTGGAAATGATGCATCAGTTTAGGCGATGACATGATGTAGCTAGGATCTCAGGGTCAATTCCCAGGGTCAGTTCCAGTTCCTATGCAGGTTGCTCGACACCATCGATGGAGCTGTGGAAGCATTTTGGCTGCTCAAAGATGGTTTGTGCCAGGGTCAATCGAAACAAGGCACAGCATGATTCGCAATGTCAGGAGCTTGTGCGTTGCACACATTCGGTGCTCAAGAGGGAAGCAGCTCACTCTCAAGAACCCAAGCGACACACTCCTATACGGCCTCTTCGAGAGTTACAGGAGCAAGACCGCGTGCGGGCCGGGCTGGCCGCAGCTTGCGCAGCCCTAGGTTGGGAACGCATTTTCTTCCTTTCTCAGCCGGCACAAGCCCCGCGACTCCGAATCCCTGAGAGGCCTGGATCCCTCAGAGGTGGCGAGCATGAGCCCAGAGGAGCTCAAAGCAGAGGTGCGCCGAAACGAACGGAGGGCCAGCGGAGTTCAGGAGATTCGGAGCTCCGACAAAATGGTCCTGGGAGGGAGGAAGGGTGAACATGGGTTCAACTGCTCCAAAGCCCCAGTCCCCCACGACGATGCAACTCGAGGGGCTGAATGTGGGCTGGGTGTCAGTTTAAGAGACTTGCAAGGCCGCAAGGCGCGAGCGGGAGCTCAAGCAGCGATACGAGGAGACGCTGCGGGCCATGGGCCGCTTGCCATCGAGATTCAGAAGAGATTTGTACAATTTTTTATGCTGAGTGTTGGCGACGGTTCGAGTTGTCGCTTGGTTCCTTTGGGTAATTAGCGGTCAGGGAGCTGAAGCATATTGATGACGAGGACTGGTGGGATGTTGCAGCAACACAATCTATGGAATATCCCAAGAAGCCCCTCCCCCCCCCCCCAAAAAAAAAAAAAAACCCTCTTCTGGCTGAACTGAGGCCTCAACCCTGACGATTTTCCCTTGGATGGCGATCTGAGCTCGATGGCCGAGAAGCTGAAGGCCTGGGGCCGGGTGAAACAATGTGAAGCAGAACAACAAGCAAGTAGGTCAAAGCAAAGAATATGGGACAAACAGAGCGTCCAGAGACCACATGAGACCACAGAGACCCCTCATGTGGCACTTGCCTCCTTGGCTCAGGAAATGGAGGCGAAGCTCACAGCACTCCGAGCTGCTCGTCTTAGCCTAACCGCCTCCGTATATACATATGTATGTAAATGCACGTATACAGATTCTACCTCACGATGACGTACAAAGTGGCCACAAAAACCTTATTTTTTGAGCGGGCTCGAGGGCTTCCAAGAGACTCAGGATTCCACCCTTGCGAACGCGCAGCGTGCCAAAGAGATTTGGGAGGTGGCCGAACTCCTTATTGAAACGCTGCCTGCCTCCCATTCTCTGTATTTTCTGTGGCTTCAGAGGTGAAGGGAAGAGGGGAAGCGGAGGGAGGGCGTGGGTCTCTTTGAGCACGGGTTCCGTTCAACCCATGCTGTGCATGGGTTTCAAGGCTTTCTTGCCCTGGCAGGAGCTCCGTCAACCGCCGCTGCTGCCCAGAGATGCTGAGGCTTGAGGGAGGTTCATCAGTTGCTGACACTTGACATGGTCTTGCCTTGTGTCGCATCGCCTGATGGTAGAAATTAGCGTCCACACTGAGTACTTCGGGGTTGTAATTTGTCTAGCATCCGCCAGGTGTTGCGAGTTTTGTGCTCTCGCCCATGGACGGTACGGCATCCACATTAGGGTTTGATGTTTACTCCAACTCATGTGTAGATCCCAATGCATCCTTTTCTGCTAGCTCCCTGGCAGGCAGTTGAGGTGGCCGCCAATGCGCCACAGAGCATCACTGCTGCAACAGCTTCCGCGGTGGCAGCCAGCCTTCGGGCATGGGAGGCCGCTGAGACCAGGCTTTGTCGATACCTTCGATACCTATCATTTATCTCACATGTTTGCATGGAAGCTTGTAGTGGCACCGTGGTACTGATAATCTGATACAAGTTCAAGAATCTGCCAAGCTTAAACAAGCATCTACACTAGAGCAACATCTTGAGTCTATGTAGATGCGGGGAAGGAACCACAAGAGTAATGCAGATCCAATCTGCACTTGAAAAGCTTACCCTTGCCAGAGGCCTGTGCAATCTTATGCAACGGAGGTACCTTGAACACAGCTGGAACGCCATTTCAACAAGATTCGGCCTAAAGATTCCTGGTGATCCCCAGTGGGGGCTGTGAGGACCTGCGCGCAGAGCGAGCAAAGGAGGCCGAGGCTTGGAAGCAAAAAGAGGACTTTGAAGAGCCGAGGGCCACATGCTTCATTGAAAGGAATCTCATGTCCACAGTCCACAGTGTCCTTATAAGGAGAGCCTCCACGCAGCCATCCGTGGCCACAGCACGGCCAAAGAGGCCGAGGTCGGGCATTTGTGCCGTGTTGTATCGTTTTGGTACAGTACGGTACTACATACACCTTCCCATAAATAAAAAGACTCTCATGTGCACGTCAAGCTTTGGGAACATGGTTTCCAAGGCAACAAGCACGAACGGCACACATTGCCCTCAGCGGTCCCCAGATTCAGCAAGACCGACTGTTAAGATGCAAGACTATTCTCTGGACCTGCAAGGCCAAAGCTTTGGATATTCTTTGGGGCTTTGGGGTAAAAGCGGGTTTAAAAAAGAAAGCTGATTGAAGACCCTTCCAAAACTCAGGACAGCCCATGATAGCGCATTTCCGATTGCTGAGAAGAGAAGCATTTCCGAACGTCGCATCGGTCTCATGTCTCCATACCCCTACGAAAAAGCACAAGCAAAATCCGTACTTGTTTGAGGCGTTGAATAGGTGCCAGACTCCCGGGCAGAGAGACAGACGCCCGTGGAGAAAAGGGTTTGAAAGCTGTTCGTAACAATCGACATTGAAATCCCAAATAGCACTTGTCCTTACAAGACACAAATTTGAACGTTCAAAGTTTCAAGGCCGATGTTTTTGGCCTTAGGGTGTTCCCGAGAGGGAGTGTTCTTCCATGAGCGATGTATTTCACGAGTTTGGGAAAAAGAAGCTGTCATCCCCCTACCCCACACGAAGGACAGACAGCTACTGGGAAGCTCATGTGCAAACTACACCCGATGTTTTCGGCAACCTCGCGCCCCGCCCCAAAACATGAACCAATTCGGTAGCCCGTCATTGGAACAAGTTCTTTTAGTCCAAAAATGACACTTCCACGAAAGGCTCTGCCATTCCAGCCGAAGCTGCTCACCCCTTTCCTCTCGCGCCTTGCTGTGGCCCTGCGTGGCACTTGCGCTCTCTAGGGGGTCGTCTCTGGCGGGGGGGAGGTGGGGGTGGTCATGTACTATATATATATATATATGGTCACCCCCCCCCCCATGATCTAGGTTTTGCTTTGTCCCTATAAAAACCCTCGTAAATACCGATTAAAATGACATGCTGGCTATGCTAGGCGATGTCCTGTTTTTGCACGTCTAGTCCTGTGCGAGAAAACATCTAAATAGTGAAAAACGCGTGTGTTTAGCACTACTTCCACATCACCACATAAAAAAAACACCCAAAAAACACATGAAAATGCAATTTGGAAAAACCATGTCTATGAATTATTTGCATAGGACAGGCTTATAAACACAGAATTGTATGCAAAACACACTTCTTTTTTGCAGAATTTGCAAAATTTGACACAAATCCAAAAATCCAAAAACTCAAAACCATGGAGCCGGGAGGCCGCCTTTTTTGGATTTTTTGGTTTTCTCGAGGTTTTTTTGGTTTTTTTTGGAAAAATCCAAAAAAAACCATGTGTTTTTTTGGATTTTACTTGCTCCTGGCCTCAAAAACCTAAAAAACACATGGTTTTTTTTGGATTTTGAGTGAAAATCCAAAAAAACCCTCGTGTTTTTTTGGATTTCAGGTGCTCCTGGTCTCAGAAACTAAAAAAACACATGGGTTTTTTTGGATTTTCACTCAAAATCCAAAAAAAACCATGTGCTTTTTAGGTTTTTGAGGCCAGGAGCAAGTAAAATCCAAAAAAACACATGGTTTTTTTTGGATTTTTCCAAAAACAACCAAAAAAACCTCGAGAAAACCAAAAAATCCAAAAAAGGCGGCCTCCCGGCTCCATGGTTTTGAATTTTTGGATTTTTGGATTTTTGGGTTTTTTTTAACAAATTTTGCAAAAAATGCTTTTCTTGTATAAAGAATGTGTATTGTTATACGTTGTTTCTGCTAATGTGACTGCCTTGCACACACACAGAGAAAAGCACACAAACACACCCACCATTCGTTTTTTTTCAATTCAGCCTATTCGGTATGCAGGGCGTGGCGTTAACATGTAAAGTTCCATTAGATTTAATTACGAATGAGGCTTAGAAGAGGATGTCTTGGGATGTGGCGTCTTAATATGAAAAGTAATAAAAAAAAGAAATAGAGAGGGTTTCTTAGGGTGTGGTTCTTTTGAGGATGTGGACCTGCAATTCAAAAGTCTAATTGGACTTAAAAAAGAGTGGGGCTTCGAAGAGGATGTCTTGGGGTGTGGCCTCTTAATTTAAACGTCTATTTAAGTGGAATCACAAAGGAAGTCCAGTTGAGGATTTCTTAGGGTGTGGTGTTTTAGTGCAAACCTCAAATTACATTTCATTACGAAGCGGGGCCAGAGGAGACTTTCACAGGGTGTGGTCGGTAAAATAAAATTCCAAAGAGGTAGTAACGAATGAGGCTTAGAAGGGCGTGGCCTCTTAATTGTTTTACTTGGTTTGGTTTTACGAACGAAGCTGTGGCTTTACCATACACAGGTCTTAGGGTGTGGCCTTTTAAATTCTGTCCAAAGGGGTGTGGCCTCTAAACTTAAAATTCAATTTAAGTGGAATTCCAAACGAGTCCAGATGAGGATTTCTTAGGGTGTGGCGTTTTAATACAAACCTCAAATAACATTGTAGTATGAAGCGAGGCCAGGGGAGAATTTCATAGGGTGTGGTCTGCAAAATAGAATTCCAAATAGGTATTAACCAATGAAGCTTAGAAGAGGATGTCTTGTGGCGGGGCCTCTTAATTTGTTTGTTTGACTTGGGTTTAATTTACTAACGAAGCTATGGCTTTATCATATACAAGTCTATTGACATTTCACTAATAGGCACCAGAAGAGGATTTCATAGGGTCTAGCGGTTAAATATGGAATTGTAAGTACATTCAAATACGAATGGGGGCTCATGATATAAATTTCTGTCCAAGAGTTACATACGAACCTAGTCTAGGTCAGAACTTCTTAGTGTGTGGGCTTCTTACCTAGAATTATAAACTTCTTACGAGATTCTGTTACGAACAGGCCCCAGAATGGTGTGGCTTTTTTTTAATACAAGCATCTTGGCAAATCGAAAATAAGTCTAATTACAAACGAAGGTCTAATGAGGATTTCTTGGCGTGTGGCTTTGTAATACAGAATTCTAATTAATCTTCATTACAAATAGGGGCCAGAAAGGGATTTCATAGGGTATGGTCTGCAATATAGAATTCTAACTCGGTTTCATTGCGAGGAGGATGTCCTGGGGTTGGCCTCTGAATATACACTTGCTTTACTTGGGTTCAATTACGAACGAAGCCCAGAAGAGGATTTCTTAGGGTGTGGGCTTACAATATGAAATCAAATTGCGTTTCATTACGAATGGGGCCAGCGAAAGATTTCACAGTGTGTGGGAAAAACAAAAATGTTCTAAATAGGTATTAATCAATGAGGCTTAGAAGAGGATGTCTTGGGGCTGGGCCTCTTAATATGTTTTTTTACTTGGGTTTATTACGAACGAAGCTGTGGCTTTATCAGACACAAGTCTACTGAAATTTCATTAAGAGGGCCCAGAAGAGGATTTCATAGGGTGTGGCCTTTAAGTATAGAATTCTTTTCGTAGGGTGTGGGCTTCTTATGTAGAAGCATTTTCTCAATAAAATAGGAAGGAAGCCCAGATGAGGATTTCTGAGGCTGTAACCTCTGCATATAAAGCTCTTGTGAGATTTTGTTACGGACAGGCAGGCCCCAGAAGAGGATTTCATAGGGTGCGGCTTTTAATTGGCAAATTTAGATTTCTAAAAAATTTTTACTACGAATGAGGCCAGTGGCCTTTTAATTTTCATTCCGACTTAGGTTTAAATTTCGCTTCGATGGGCCCGAAAGGCCTTTCGACCTAGATCATGGGGGGGGGGGTGAGCATATATATATATATGATATGTATGTGCTGGGCAGGACTTCCTGTCCGCCCATGGACGGTTGCACACGGCGGATCTGGAGGCAGCACGGGTTTGGTGCTTCAGATGCTTTTAGATGATCGTAGATGCTTCATAGTGATCTGTGCAGAAAGAGCTAGGCAGACTTCAACGACTTCAACTGTACTTGACTGCTTTGCAATCGCTTCTTGAGTTGCCCCTTAGAGACCGACCGCCAGCCTATGCTTCAAAAGCGCGTGCCCATAGATGCCACGCGATGCGTGTACTGACGCCATGGAGCTGGACGGCTCTCTGGATGGCTCTGGCCTGGCATTTGCCAAAGGTGCTTGCAAATGCCAGCGGGGCAGCCATGTCGCAGCAGCAGCGGCAGGAGTACCAGGACCGCCTGTATTCGTGGTTTGCAATACAGCAACGTGCTTTCGATGCCGAATCTGAAGCCTTCCAATCTGGAAGGCGCAAGCGTATGCCCTGATGGCAAGCATTGAGGTGCCAGGGTTCGATTTTCGATTTTGGCTGGTATACTTTACGGACGTGGGATGTATGCTGCCTGGGGCAGGGTCTACAAATGACATCACATGACAGCCCTTCTTGCTGAGGGCACCAGCCCCGCCAGCGAAACCTTGCGACGGCGGCTGCAGGCCTTGGCGGAGGCAGGGCAATCGGAGCCTTGCGCCCTGTGTATTCCCTTTACGGGGGGATTTTTCTAAGAGCTGCGAAGTTATAGAGCAGAAGCAGGAACGAGGGACACCAGGGACGAAAAGTCGAAGACTCATGTGCCCTGCTTCCGTGCGAATGCCATGTCAGGAGGTACCGCCCCCCGGCGCCGAGGTGGAAACTGTCGAAAACCATGAGTCCGCAGAGCTGGAGGCCCCTTTGTCCATGATGACTGTCGCAGAGTGTGACAAGCTGTGGCCGCTCAACGCTGAAGCTTGTCCCAAGTCCGCCGCAAAAAAGAACTCGCAGCACCAAGGAGGAGATGGGCGAAGTGGAAGAGGAGTTCACGGAGGCACAGAACTTCCCAGGTCCCATACTTTAGAGACCCGAAATCACACCCCCAGCCAAGCGCAACTTGAAAAAGAAGAACAGGGTTAAGATAAGTGGGACCCTTGAGGTCTTAGGCCAGAGCAGTCCAACAGACCCAAGGTCGAAACCGCGCCGCGAATCGATTAATCGCTGTACAATGTCCGAATCCCCCAGGTTGACATCGGCTGCAGCTGGACCTTGACAGGTGGCGAATGTGCACTAGTCATCAGTGAGACGCTTGTGGCATCAGTGAGGGCTCTGTCATCCAGGGTCCGAATCCGACCACACGCGGTTCACACCACATCCATGTAATGAAGGGCTAATGAAGGGCTCTCGTTCTCCAATTCTCGAAACAAACTGTGCGACGCTCTCGTGATATGCTCTTTTCGGTTCAGGCCTTTGCCGTGACTGCGGGCACACGCTGTGGGGTAGTTGCCAACCACTGTAGACCTCATCCATGATAGCATGCACGATATCGTGGTACTGTTACCTATCTGTCGCTGTAGACATCGTTGAGAACATGACAGGTCGCCACAGACAAACTCGGAAACATAAACGTTGAAGGTGTCTGGACCCTTTTTTTGCCTGGAGGCGCCCTCATCTTCAACATCATCATGTTCTACTTTATTAATTACCCCGATGACGATATCAAGAGGTGTGCTGGCAGGGTTGATTCCGCTTTGCTGCTCAGTCTGTCGCAGGCTATGCAGCACCTTTGGATGGGGTTTTGTCCAAGAGTTGGAGCGGGCATATCCAGTTCAGGTTCATGGTTTTCCGGGATCATGCTGGGGCCACGCACCAGATCGTCTGGAAATCCAGTCTGGCCTTGTAGGAGCCAATCCCAGAGTCTGATGGACATGTGGCGTCAAGTATTGACTCATGCGTGGCATGTCATCTGCCAATTTACTTGTAGGTGGTCGTTCCCTGAGTGGCTCACATGTGAAATGCCTTGGCCTTCACCTGTCAGGTACACATGGTCGATCATCAACACCACGCTGTCCATCTTCGTGGCCGTCATGTCTTTCCAGGGCGTGGATGAAGCTTGGCTTTGTACTGGACATACAAACCCAGACATGTGATGATAGTTGGCGTGTGCCTAAATGCGCCAGGCCGGCTAAGCAGAATGCTTATGTCAGCGCTGTATCAGGAGATGATGCTGCATTTCGTCATCGACCCCGCGCTTGGGGTTTTCCCGAAGGGTTGGCAGGAGCTGGTCCGGGTGATGAGTGGACTTTTTTCAGCACTGGCACGCTCTCGTCACTGAGATTTTCAGATGTTGATGCTATTAGCCACAAGAATTTGCGTTTGCTGCTGCCAGTCTCGATGCAGTGATTACAAGCAACCTCGTCTTCTTCGTCACCAAGGATTTGTCATCTTCCTCTTTTGGTTCGCCCTCGCCCATACCGCGGCCTGGTATCGTCTTCGTCTCTGATTCGCCTGTTGTTATACCACGACCTATGAGCCCCACGCGCCACCAACCGCGCAGCTCCACCCCGAATGTTGCTGTAAAAGCCTGTGTTGCGTCGACACCGCTTTGGAATATGTCGATGAGTAGAAAAGTACACATATATTGATATTTATCTAACTTAATCTAGATCGAGCTAAATGTACAATATTAAATTACAAAGAAGATGTACATGTATAACGGACCCTGCACTGCAGGGAGGGATGGGGAGTCACTGCCTGCACAGCCCTGAAAGATTGTGAAAAGCAGCAAAGGTGGTGGCTTATTTTGCCGGCCTCGTCTGCAACCCCGAGGTGCGGCACAGCTACTGAGAATGGGGGTCCTGGGTTGGATACCTTGATGGGGGTATTGCCAGCTAGGTTGCGGCAGCCATCTTCAGCAGATCCATGATTGTACGTACCAGCACTGGGAATTCATGAGCCCGTGAGCCAGGAGGATCCATCACAACTGATGACAAAGAAATGGACCGTGGCGGATGCTATGCGCGGCGACAACGGCGAGGCTCTATCCCTTGCGCTTTTTAAAGGCTTGTGGCATGTGAGGTAGCGTCAGGGCTCACAGCCAAGCCGAAGTGTGGCGGATCCTTCGGTCGGTTTCGTTGCAGGTCGTGGAGGGCCACAACCTCGTCAGAGAAGGCCGGCAAAAGCCCAGCATGCCCTTGGTGCGTGATGCAAGATGGTGACTGAAAAGGGGCACCTTCCAGGGTTGCAATGCTCAGGCTGCTAAGTGAAATCTTCAGCCCTCAAGCTTGACATGAGCTTCACATCGCTTTAAAGTCTTGGATCCTGCATTCCACCGAGAGTGACGAGAGCAGGTCTGTCGAAAGGGATCGCGACAGTCGATGGCGTCGAAGTGTTCGTCAAAAACCGAGCCGTGCTGCATGAAGGCTACGAGAGGCAGGGTCTGGGGTTTTCTGTGGGGTTCCAGATTCCAGACAAAGAGCTGTGTGCTGTATCGCTTTGTGTACGAGTCCGACATGCCAATGAGTTGGGCTGAGAGCACGCAGAAATGCAGAGACCACTCAAAGATTCTCAGAGAATGCAGCTGAAGAGGCGGACAAAATGCTGGGCGATGCTCTTCGCACACATGGCAGGCTTCGCGATGATCAGCGCAGGAGGTCAGGAGGCCAAGAGTACCCAAGAGTACTGCTCTTGAGTCAAGAGTTGAAGTTTCCACCAGGGTCCGCCGCAGCTCCGCCACAGTCACGAGCAGCATGTAAAAGACGTGAAACAGCCCTTAGTCTGAGCCCTGAGGTGATCTCCAGCACGCAGCACCCTTCGTGAACAATCCGGGCATGAGCTGGGTGTCTGTGGTGGCCAGTCTAAACCAGCTTGCGGGTGAATTTCAACGGTCGATTGTGTGATGTTTGGATACTCTCCCTAGAACGGTTGTCAAATGGCCTTGGGTCTTGCTCAGTGTAAACCCCAGAGGTCTTGACTTTATCGAGGATGCCGAACTGGGGTGTGTGTGTTAGGGTGGGGGAGGGAAGAACCCTTACGAAAACGATCTTCTTGCGAGACGTACAAGTATCCGATTCTTCATGACTATAACCTTGCACTCGCAAGCAAGAGCCCGTGGCCCAGGTTCTTTGCGCGCTTTTCTTGCTGCTGCTCTTCACGGCCACTGCCTTTCTGTATAAAGAAGGCCCGGAGCCGCGCGACCTAAGCAGCGAATTGTGGATCCATTTTTTCCTAAGCCGCGGGAGACACAAGTTCTCTGGACCTTGAGGGATATTCCGCGCAGACACCAGCTTTTGCAGCCATTAGGGTTCCTGAGCCAAGGTTTGAGGAAGCGCGGAAGCTTTACAAGGAGGAAGGCAGCTCGGCTGGCTTGTGGGGGTATGGGGCCAGTGTGCAGGTGTGAGGCAAAACGCAGCGCTGGCCGATCTCGAGCCAAAAGCTTGAGCCTTTCTTGTCAAATCCGTCCTAACAGCTCCGACCACTTGCGGGACACAGAACAGTTCCGAGTAAATCGTAGTTCGCTTTGCTCCAGCCTAGGCCTGGATGCCGAGGACGACATCTTTTGCCTTGCCGTGTCCTTCCTTTGCGTGCAGTCCCTGCGCTTCTCTCTCTCAGGCGTAACCGGCGTAATCCTGAGATATCATAGAGATCCGAAAAGGTGTCAGATCCTGCGTTCCAAAAGTTTCTTGAGCCCTAGAATCCCCAGAAGGTTGGAAGCAAGGGGCGAAGGAGGGGACAGGAAGGGGATTAGGGATGTTGACGCAAAGCTGGTTGGAGCACGCGCTTCAGGGTTGGGGTGGCCATGTGATGTGCGCAGTACGGAACATACGGAACAGTGCTTGATGTAGGCAGTCTTCCATCGAAACTGGGGCTCTACCACCACCCGGAAACTGAAGAGAGCCAGCTGATCGGTCTGTACGTCTCTGCCGTGGCTATGGTTGGAGCTGCTTGGCAGCAGCTGTGCATGAAGCCAACTATTCCACGGCTTGGTTCTGAGACCAGTGTCTGAACTGAACATCACACCATCCAATGCGCCCTGTCAGTTCGCCTCATTTCTTGTCAATGCTTCGGGGATAAGCCGCCTCCCTTCTTTAGCCGAAGGCAAACTGTGAGCTGAGCAGTACATAAGCCGAGTGATCTCCAAACTTGAGGTGACGGTAGCTGCAGCCGTCCTACTGCGGAAAGGGCGCGTGGCTGGATGTTCAAGTTGGCGTTGTGGTGTCCATCATGGCATGTGCCTCTGGAGGGAGGGAGAGAGAGAGAGAGAGAGAGAGAGAGAGAGGGAGAGAGAGAGGGAGAGTGTGTGTGTGTGTGTGAGTTGTCGGTCCCGTTCTCCTCTAACCGCCCCGACCGGAGGCCCCCCGAATACCGGGGCGGGCGAGGACGCCCGGGGGTTCGCCCCCATGCCCCCAAGAAAGAAAGAAAGAAAGAAAGAAAGAAAAAAAGAAAGAGAGAGTGTGTGTCTTAATTAAGCTCGTCCCATCAACAGGATGACTGTGTGACAACTTCTCTGTGGGGACGTGCAATGTGCGAAGCAAAAGCGGAACAACATGCCGGGGACCCGCAACATCCACCAACAAGTTACCATTGTGGAGAAGCAGAACCGAAGCAAAACTCAAGACCACTGAACTGAGTGAACCCAGCAGCGCATGTCTGAGCAACATGATGGTTGGCAGTTGCTGCTGCTAAGGTGAAGGACCTGATCGTGGGCACTGCCTCCATGGGTTTCGCTTGGTGTGTTCCTTGTCCGCAGTAGACAGCTGAGCGCAGCATCTTCTCTGTGCTACGGTTTTTGGGCCTTTAAGCAGGGCTGGACAAATACTTCGTACCCTTCGGCCGGCCACAGTATGCAGAGAATGCTTGGGAAGCCTGCGAGACTGGTGCATGACGATGCACAGCCATTTTCTCTCTGCAGGTGTGAAGGTGTTAGAGTTGGAGCGTGTGAGGAGACGTCCTAACTTAATATTATGACTGGCGAGGAACCTTACATCTGGCTCGACGAACGATGCGATAGGGACCGAGCCTAAAGTGCTACTTGTCTGGCCGGATTGTCGGCATGAAATCAGGTATATTCAACCGATGAGAATATGTGATACTAGCATCTTCCGACATACTGGCACCACGCGGTTTCCTGTACCTTGACCACGCTTGGTTGATGACACGTCCAGGTTCTTTTCGCAACCCGTGCAGCCTTCGACGCGTGGCCCTTCCTCCAGGCGGTGTTGATCTTTCGGACACTGAGTCTCTCCAAAGGGATCTGAGGCTACAATACTAGACCTTGTGCCGGTCAGGGCTGCTGCATTCAGATGTATGGTGTGAGCCTCTCGGAAATCTCTTCGCAGTCCAGTGACGGGCGGTAGGGGAGCCAACTCTGCCCATCACCAGGAGAAGAAAATAACACCTGCACCTTGGCTTGAGATGAATCCACTGCTCTGTGTTGTATTGTAACGGCGACTTTTCCCAGCAGTGTCTTCAGGCGGTCACGGAGACATCGGCCATCAGCAATATTGCAAGATCTGCACTGCCAGAATCAACTTCCCATTTGACTTCTGTCGGTCTGGTCACCCCACTTTGAAAACGTTCAATGCCAACGACCCACTCACCGATCACGCTAGTGAGTAGTGTCTTCGTGCCTTCCTCAGCCAGAGTTTGCCAGACTTAAGGCCACGATTGAGGGGCGAGTGTTGCTGGCGATGACACTGTCCTTGTTCGCTTGCGCCTGGGCAAGCTATGGTTGACAATGAGGCAGCTCTGACACCGAAAGCTTATGACAAAAGGATCAGCTCCGCGACAAGGCCTTCGTACTTACCTAACATCTTGTGAGGTTGAGGTGTTGTCGTGCTCACGAGCGAGAGAGTTTGAAAATCGGGCTTTGCAGCCATTCCACGACAAGGCCTGCTACAAGGCGCCCCGCAACAAGCCCCGCGACAGCTCAGCCCAAATCGAGACAATGCCAAAGCGTTGAAACAGCTCTGAATTCAAACGCGGTCCTAAACTTTAGAAGCCCTCTGTTTGGGGCCCCTTTAAGGCAAAGAAAGTTTCTAGCAACAGTTTCAGCATATAGGTGTGCCAGCCAACCATAAAAAACTTGGGTTTATGGAATGTTATGTTTGTTGAAGAAGGCCGCGCGGCAAAAGGGTATGAAACAAGCCCTCCGCGACAAAGGCTTGCATAACCGAGGGACGGCACGGCTCCGCGACAAAGGAGGTTTTGATTCACAGCCACATGTTGAAACATGTTGAAAAATCTTAAATCGTTTTGCAGTTTCCTGGCGCGTGCAGATGCAGAAGTCTTGCCGATGCCCGTCTTCTCTCCAAGGTTGCCTTAGTCTAGTTGTACGCTGGGAGGACGCCACAGCGCTTGTTTTGCATCCATTCCAGGACTCCAGTGGGAAACTTGCAAGCAGCATGGCCGAGCAGCCTTCCGAGCAGCCTTGCTCATGGCAACTCCCACCAGGATTGTGCTGCCGCAGAGCTTGCGCGCAGGTCAGAGGCGGAATCTCACCCACTTTTGTTGCAACTTAACGCACATGGTGTGACCGACTGGGGCCCACCACCCAGCACAAATGGAGCACTTGTTGGCCACTGTTTCCGAGAGTCATTGCACAGAGGGACCAGTGGTGGTCAGGTTATGTCTTGATGTTCATTCTTTCTTCGCCGCTACAGCTCGCATGCTGCGCGAAGGATGTTTGAACTGTCTCGCCTTTTTCGGCCTCCTAATGGTATTGAACAGGCAGACGCCCATCTGTGCTCATTGAAAGGTGCTGTGATCGTCGTGTTGGATAAGATCGAGGATGGATTGGACAAGGCTGAGATCACATCGTGAACCATCGACACTTTTGGCTGTGGAATGTTGAACTGTCATCCAACGAACGTTTCTTAAACGATCAGAATCCAGCAGCAGTGTAGAACTTTGTTTGTTGTTGTCTTGGCGTTTGATTGCGGCGCGTGGCACTTCCTGATGCACAGAAGTTGCCTCCTCAACACCGGCCACTGATGTTCATTCGAGTTCCAATGACTGGCCGTCCCGGCTTGGTCGTTCATGTTGGTGATGCGCTTGATGCGCCAATTCATCTGCCTTCAGCAGCTGCTGCCTGCCCTCCTCCAAGTGCATTACTTTGTGCTTTGTCTTATGATAACTGGCGCCCTGGCTTCGTATCTAGGTGGCAGAAGTTGTCTGGTTCTAGGAATGCCCACACCTCACGTTTTATCCCGAGGCCCCCGACTCTTTCGCACGTGTGCCTGGCCGAACAGAATCTTGACAGGAAGGAGACGCCGAGCAGCTGCACAAGCTGCTCAAGAACATCATCACTGGGCTGAGCATCCTCATCGGATTTACCTGGGAGCACACGTTTGACGGCTGCGTGGAGGCCAACTTGCGTGTAAGAGCGACGTGCAAAGTACGTAGAGGAGGTACTTGTAGGGAGTGTAATGATAGGGCACTTGGTACACTTCACCGAATCCCTCGCAAACGGGGCCCAGGGCCAGTGGAGCTCAAGCTTGAAGACTTAACAGATGCCTCGAAACTCAGACGCAGGCAATATCATCTCTTTGGTCGAACGTACTCCTTGGCAAGCTCGTGCTCACGCTTGTCATTGTCGTCATTGTGGTCCCTGCGTGGAGAAGATATATCTTGGCCAAGGTTGTTTCTTGGCGTGTACTCAGCATTTGGGGCCTCAAAAGAATGTGCTTGCAAAAAGCAGATACCGTGGACAAGCTTCTGCACAGCAACAGCAACTGCATATAAGCCTTTTCGCGATTGAGGTCGACCTTCACAAAGCACAGCGCGAACGCAAGGAAGCTTTCGAGAAGCTCAAGGAACCAATTGCCAAACTCCTGAGATTCTTGGACATGTCCTCCTGAAGTGTCTCGTGCGCATGTCGGGGCCGTAGGGAAAGCTGCTGCGACGTTCGAGTGCCTTGACAGATACAAACAGGACATGAACCATGAACCAATCTGTTGGCTGCTGCGAATTCTCGGAAGGACGGCTACTCCCACAGAGTAAGTGACGAGTCCAGCGAAGAAGAGCCGTCAGCTCGCCTTCTTTGCTGAGCTGTGTGTAGTCCAGAGTAGATCCGTTATGATCCGTTGGAGTCCCGGCATTTTGTTTTCAGAGGGAAAACCCTCGAAGAGAGAAATGAAAACTTAAAGCCGCTTGAGGGCGCACCTCTGCGAATGAACTTAATGATTTGGGCATTCCGGCCCTGAATTCAATATACAATTCTTGAGCACGGCGTTCGCGACCGACAGCGATGGGCCTCGTTCAAGAGCATCGTCCAGAAAAGGTTGTGCTCGCTCATCCAACGACATAGCATGGACAACTCATGCACGACTACACGGCTGCAACTGCTGCTCTACCGTTCTTGCGCTCTCTCGCTCGCTCTCTCTTTCTCTCTCTCGCTCTCTATCTCTTTCTTTTTTTCCCTTCCCGTAAATTGTGCACAACATGTTTGAGAGGCAGAGATTTCGAGGTCCCGTTTGTGTCACCGTGTGTCTCTGTGGACCTGTCATGGAAAGGCCTGCCAGCGCCAGCTGCTTTCTCTGCGCGACCAGTGCCGAAAGGCAGAGGCCCCCACGCGGCAGAAGCTCAGGCGCGGAAGGGGGGAGCAACGGGGGTGGGAGGGGGGGGGGGGGGGATCCTACAATACAAATACAAACCGTCATACTTAGAGGTGGTAGTTCTCGGTTTATGGGTTAGGGGCGGCATTTGTACTTTGTGTGTGGGTTTGAGATGCTGATGAGAGAGCCGAGTATCCCTGTTGTGTGGCTTTGGTCAGCTATGCGGAAGTGAAAAAACAGATAGAAAATGTGTACAACCCACATTTTTTGTATCGACACATGTTGAGAGAGGAGCGAACAGCTTGTGCAAAAATGTTCAACGGCATGTGACATGAACGACACCAAGGCAGCTCTACGCCCAGACTGGCTGCGCCTGGGCTGGATACATAAGTTTTGGGCTGGGCGCAGAAAGCTTGAACTAGATTCAACCTGAAGAAGGTGATGTGCAGGAGCTGAACGACGTGTTCGCTGCCGTGGAGGAGGCCAGCACTTCTGACCAGAGGAAGCGGCTCCTGGAGAAGGACTGCTGCGATCTCGACTCAACGGTTCACTTCCGGGATCTTCCTGGCTTTCGGTATGCTGTCGTGGGGTCATGTGACTAGCGTGTGGAAACACGTTCTCGCTCCACTGCACATCACGCCGTATCGCGCAAAGCGGCTCCACCCTATACCTTCCATGATGTCATGGCTTGGCCTCGGTTTTCTAGATGCATCTGCAGTAGTACATGCTGTGAGCAAGGGGCACAAGTCTGTTTGCTTTGGCTCAAAGTGACAACGAGAGGCTGCAGCCAGCGACTTGACATTCGCCAGGTATGGGGTACCAGTTGAGTCTGTTACAGCCCCTCGTGTAGATCTCCTGAGCTTCGCACAAAACTCGTAGAGTAACTCGCGGTGACAACCAAGTTTTGTGGCTGGGCCTTGGGCACGGGCCGGAGGAGCTGAAACGCATGCAGGACTACGCGGAGTCGGTCAGTGAGACCTGGCTTATGTGTAGTTTGGTCTCCTCGCCTGCACAAGATGAGTGTTGTGGTGTGTGTGGGTGTGTGTAATATATGTATATATGTTTCATATTTTGGAATTTGCATGCTTCTATTTTACTCACATTTATTGATAGATTTACTCAAACAGATTAGGACCCAGGGAAAGCTTGGCAGTTCGGGGCAAGGCCCGGCCGCAGTTTTTCTTTATGAGCCGACTTTGCCACGCTTTGAGGTCATCCTCGGCCAGCGCGAGGAGCTCCGGGCTTTGGTCGTGGCCGGCGAGTGCTTCGAGCGCCAGGCGCAGGCAGGTGCAGGACACGTGCTGGCGCTGTGCTGGACAACGTTGGGGCCAAGCATCGCCTCCAGCCCATGTTGGGCCGCATCATGCCGCATCCGGTATTCGCGTGCGTTGTGAAGACAGCACGCCGCACGTGCGCGACCCTCGGTGAGGACGCTGGATTGGGAATTCAAAGCATTTCCTCGAAGAGGAGAGGCTCGCCTCCACTGGGTAGGTGCATCAGCTGCCCATTTGAGGCGGAGATTCCACAAATATTACAGCAATACCTTCTCTTACACATTCCTTTGCTGTCTACGAGCACTCAGGAAATTCCGACGGCGCCGCTTGGAACAGCATTTAGCAAGAACAAAGTATTGGACCTTGGCCCGGCCCGAGACTCGACAAAGCTTTCGGAGACGATCGTCTAGGGGCAGAGGGGCTGTTGAGCTTGAGGCTGAAAGTTGAAATGCATATGGGCTTCGGTTGATTGAGGCTGTACGGGGAGAGGGTCCTTCGCGAGCCAGGTTTTGGAGGGTGATTGGTGAAGAGATTAAGGACTCTCGAAGTCGAGAGCTTAGAAGGCAAGAAGTTCGAGTGTTTTTCAAGATGAAAAGCAGTCAAACTTCTTGCAAATCTGAGCTTAATGTGCTTGAGATTCTATGGAGCTTTGGGGGGGGCCCCTTCCCCTCAGCAGGTTCCATTGGTGGGTTCGGGAGAAGAGGTGGGCTCATGCAAAAACCTCTAGAATCAACGACGAGGGGGCGGAGGGCGGGGTGGGGGATGGCAGGGATGTGAGTGAGGGGAAGAGCACGAACCGGAAAGTCTTGCACCTGCACCGGGTGTTGTACAAAGTCCCCTGTCCAGCGAGTTCCTTGTGTGCCCTCAGGTTTCGTGCGTCAGTACCCCGAGCTCCGGGACAAAATGATTGAGTCCATCGAAGCTTGGGAGACGGCTCCTGGGCACTCGATGGAGACTTCGAGAGTGGGGTCATTGGTTGAGGCGTACATTGGGGCAGCAAGCGCTTGTATGCGCTTTTCATTGCGGGCCGTTTCGCGCACCTGCGAGGCTGAGGAAAAGACCTTCCTGCACAATGGCATTGCGTTGGGCGAAGCTTGGAAGAAGAAGAACATTACTATAAACCCAGCAGGTAGTGCATCTCAATGCTTCCAACTGTAGCCCTGTGGGAAGATGCTATGGAAGTTGAGGTGGTCGCTCCCACAGAGGGTGAGACCATGAGCGCTCCATGAACTTCATGAGAGTAGCCATGAAAGCCCCCGACAAGTTTCGATGTTCGGAGGACAGATGCATTACGTTGCCACCTGGATGTGGGAAGATTGAAGTGAAAAGGAGAGCCTTGCACCACGAAAGCCCTCCTCCGGACACAACCGCAAAACACCACCGCCAAGTCCGAAGCCTCCGCCAACGTCACATCTCAGGCGCGGCTCCGTGAAGCCCGGGACCACGGCGTGGCCCTGGCCAGTGCTCAGGAGGGGCTTTGACTGAGCTAGGGCTCACAAAGCCAATAAGAAACATGGAGGGGCAGGGACGTCCTGGTGCATCCTAAGAGGAGGATGCACTGCGACAAGAACGTTAGTTACCCAGTGTCCCGCTCGAACGCCCAAAGCCCAGAAGTGATCTCCTGAGCCCCAGGGAGACCTGAGCATCATGTCGGTTCTGCTGCAGCTCGGCAGTCCGATTTGCTTGGCTTGGCGAGGTCGGCACTAAACAACTAAAAGCCCTAAACGCCGGAAGTTCCTTGAACTTTGTGTTACATTGTCATTGCGTTACCAAGTATACCGGAAAAATAGAACCTTCGAGCTTCCAGTGGCTGGTCGCACAAGGCATATCCTCGCCGTGACGGAAGAGAACTTGCCAATATCACCATCTGCCCGGTGCCCAGCTATGTACTGATTACGAACATACCCTGCGTGTGCTGGGTTGGTGGCATAACCACATGCCCTTCAGCAGTGGATAGGAGACTGCCGTCGTTTCAGCTATTCTCAGCAGATTGCCTATGTAGCCCGGAGTCAATGTCTCAGATGCAAATCTGAGCACGGGCCGTAACCCTTAGGCGAAGAGCAGCAAATCGCCAACGCCGAAGTCGAAGGGGTCAAAGGCCTCGGTCGGTCTGCTTCGGGGTTGCTGCATGGTGATCGTGCAGTGGCTCCAGAGCTCGAGCTGTGGCGCGTGCATGTGTGCGCGTGCTGACTCCAGGGCGGTGCACTTCAACTTCCTCAGTCCAATTCCGAGACGCAGCTGAATTGGATGCCGGATGGCTTGGGGTTGCTGGAGTCCGGATTCCGGGGTGGCGGACATTGCGGTATGTTTAGGCAGATTTATGTATGTTTCCTTGCGCTTTTTAGAGTCACAGAGAGGCACTTCTATTGTACCAACCGTACAGATCTCTAGTTTGGCAGGCGTCGTGGTAGGTACATTGGTTGCCTCGTCCTGTGTCAATATCGGTAGTGTACCACAGCCCTTCTGTACTTCCCTCGATCCAGCAAGCACCCAAACCCAGAGCGAAGAAGAAGCAACCCTCCATGCCCAAACCTTGCTACCCCGAGAAGTGCTCCCCCGAACCGGATGTAGCAAGCGACACTGGGGCTTGAAACGGCTTGCACGCTTCCTTCAGTCGAGGTTGCGATCACCGGGCTTGGTGAGCAAAACTGGCAAATTCATTAGTCTCCGCAGAAAAAGAACTCCAATGGAATCAGACAAGCTACAGTGCTGGACCGCACAGCAAGCATGACAACAAGCTCGGCCAAGCCGGAACCCAAAATTGTACTGAGCCGTGCAGTCATAAATCTCAGACTTGCACTCAGAAATCGCACGTTCTGGAATTTGCGGCACGCTGCCTGAGGGGACTTCACTTGCCCGGGCAAGCTCGGCAGCTCGGTGAAATTTTGCTGGGGAGTCTTCTCGTCAAACTGTGGAGCATGCTGGGCCACCAGTGGTCCCTTTAAGGAATCCGTTATTCCCCGGAGATCGCCTTCGCCACAACGGAGAGGCATTAAGCGACAGCAGCCACTTGGCGAATGGCAACGGAGATGCAAGAGAGTGGAGAAAGGTGCTCTTGACGCGGGGCATGCGGGCCTTCAAAGTGTGGATGCTTCCATGGACTGCCTGTCGCCAGAGTTCCTAAGGTCAGCTGCAGACCTCACCGTCCGACTTCCTCCCATCGGCAAGGTCTGAGCAAGGCTGATACTTCAGGTTTGTTGCTTTTTGCGCTGAGCACTTGCCTGAAAGTCAAGGCCGAAGCACACCCATAGGTCAACAGTCCTATCAGAGTCCGGTCCTATCGTCTATCAGCTTACGTCAGACCTCGTGTTCACAAAAGCGGGTGTTCACGGTGTGCCCGTTGCTGCTGCTCTTGAAGAACAGCACGGGGACGCTGCGCTTCAGCAACAATGCAACCTGGTTTGGAGAACGGGAGCGTAGAGAGCGAGGGAGGGAGAGGGAGGGAGAGGGAGCGGGAGGGAGGGAGAGAGCAGAGACATCAGCACCGCAAGCTAAGCGCAGAGCGCGAAAGGCTCAGCGAGAGTTTTCGGACAAATCTGCGGATTCAAGTTTGTCCTCCAGGGACTATTTTCAAAAAGCGGTCTGCAAGGCAGTCGCGTTGTACACGTGCACGGAATCCAGACACAGCCCCCAGTTGGCGGGGTTTGGACACAGTTCGGCAGACGATTGCCCGATTCGTGGTCTCGTGGGTGATGTTGGTAGTGACAGTCTTTGGCGGCAAAGCTTCACATCTGGAGGACTGGTAGCCCTAGGTCATGGCTTCCACAATCTTCCGCCTGCCTTGACGAAAGCTCTCACTACTGCATTTGCTGTTTGTTCTCTCTTTGTTGTTTCTGCACCGCAACGCAAGGAGGCAACACGAGAATGAGAAAAGCATCACGATGTTTAGTCTCCCATTCCCTTGGAAGTTCCGTAGAATGGGGCACATGCACGCATCGGAGGATCCTACGAACATGTCCACTTTATTGACCGTCGGCGCCGTGCTACTGCCGCAGCATGCCAGAAAAAGTGAGCGCCTTCATCTGCCTTTATGAAGAGCAGCAACGACGGCGGCGGCGGCGGCAGCGACGACGAGGATGACGACGACGACGACGACGACGGCGGCAGCGGCGGCAGCAGCGGCAACAGCAACAAGCAACAAGCAACCAGCAACAAACAGCAATTATACCACCAACAGCAGCAGCTCAGACGCTCATAGTGACATGTTGGTACCACGTGCTTGGCAAACTGTTAGATGGGCTGCTGCTTGCGCGAAGGCGTGCGCTTGCTAGCTGCTACCTACTGATCAGATCAACAAACACCAAGGACGCCGCTCTCATGTCACATGGAGTGACTAGCACCACAGCTGCCAGACCCTCAGCCAACCAACGGATGCGGCAATGAAGACAACAGCGTTCTCTGCCTGATGGCGGCAACCGGTCCTGGCTGGATAGCTCACTTCGCCGAGGTACTGTTACCTGTTCGGTGAATGTAATTCCTGAACTCGCGAGACAGCATCCCAGGTCCTCATTCGCGATGAGCTATCGAAGCAGTTCCCCGGCCCAAGTACGGCACTCGGTTTGCATCTTGGGTTCCGTGACACACTGTGCACACCGTGAGCTCCATGGCTGTTTGCGACTGCATTAATTGCTGTGGCGCTTGACAGCAGTCCAGAGAGTATGGCATAGTCTCGCTTGTTGGAAGCAAACATTGTGCAATCACATGCTCATGGCCTATCTGTGGCGCAGATATGCCGCACACGCTCATCTTTGACTTCCCTTCGCCGCACCCTCGGGCAGTCTCCAAGGTGAAGCTTGGCACACCAAATTTCTTGTTGCATTGCAGTGCATGATCTCCAAATGCTTAGTCAGCTTGGCATGTGGCAAAATGACATTTCTGAAGCTTGAAGGCCCTGAAGATCAGAACCAGGCCCGCAGCCCCCAAGAATCAGAGTTTTAAAGACCCTTTGAAGGCCCACCCAAAGTGGGGCGTAGTTTACTGTCTTATTTAGGGGTGCCAGGCCAGAAGAGGTTGCCTTGACAGTCGAAGGAAGCGATAACACGGATCCTGCCCTTACGGCAGCACTATGGCACACAGGCCTTCTGGTAGCTTGGAGAAAGCTGGCCTTCAGCGCTCGTGTCAAAGCTTCGCAAAGCCCAAAATGGTAAAGGCCTGCATTCGACCAGACCCCAAACGAAAGGCACGCGAGGTGTCCCGTATATTTTCCAGAACTTTTGATTCGGAGCCCATTCCTGCGCCACACCTCAGGGTCATGGATTTGACCGACTTTGTCCTGGAACGATCCGCCCGGTGATCTTGCCTTGCAATGCTGATAGCAGATCTTGTGGTGAGAGATGGGAGTTCAACGTCTGCTTCTAGAGCTGCACACACTTTCGACAAGATTAAGACCTGATGGGCCCAGACCCCTGAGGGGAGCCTCATTGTCTTCGGATGTCTTCGGTGCGTTCAAATGACCACGCGCCCCATCTGCTCGATTGTGCTGATTGCAAGCATGCCCCGCATGCTCGTTCATGCGCATTTCTGTTTGCTACCGTGGCCGCTGGCTCAAGGGACTTCGCCCCAGGCTTCGGGAGGGGAGCGCACGCCCGCTCTCAGAGCCAGCGCCGCAGTTCGGTGAACTCCGGACTTTAGGGCTGCTCTCGCACGTAAGGCCTTTGCCAAGATGCCCAGCTGCTTTGAGCTCTGGCAAATTCTGGCTGGAAAATGCTGTCTTGGCTCAAGCGGTTGCGTCGTGGGGTTTCATCTCCTGGGGAATGCTGGCCCGGAGACGAGGCTGAGCCCTAGCAAGTTAGTTATCTCTCCGACTCTGCTCTGTCTTCTGGGGGCCCCATCCCCTTATCCCAACATTGGCTGTTGAGAAAACAGAGCGAAGAATACACAATGCCACTGCTCTGCCATTGCCAGATGGACGCATTCGTTCGCGATGCGCATCGGAGCTTGCACAAGACCAACCGAGGCGGCTTCAAACCATTCAGTCCTGACTGGAGCCCTATTGTAGTAGACTTGATTGCAGCAAGGCTCCACGATGCGGAGAGATCGCCTGACCGATGACACGATGCGCTGCTGTGCTTCAAGATGATGCCGAGCCAGTTGAGTGAAAGCAACATCAAGCCATATCAGTCACTGCAAATCCGCAAACGTGTGCATTCTTGGCACGTTTAGATATGTTATCTCGATGGTTCAACCGTTAAACCCTTCTAGAGCGGTTAGAAAAGGGTCTGGGTCGGATCGAAATGAAAGCTTTAAGGTCGAACGTTGATGGCCAGCGGCAGCTGTATGCTGTCGATGAGGAGCTGGGATTGCCGGTATTGGTTTTTTTTGCAAAAAGAACTTGAGATTTCATGACGTCCGCCTTGTCGTAGAACTTCGCCTGTGAGGGGCGAGAGTCTAGAAGGCCAGTGAGGCCTCGAGCTGGGTCAGCAGGTGCTCTGGCAAAAAGTCAGACTCCTTGAGCATTCATCGGGTGAGGAAGCCCATGCAACGACGTTAAGTTCACGAGCAGGATATGGACACCAAGGGGCTCTGCACGTGCTGATCACAGGTCTCAGATGGAAGATGCAAAAGAAGGTCGCATACGGGATGTTGTCGGCTGCATCCGACCGCAAGACAGAAACCGCGGACATGCAAGACTCACAATGCAAACATGATCGCCCGCAACAGCAATTCCCTTTCACAGCTGAAGGGACCCAACTAGAGGGGCATGATCTGCTTCATACTGCACCGACAGTACGATTGGAGTGCCTCTCCACGGAAGTTTTTGCTTTCCACGCTATCATTCATCGATTGAAGTGTGGTGCTTTGGTTTGCTGCGTTCAAGTGATACTCGCAGCTCGGCAGCAAGGAGATAAATCAAGGGTGCGCCTCGCAGGAAGCCGAACGCTCGAGATATGCTCATCGAGAAGGAGAACCAGCTGCTGGCGAAGCGAATTATGACAGCGCCTTTCTCGCCAATTGGAGGTCGCTTTGTGATTTCGTAATTGTGCCGAAGAGGTGGGGGGTTAGAGGGGGGGCGGGGGGTGAGAGGCAAGGCACGGCCTCCACCAAGTTGCTGAGTTCTTTGCCTTCATAACCTGACGGGCTGAGAAAAGAAACACGTAGTCACTGTAGCATGTGCCAGTGAGGGCCATCACAGGTTGAGGCTTGTGACCCTGCGCAGCGCACATGGTGAGGCTTTCCTGACATGTTCTGAGGTTGAAGGAACTGCGCTCCCTGCAGCATACCATAGCATACCAGTTCTCAACTTGAGTGGCTCCCGCAACTCCCTCCCCAAGAGGCTCTAGTACTTTTGTGTCTGGCAGATTCAAGTTGAGATCAAACCAAGGTCAAGTCTGTTTTCGACCCCAACGGCCGAGACTTAGAGGAGTTTCGAACCCACCAGCGCAGGGTCCAAGTGATGCAGGAGACTTGGCACTGACGCGAGCTGAGCGAAGCTTGGGTTCTAAGGCTAAAGGTTTGGGGTCCAGCATGAAAGGCACGTCATGCAAAATCACAACCGGATCGCACGGCGACAGACTGCTTTGATGCTGTTGCTCTGCGTGGCGCACAGTAATGACTTACAGCAACTCGAGCACGGCGCAGCAGTGTTCCTGAGCGCTCTCTGGACTTGCAGATTCGCTGCAGGAGTACAGAGGATCTGCATGCCCCTTGGCTTGTTGTGTCACTTAGAAGCGCACCGATAGAAATCGTGGCTGCCAACTTGCAATGCGAATCGAAAGCCTTCCCGAAATCAGGTGCATGGGCTTCATGAGATTTGCTTTAGCCTAGTCTATGTCCTCAGCCATCTCTAGAATTGAAACGCTACGCGGCCACCTCTTCCGCACACAACTACCAACCGGAACCGGAGCAGATGCTGGCTTTGGGCTGAATTGTTCAGAGAGTGCTGCAAGGTGCGCGGCCACCGCCGCCTCCGATGCCAGACCCTACGCCCTCCAAGCCGCGGGTGGCTGCCAGCCCCTGGGATCACACTCGGCTAGAAACAGTAATTAGTGGGATATTGGTAGGAGGTGTCCGGATTTAGAGCCTTTGGAAGGTCAGAGTTGCCGTTCTTGTAGGGATCGTAGGCTTGGCCGGAACTTTTCCTGCGATATGTCAGGGCACGTTTGCGGCTTTTAGAATTTGAGATGCAACGAGCTCTGAAAGCCCAAGCCGCTTCGCTTGCAGGCATCCGAAACAAA